CGCTTCACTGTGAGTACATTGTTGAATAACATAGACCTAAAGTTTAAGCAATCTTAGAAACATGCATCAACCACTCCAAGAACTGTAACCTCCGCTTCTACCAAGCAAATGTCTTTCACCAGATATCCCATGTTTTGACTGGTGAAATTACTGATTGAAATGAATCTGGATGCACCATTTTCATTGTTTGAGGCACTAAACCAGTAGTTACCTGCAAGTAGGGGAAAATAAAATAAAGAACTGTTGGGTTATTGAATTGAAGATGTGCTTTTGTTTGCTTAGACTGGCGAAGAATGTTGCCCGGAATGTTAATAATTCATTCAACTAGCATTTCTCTTGAGGAATTGCACCTAATAAAAGTGTACCAAACTCTACCTTTTCCAAAAATGCCCCTTAATTAATAATTAATTACCAAATTGCCACATTGGAGTGCATCCATTCAAAACTATTTCGAAAATTTACCCTCCCCAACAAACATAACACCCCCGGGTAAATTTTGAAACTTTTTATCTACCCGAGTATGTAGGGATGTACCCGGGTAGAGTTCTTGAATCTGGGAAAATGTTTGAATTATTTACCCGGGTACGTAGCAGTGTACCCGGGTAAATCGCGACGGTAGGGTTTTAAAATACCCCAGCAGCCCCATTCGAAAACCCACAAAAGGGGTACCCGAGTAGAGCTGCTGGAGGAGTGTCATCTTGAGCGATTTCAGGCATAATCTTGCACTAATTCGTCTTGTTTGTGATCATCATTCGCGGACCTTGCAACCTCTCTGCCTTCTACCGATTGAAATCGATCAAAGGTGCATTTTTTTTTCAGTTTTTTCAATTATGTTATGATTTCTGTTCTGATTCATTGTTTTCGTTTATATCATTTGATTCTGTCCGAATTATTTTATCAATTTGTATGTCATACGCTTACCCTAACCCTGAATCTAACCCTAACCCTAACCCTAACCCTAACCCTAACCCTAACCCTAACCCTAACATGTATCTAATTTCTGATTTTGGTTATTTTTTCAGTTTAATAGTGTGACACAATGACCTCTCGACGCGTTTCAAAGCTGCCAGTGACCCATTCCGAGAGAAGAACCAAGAGTCGTCACGATGGGTCGTCATCCTCTCAGCCCCAGGCTGCTTCGAGTCAGGCTCCGGACTTGACGTTCGGATATTTGTTTGAGGATGACATTCCTTCACACGAGAAGTTCGTGAAGTTTTTCATGACCCGGAAGATCTGCGAACCGAAATCACTGGATTCGGCATTCTTCAACCTAGAGCGTTTTGACATCGTGCCGCTTCTTGAGCAGACACATTTACTTCACCTGGCGGAGATGCGGTGCCCATACTCGGAGGTTATGGTAAGAGCCTTCTACCAGAACCTTGGCTACTCGCAAGGCGAGCTGACTTCCCGTGTATGCGGGATTGATATCATCATGACTGCTCCTATCTGGACGGAGCTACTGGGGTTCGATTTTGATGGTGTCTCAGGAGCAGCACTATATGATGGAGACAGCCATCATATATTTGGTGATTATAACCGGGAGACCATTGTTACAGAGACTAGGAGGGCAGACGCTGAGCCCGGTCATTTTGCTCATTATCCTGTTAGCAACTTGTCAGTTTCTGCTCGCATTCTTCATTATGTGGTGACACATATTATTTTCCAGCGCCCGCATAATCACTCAAAGGTGCTGGAAGGGGACTTTGTCATCCTGTGGGCCCTCCTTCACAGTCAGCAGGTGAACTGGAGGCATTACATATGCATACTGATGTGGAAGGCAGCCAAGTCAAAGAAGGCTGAATTGCCTTTTGCATTTCTGGTGCAGAAGATTCTGCATAGATTTGGAGTGCCTATGGCAACAGAGACCTTGAAGACCGCCAGAGGCTGGAATGCTATATTTGGTGAGAGGCTCCTGAAGCAGTGTGGGATCCTACCGAACAGAGCGGGTATCTGGACGTGGAAGAAGGCACCAGAACCACCTGAGATCCCATTCCACCACGATGCTGAGATGGAGGATGCACCTGCAGGTGATGTGTTGGTCTTTATGAGTTTATGCAATTATGTGTTGTTTAATTTTTAATGTGGTATTGAAGTTTGTTTTTCATGGTTTATGATGTAGGCCTTGATGATGATGACGATGATGATGGCGTTGCTGAGGTTGATGTCAGACCGACACGTCCCACCCGCAGTCGGCGACCACCAGCTCCTCCTGAGGGTGGATGGACACTTGATCATGTCATGGCATCCTTATATGATCTGACTACTGACTTTAGAGGATATAGACAGAGCACGAGCAAGTGGCGAAACCAGATGGACACAAGGGTTGCACGGTTGGACACAAGGGTTTCACGCTTGGAGGGTTTAATTGGCGAGGGTGCCCATACTCAGGAGGAGGAGGAGGAGGAGGATGATGACAATGGGGATGACACACAATCGGATGAAGAGAATGGGGAGGACACGGCATCGGATTAGTGTGTCCATAGGGTTTCATATCATTGATTTAGTTTGATGTAATGTAGTCATTTTGGTACATTTAGGAACTTTACCTACATTGCATGGATGTTTTTGTACTGGATGTTCAAAATTTGAATGAATGAAATTTTCGTTTTGCGCACGTTCAGACTTGTTGGTTCTATGCATTAGTATGGGACCTTGCATTAATATTGTCATAATTAATTTGGAAATCAATTCAACCCAAAGTAGTTTATTATTCATTTTCAACTTTGATTGGCGCACATCTTGATTACTGCATCCTATTTCTACGAAATCAATCCACCCCCAAGTCATACCGTATGTAGGTATTGCACAACAATTACCAAAATGCAACAAAAATTGCCAAAACAGCATCTGCAACAGCATCTGCAACTGGTCTACCCGGGTACCACGAATAGTCTACCCGGGTAAGATGTACTCGGGTATATCATTACGAGTTACCCGGGTAGACCAGTTGCAGATGCAGCAGCAGGTGCTGTTCAATCCATTTTGTTAGCATCTTGGTAATTGATGTGTAATACAATAACCTTAACTGACTCGGGGAAGGGGTAAATGGGTATGGTAGACATTCGGATTGCACAATACGGAACGAGTGACTCGCTAAACTTAACGGATACATTTCAACAATACATTTCAACAACACAAGAATACAGTTCAACAATACATTTCAACAACACAATACATAACTAATACAAGATAAAGTTTAGGGTACAAGGAAACAAAACAATACGTAAAGTGATTGTCATTACAAAACAAAGTACTACACAAAAACAATACGTAATCATGCTTGTCTTAGTCTCAATGGACATGTACGAATGTTATGTCCAACTTGCTTGCAATGCTTACATCTGCTCTGACTGCTAGAGGGTTGAGACTCAACCCAATCCATCTCATTCTGAATCCTTGAAGACTTTGGTCTTCCTTTTGCACGTACCAACTGAGCATCCGGAATTACAGTAGGCCCAACAACGGATGGAATCAACAATTCATTGCCAATAGGAAACCAGTGTGCAGCATATACTTTAGCAATGGTTGGAATTTTGAAAACATGATCCACATAATCATAATGGTTTAGCTTGGCTACCTTGCAAACTGCTAATACATGACTGCAGGGATACCTCCTTGCTGTAAACCTACCACACTGACATGTACGATTGATTAAGTCCACTCTCATGATGTCACCGACCTCGTGTGTAGATTGATTGTAGGCATCCTCAACCTCAAACAATAACAGGTCACTATCATATATCCTCACACGATAAGTGCCAGCCAATTCATCATTTTTTTGCAACGCTGCCTCAACCTTCTTTGAAATTATCCAACCTTGTGAGATATCTTTTTCAATCCCTTCACGTCTCTTGACGAAATACTCAACGAGTCTACTGAATGTCATCTTGACCAATGCAGATATAGGCAGATTTCGTGCTCCACGAAGCACCTTATTCACACACTCAGATAGGTTAGTTGTCATATGACCAAACCTACGTCCTGTCTCATCATACGACCTGCACCATTGCTCTTTCGGAATCGCATCCAACCATGAAGCAACTTCAGGATTGTTCTCGATAAATTCCTTGTACCTAATGTCGAAATTTATCTTTGAACATGTGTACCCTGCAAAAAACCATGACATATGCATAGGTTAGTGAATTTCACCACCGTTTTCTTCAAATGGTTGAAAATGTGAGTAATTATACCGTACATTACCTAATTTCATCAACGTTTTCTTCAATTCCACATTCCTAAAACGGGTATTGAAGTTGCTTCTGATGTGACGTAGACAAAATACATGATAAGCATATGGAGGCTGCCACCCTCCGTGGTCTTTCACCGCCCTTATGATGCTTCGATGACGATCGGATATTAGACAAATACCATGCCTATGTGTGACATGAAAACGTAAAAGGCTAAGAAACCAGGACCAATCATCCAACCTCTCACCTGGAGGAACAACAACAAAGTCAATAGGGATGAGCTCAGAAATTATTTACAGTATGAAGTGGCAAAGAAGGGTCACATGCTTTCACATACCCCAAAGCAAAATTATTTACTCACCTGGAGGAACAACAGCAAAGGCAATAGGGAGCAGAAATCCATCTCCATCCTGAGATGTTGCAATCAATAGAGTACCTCTGTACTTCCCATACAGATGAGTGCCGTCAATTTGAATTATAGGCTTGCAGTGTTTGAATGCTTCAATGCATTGGTGAAATGTCCAAAAAACCCTTTGAAATACGGCCCTGTCTGTATAAACCCGACGTTCATCAAAACATTGATTTGTATCAAGTTTGAACACAGAACCCACATTCACCTCCGTCATATACTTCAGCCAATTTGGCAAGAATGCGTACGATTTCTCCCAGTCACCAAACAACTTAACGATGGCCTTCATTTTTGCCTTCCAGGCCTTCCTGTACGTTATGTTGTATCCATATGTTCCCTGTATCCTCTCCTGTATCAGAGCTGGTCTTGTGGATGGATCTTCCTTTAACATATCTGGAAAAAAAAATTAACTTTACCATATTCTCAATTAATCTGAATCATTAAATAAACAGTGGAATACATACTCATTATAGCCGCACAAATGACATTTGAATCCAACTGTCTATGATCCTGTGCTAGGCCTTGATTTAGGCATGTGTGACCTTGACCCCATTTACGTACCACCCAGTTAGCTCCCTTCTTCGGCTTAATTGCCCTCATATACCAGGGACAACCGTCAGCATGGTTTTTACACTTCATAACAAATCTTGACTCGTCGCTTTTTTCAACTATGGCTGTCCTGCGCCCCTTCATACAATGTATCTTCACAGCATGTTGCAATTCTGGTTTGGACCCAAATTCTTGTTGCACAAATAACGGATCTCCTAACTTCCAACCTCCGTGCAAGTCATCATCGCCATATAGGATCTCCAACTCGTCATTAGGGTGCGCCCAGTTAATGAATGAATAATGTTGGCTTTCATTCCAGAATGGCTCCTCAGACCCTGCATCTAAAGATCATGTCAAATTTAATAACTTACCACAAATAATAAATTGTCTAAAGCAAATATTCAAATTTAATAACTTACCACTACTGACTGGGTCGACATGAAGTGGTGACAAGGCTGGGGTACCGAGACTTACGGCGCTCATGTCAGCCTCAAAATTACCGTCCACGTCAGTGTCTGACGAATCACCTTCTGGAATAGCACTTTCAGGTTCTCCCTCATCTTCGCTGTCCACATAGTCCTCGTCTTCATCCTCTTCATCCTCATCCCATGCTACCTGAGGAGGTGCAGAAGATCGTACAACTGTATCTTCTTGACCGGTACAGTGTGCAGTAGTGGTTGTATGCACCGGTAAAGATGAAGATTGTCCAACATCAACTTCAACATATATCTCAATATATTTTAATACTTTCCATTCAACAAACGCATCTGTTACGAACTCCACATCTTCATCATCATTTATATCGTTTCCAATGTAGTATATTGTATCCATATCCACTACAGTCTCTAACCTGGCTATCATGCGGTGGATGGAATGTATGCCTTCTGACCCCATTTTTTGAAGAATTCTCTCCTTCAGTTCATTGCATGTAGTGCCCACTTTGATTTTCATCGTTTTTGTTTTTCCTTCAAATCGGACACCGTTCGGACCTTCAAAATGCCTCCCATTGTAGTAAACAACTATAGGAACCATGTTTGGACTTGAACTCATCTTTCACACAAAAATTAGATCTAGGTTTTGGGTTTGGAGGTTGGTTCGGATTTTTTAGCACAAAATGGGAGTGTGGAGATGTAATCTCAATGTCCCACCAAGATTCAGCTTTCTGAAATGATGAGATGAAATATGTGTGATGTTTCGGATTAGAGAGGGTAAGAGAGAAAGATTTTGGGGTTTCAAAAACCCTATACCTCGCAACAATGGCCGAAACCCATACATATTGGGGTTTCTGGACGCGATTTACCCGGGTACACTGCTCTGTACCCGGGTAAATAATTCAAACATTTTCCCAGATTCAAGAACTCTACCCGGGTACACCCCTACATACTCGGGTAGATAAAAAGTTTCAAAATTTACCCGGGTAGGTAATGGTGTACCCGGGTAGGCTTCGTGGTCAACGGTCAAACAGGGGCAGATTGGTGTTATGTTTGTTGGGGAGGGTAAATTTTCGAAATAGTTTTGAATGAGGGGCAATTTGGTAATTAATTATTAATTAAGGGGCATAAGGGTCAAAAAGCCGCCTTTAGAGCCAAGGATGAAATCTTTGAGAGGAATAAATTGATCAAATCCCCATTCAATCTTCATTTTGTGAAATCTTTTTTCCTTTTTCACGCCATCTATCAAATGCAGTGTTCCAAAAATGGTAAGAGAGACCCTTGCTTTCCAGGTCAAAAACTGACCTACCTAAGCAGCACAAAATCTTTTTCGAGGACGGACTTTAAAGAGACATAATCACCATTGGAAGAGTATACAAGATACCCCATGAAAATCCAACATTCACAGAGGTAATAGATTTTGATTTGTGTATGACGTGGGTAAGGAGAAAGACTTGTATAATCCTTGTACGTACTTTTGTATAAGTTAAACCAATTCATAATACATTATACTTTTAAATAATAAATAAATGCGACAGAAATATTTATGTAATTATTAACATAAAATAAAACTATATTATTTGTTAATTGTTTTAATTTTTGTACACACAAACACAAGGTATACTTAGTAATTGATAAGTCAATGTCCTCGCAGAAAGGAGAAAAAAATATAAAATACCTTGAACAGCTAAGAAATTGTCGTTGTTCTGATCAAACAAAAACAATCGAAAATTGACATATATTTCCCAACCAGGTTGAAGTGAACCTGCTTCGTCCAATGCTAAGTATAGTGAAATATGATCCTTTACATTCTTGCTCTTGTTTCCAATTGGGTACAGAACTAACTTCCTGTGAGGTGTAGGCAAATATATAACACAGTTATTCCCTTTGAAATGACGATATTAAATATTATACAAATGGAATAAGTAAAATTCATATGTGTAAGGATTCATGAGCCGAACCCAAAATCTTAAAGCATTGGATTCATATGTCCTTCCACTTATATACACTTTATTTAGCTCATTACCAAATAATGTGAAATTTATCATACTTGAATATTCCAACAATAATATATAAATGTATACCACTTATAGCCTCCAGCTTCAAAGTTCCCTGACTCGTATCTCTCTATAGAATTCTTCGCGAGAAGTGAAAATGACTGTACTTTCATTAGATAATGAGTCGGTGGAGCATCTACTGTAGATCGTGAAATTCCTGCAATATTATAAGTAAATCACATACAATAAAGTCATATGCTTGCTAGCCATGAGTTAATTTTTCTTAACAAATTAAATTATGGTTTTATTTGTTAGCATCTCCCTCATCCAATTTGAACCCCGTTAATTAAAGTCATATTGGTTTAGTAATTCAAGCAATTTGTGAACATAATGAAATAAATTTCAACAACTATTAATCTTATGATGTATAGAAATCTGATACCATCTTATGATGTATAGATCTTCAACATGCAAGAACGAAAGATGCAAAATCTTGATATGCAAGATGAGAGAAGAAGAAGCCAACACGAAATTAAAGTGTTTCTGTATATTAAGTTAATGAACCAGTTAACCAAAGAATGGTTATATACAACCTATGAAGGAGAAGAATTAAAGAATAAAAAAATAATGTCAACTAACTATAACCAGTCCTTAACTGAATTAACAAACTAAAAACTAAATCAATTAAGTGTCATTGGGCTGGGCCCTTTCTTCTGTTAGGCCCAATTGTGTTGAAACCGGCAACAATTAATGATGATAAAAAAAAACAACTAATGAACTGTCATCATCCATTACTAACAAGCAAAATATATCTTTGCTATGAAGTATATTATGCGCTTAGAACACACGAGTGCATAATTGTTCTTTTGCATGTAGCATAGACACACATATGCCCAAATAGTTATGTAGACACACATGAAAATAAACTCTTTAAAATAAAACTGCCCAGCAAAGAATGGAGGGAAACAAACCACCATCCATGGCTAGATACAGACAAGGGAAACAAGATCAGAAATGTCGGCTATTTCATGTAACCAATTTCATAATGTTATGGTATTTATATGGATAGATAAGATTTTGTTTCCTTATCCTTTCTTTGAAGAAAACTGTTATTAGTTCAAGGACGTCGGCATATATTCTCTGCTTTTAGAATGACTACACGCAAAAAGGTTTCTACGTGAACTTTTTTTTTAAGAAGGATTTATCTACTATATTTGTTAAAAGAGGATTGATTTCTCAGCTTAGGGATATATATATTCTTTGCTTCAAATCGTATATGACGAAATTCTATCTTGCAGAATCACATGGCTTTTATTATGGTTCAAATGTGTACACAAATTATCTTTGTCTGATCAGCAAAAACAACCGAAAAGTTTTTATTAAAAAAAAAAACGAAAAGTAACATATATTTTCCATTCACTCCATCAGGCTAAAGTGGACTTGCTACTTTCAAGTTTCAATGCCAACTATAATGAACAATGCTTCTTCGCATTGTTGCTCTTGTTTCCACTTAAGTAGAGAACCGAGTTTCTTTGAGAACATTTTATAACAGGGCCTAGCACTTCCAAGGTTTTTATCCATGAGTGTACTATAGCTTCTTTAACATATGTGGCTGCTTGTTGATTATGGCTGTCTCCAATCTCTGAACATGAATTTCTCAGGAGTTGTGGTACCATTTAGGAACATTGAGCGAGGCTCTCCTTTAAGTGCAACGGGAATAGTTACTTTTTTTGCCCAAAAGGAAAAAAATAGGATATACGAGGAAATAACCATTAAGATAAGGATAGTATAAATATATATATTTTTCTCCCGTATTTAGTAAAAGATGTATGGAGTGCTTATACATCTGTAGCACTGAAAATATTTTTCTACTTTACACCTACAAACAATGGGTTTTATAATTCTCATTTAACATGAGAATTCAAATTTTCCTACACACCCTTCGATTTTCGTGCTGACATGGGTCCTACATATAATTTTTTCTAACACCTGGGTCCCACATGTTTTTTATCTCTACAATATGATAATTGAATTATCATTTAACATGAGAAAATCAAACCCCATAAACAATCACCTAGGATTTAAGGGACTATTACATAGTTTGTACTATGCTATAGGCCTACTTTTGAGGGCCTTGCCCTACAAATCAATATTTATTTTGATTAGAATAAAATGAAATAATTATTTAAGTAATTTAAATTAATATTTTTATTTTTATTTATTTTTTAATAGATATTAAATGGCTGGCATGTTAATAGACCTACACTAGATTTTTTTTTTAATATAGAACAGAACAAAATTATAATTTAACTTATACAAAACTAATAAGATAACTCATATTCAAAATATTCTACATTCAAATCAAATCAAATCGTTTAAATAATTTATGTTCCCCCTATATAATAATATATTTTTAGTTGACATGTTTATATTTATGAATTATTGACTAAAATAAGATTAATAATCAATAAAATAAAAAATTAATTGAATTCTATTAATTTTCTATTATAAAATTAAATTAACAATATATATACTCCTCACATGTATATATATAATATTTTAGAAAAGAGATTTTCATAATATTAATATTTATTTTTAAAAAAGTATTATATATAAGGGGAGTGTATTGAATTATGATTTTAAAAGACTTTTTTGAGCTAAAAAATCTTATAGATTTTAAAAGACTATTTAAAATTGGAGAGATTTTAAAGACTTTTTTAAAAGACTATTTTTACAATCAAGATTTCATAAGATTGAATTTTAAAGGATTTTAATAGAGTTTATAAGATTTGAAAGGACAATATGGATTTATAAGATTTTAAAAAACATATGAAACTTTAATAAACATCCAAAATTATAAGAGTCAATAAAAAAACGAAAGGTTATACTTACAAACTATTTTTGTTTACAACATTTTACAACCATATCTTAACCGTTGATTTTCGTCAGTCAATGATTATCATTCATTGCAAATTAAATATTAATTAATGAGTTTGATTTGCGAAAATAATAATCATTGATTGACGAAAATCAACGGTTAAGATATGGTTGTAAAATGTTGTAAACAAAAATAGGTTGTAAGTATAATCTTCTCCATAAAAAAATAACAAAGAAATGGAATGAAATTAATAAAAAAAAAGTAAAATATAATATAATTTTCTCAATTAGTAAAACATAATATAATTTTTAACAAACATTCAAAATTACTAAACAACAGCTTTTCACATATCTAATGGGTTGAAAATTATCTTCTTCATTTGATATCAAAGCTATGCATATATGATTATAAGACCCAACTTTTTTAATTATAAAAATAATTCTAAATTTGTATATAGAACCTAAAGTTCGTGATAAAATTCCGTTTGGAATTTTTTGCAATTGATCTTGAAAACTTTGGGGTTTTTGTTTTACGTGATGAGAGCTTTCTAACCATATATCATATGCATATTTTCATTGAATATTCTAAGAAAATTTCAAATCTGAATTTTTGTGTTTAATTACATGAAATTTTAGAAAATTTCTCAAATTTTTTTCAATCGATACATTGAAACCTTAAATTGCTTTGGGCTTTTGAGAAACAAGCTTTTAGTTATCTATTGACACAAAAATTGTTTGAAATCATTTCCTATAGTGAAGAAATTTCGTTGATGAATGTATTGTTACGAAATATAGGGTTCGTATTGTGAAAGTTTCAATCTTTCTTTAAATTGATATTATTTCATTGATGTAAAACGAAAATTGGTTTGAGGATTTTAGTTCTCGTATTATTTTTTCACTATTTTATGTTGTTTTCAATACAAAAAGCACACGTTTTTGTGCCAAGAAAAACCACGACCCATAGCTTGAAAAATCATTTTTTAAACTTTTAAAATTTCTCAAAAATAGCTCAAAAATATGTTATTTTTGAAATAGATTATATTAAAATGTCGTTGATTTGTTGTTTGTGGATTGTTTTGTGATCAAAATCGCTTAAAAATATGTTTTTTTTAGTTTTGACGAAGCTCCTATGGCGGAACCCAATTTCGAGCAGTCAACCTGCCAAAGGAATAAGAAAACACTGCAATAGAAGAATCTCAAGAAATGCTAGGGATTAGGGTGAGATATTGATATTTTTGAATACCACGAGATTTTCATTGTTTAAAATCCTGATTGAATACCAACGGATTTGAACGGATTCTATAATAATCCTTTAAAATCGTAATCGTCACGTGACTTTTTTTCAACCCATTAAAATCCTAATCGAATACCAGCGAATTTTTTTGTCCAAAAACAATCCATTAAAATCCTTTAAAATCTTAATCCAATACACCCCTAAAAATTAAACTTAATTTTCACTTTTAAATTAAATTTATATTATATAATCGACAATTAATATATACTGATAGAATTTTAAAATATTTATATTTAAGAAAAAAAAAAATCTTCATGGGCCGAAGGGTGAACCTTGTACCAATTTAAATACGTTCACTTAATGGATCTGGGCTCAAGAAAACTTGCTCTTTCCTTTGGGGTCATACTTCTTTCACCTGAGAGAGGCTTCTACTTCATTCAACCATTAAATGAAATAGTGCAAAGAAAGCATTGGCAAATTGCTTTGGGTTTCTTCATTGGGTTTCTCTCTCTTTCTCAAGGTAAATTGCTTTCTTCGTTGTGATGGAAAAAAACATGTGATGAAATTTCCTTTCATTATAGATCTCAATATTGATTTTTGGAATTCGTGATTCGCTTTCATCAGCGACGAGTGTGAATCAGGAATATGGATGGTGATTTGCCTAACATAAAGAAATGGATTGTGATGTATCCTGTTTATATAAATTCGAAAAAGACTGTAGCTGAAGGAAGGCGAATTGGCATCACCAAAGCATGCGAAAACCCTACTTGTGCTGAAATTGGTGATTGCTGCAGCTATCTTAAACTTCCTTTTGCAATTGAGGTTTGTTAATTACTGTGTGTGTGTTAAATTAGGATTTTTATTTATTTAACACTAATGTACTATCAGATGCTGTTTGTGGACTTGATTAGTGGAAAATGTATTTATTTAACTTTATTGATAACCACAGATAGACAAGGCTTACCCTCGTGATTTCATGCAAAGAGGGCGAGTGAGGGTATCGCTGAAAAAGGAGGATGGGACTCTCTATAATTCCTCCATCTCATCCCGTAAGAATGTCAATATAGTTTTATACTTTTATTTCTCTTCTTATAAAATTCCAATCCATTTTAGCTACCCATTTTATATTACTTTTTTTTTTTTTTTTTTGTAAATTTCATTCGTCTAATACCTCAGTGGTTGAACCCTACAGCATTTATGTGTGTTTTAGATATTTAATGTCCATAAGAATGTTCCTTTCAATTGAGTAGTTAAGCATTGTCAATTGCCTGAGGAGGCCACCCCATTTCCATCCCATGATTCAATGTTGCTCTAACATACACAATATCAGTTTCGTGATTACCAATTGTAATCTTTATCCAACTGTGATGTTGGCACTAACAACTTAAATTGTCTATTTATAAATATTATTTTATACTTTTAATGTGTCAAAGGCCTTTAAGGCAATATACTTTGTATCTGTCAATTGCATCATCAAGTCTATCTATATGTGTAACACTTAACACATGGTGTGGAGTTGAACCAGCCTTTCTACCAGCAACCCTTATAATATTTTACTTGTATGGCTCCAAACCTCGATTGAGACTGGTCACTACAAATTGTGGTATGGACATAGAATGGTTTTGGTGATGTGAACTTAGATTTGGGTAGAAATTAAGAGTTAGACTGGTATTAATCTTATAACTTTTAATTTATACATAGAAATAGTAATACAAGATTGAGAAAACTGTTTGTTGTTTTTCTGTAATTTCGATGGTTGGAAGATGAAAGAGACACTAAGAATCCGTGTTAATATATTTTTTTCTTACTCTATATGCACAGGTTTATATGAATGATTAAGTTGTAACAGTTACAATATTATAACTGCTTTTTAATATTGTAGTCTTTTTAGATTCTGTCGGATACAATTTCAGTTTTTAAAACGGAAGTTTGGATATAGATGCACAATATGTAAAATAATGGTAGAGTTTTAGAAATGGAAACATTGCTGCTTGGCTTTAGTATCAGAGGTCTAATAATATTCTACTAGTTCTTTTTTTTTGGATACAATGGGAGCACTAAGGTTCGAACCTACTCTTAGACCTCATTCAAACTATCCAAATCCCTCGCTATTACACCAATCCTAGTGGTTTATACTGGTTCTACTTTAAAGTTTAAATAGGTGATTTTTATATGCTCTTTATGGGAACATTAACTACACTCCGGGCCCCTCCTTCCCCTACACTTTTAGATGTAATTCTAATGTATCCATTACTTGATCTCCTTGCTTGGCTCTCTTTTTAAATCCTCTAAGGACAGAATGCAAAGAACCCGAGTTTTCTAAGAAAATTTTGAATTATAAAATATCCTTTTGTTAACTCTTAGCTATCCAATCCATCCACTTGCAAGTCTTATTTTTGTTATCTGTTGATCAAGATGGATTGGATTGCTACTCGGACCTTCAACCCTCCCAAAAAGGAGAAAGATAGATTGTCTTATTTGGTGTAGTCAATATGAAGGAAATTTAGTTAGAAATGCTGATACGTGCCTGATTGTAGATTGTTCAGAGTTTGCCTTGTTTATTTAAGTTTTAGTCAAGTGCAGATGTTACTAATAGGAATACACTTTTTTAATTCATACTTATAATTAATGTGCAAGAGCTGAAATATTGATAAGTCTTAATTCTATGTTACTGTTGCGTTTATCATGCATGGTTGCTTCGGCAATATCGTAATGTTTTGGACACTGTTAACATAGATACTAGCATCAGAGTCAATACTGATCAAGATTAGCTGTTGCATGGTGTTAAATGTTAATAGCCTAGCCATTGTTACACCATGTTAATAAACCATCCAGCATAGAAGATTAAGCTAAGTTTTTTATTTTTTCTAGATAAAAAGATGTTTTAAGCTCGTTGAAACTATGCATATTTGGTAGGGAAACAAGGAAAGAGAAAATAGAGATTGAATAATTTGAAATCGATTTTGATTTGGTGTGATAATGTGACATGAAATGCATATTAGATTTCAAATCTTAATTAAATAAGGAAATAAATTATAAAATCTAATGAAATATAAAAACCTTATCATCTTAAAAAAAGGCAAACACGCGTGCACAAGGTTTCCCGAGTTATGAGGGTATAGGCAAGGGTCGATTGACCTTTTGATCAGAAGGAGCATCCCTACTGTTGCCTCAAGATTCGCCCTCTTAAAATATCATCTAAGATATTCTAAAATATTTTGAAATTTAATAATATCATGAAATTTTTTTTAGACGTTCTAACAAAGATGTTGATGAGTTCAAATGATGGTAGCTCATTTTTATTGCCTCCGAGAATATTGAGACAAAAGCAATTAGTATTCTTTTGCAAACATGACATATCAAAAGGTTAAGAAAATTATTTTCTTGCAGATATTTTCAGTTGCATATATACAATGAATCTGTAATATATCTCATGTTATCATTTTTGTTGTGATTGTTTTGTAGGAAAGCAACTAATGTTTCGCGTTGCAGAGATGGTACCTAGACATAGTGGAAGGACTAAGAAGCAGGAGACTGCATCAACATCAACTGCTGGACCTTCCACCAAATCTGGGAAGGGTGGAAAAAAGAAGAGATAATTCTGTGTTTGAAGTATTATCGAACATGTTATTAGAGTGTCTTGCAGGATATCTTATTTCTTATAATAGGAATAATTTGTCCCAACTAAGTTGAAGTTTTCCCACCCCATTATGTGTTTGTTAAACTTTAGCATGTTGAGACTTTACATTATACTTATAGGACATTTTTGTTTTCATAGAATATTGTCTTTGCTTTTTTCCTGACCTTTTTGCTAAAGTTGCAAGGGAAGAACCGCAGTACATTTGTGCTTTAAAGCCAAGCATCAGCTTTAGTAAGAACTCCACGAGTCCTTGTTATTTTAGTTATTTAACCTTTATATATCATTATTATGCTAGTTAGTTTGTATTTTTTTTTATAAAATTATAAATATTTAATATTGTCATAATAAAAAAAAATATTTACGATATTTAATATTCTGAAAATAAAAAAATGATATAAGAGAATAATAGTTTTGATTCACGTAAGCAAAGTAATTATTTTGCTAATAAATTGTAATATAGACCGGTTTCATGAAATACTAGGTTTTTTCTTTTTCTTTTTTATGTAATAAAAGGAAAGAGAAAAAGCATACAGGCATACAGCGATAAAGGATTATAATTATTATTAGAAAGTGACTAGTTGGATAGTATAAGGTTATAGGAAACAACTGAACGCTCGTATTAGTTGTTGACAAGAAAGTTTTAAAATAAAATAAAGGGAATAATATGTATTATTTTAATGAATATAAAGTTGTGTCGAGAACAAATACTTTTTCATAAAATAAAATAACAGAAAATAATGGTGTTTAACCGGAAATGGGCAAATAACTAATAAGCAATAACAATAATAAAAAGCAGCGTCTGCCGCAGTGATACCTAGGACTAGGAGGCCCCACAGCGCACCTTATCGGATACAAGCTGTGGCTTACTACGAAAGCTGCGAATGCCACGTCGGATAAGTGTGAACGCAACCTGGGGGCCTTTGACTTCAACTCTCTCTCTTTTTTTGTGCCTTTCACGCGCCACCGCTCTTCCTCTTTCTTTCTTTCTTTCTTTCATATCACATTTCCGTTATCTGAAATTGAAAACGCTTCACCTTCAGCAACGGTTTCTCTTATTCGATTCGGCTCAATTAAATTCTTTGCAATCGCTTTTTGGCTGTTTTGAATCCCATGTGTGAGATTATTGCTGGATGATGGCCGAGACCAGAAAATACATTCCGAACGTTCAACAATTAGGATTAGGTTTGATTTTTCGTGCTTTCTAAGTTTTCTTCAATGCCGATTTTCGTTGTCCATTGTCATCATCATCCTTGTGCATTTTTCAAATTACATTTTCTTAGTGGTTTTTATACGAAACTTTTATTCTTTCTGCATGCCCCTGATTGCCTCCAATTTTTACCTCTATGTAATAATGATAATAAAATATGTACATGCATGCTTGTGTTACTCTCTGTCCTTTGGCTCATTTTCTTTTCTCTTTGGTCTACTTATTTTCAATATTTTTTGTGCGCTTCACTTGGATCAGTGAGCACTATTGTTTGTTTACTTGAATCAATGCATTATCTGTGCAGTGTCATTCATATATTTATTTAAACTTTGGTATCATTGTTGCCTTCACTGAATGTAACTAATTTTTATTCTTCAAATAGAGTAATGTATTTGAGTTTGATTTTGATTTTGTTCCTTATGGTTTCTCATATATACATTTGAATTTTTGTTGGATTTTCATAGAGCTTGAAGAGATACTACGAGAAGCCAAGCATCGTTGGCTTCGTCCTGCTGAAATATGCGAAATACTTCGCAATTATCGCAAGTTTGAGTTAACATCAGTTCCACCGATTACGCCTCCAGGTATTGCTTATTTTTTCCTGACCTTCATGCTCCTCTTGATGTTGGTTTTTGGCTACACTTAGGGTGTGTTTGGTACAGGAGAAATTTTTTGGTGACCGGGAATCATGATTAATGGGAATTCAGTAGAAATTGAGTTTACTTGGAATCTTACGAAAGATGTGTTTGGTTCGCTAAAATATTACCGGGAATACTGGGTAAAAATTACTGATTCCATATTTGGTTTAGAACGAAATATGACTTGGAATATGAGATTATTTTACAAAAATAACCCCAAACTATTTTTACTTTTGTAATTGATAGATTGGATCTAGATTTTTATGTGTATTGGGGTATTTTTGTCTCAAAATTTATTGTTGTACTTTTCCTTTACTTGGTATTCTGATTGGTATTCCGAATTACCATATTATTTTTGGTAATCTGAATAGTGACTTTTCTTTATAAATCAAATTACCGGTAATCCTTGGATATCCGGGAATCGTAATTTATTCCTTCTACCAAACGTGGTAATTACATTTACCAAAGAAGGATTACCGGTAATCCTCTCCAAAAACGTGAACCAAACACCCCCTTAAGGTTTTGGAATTGAATCATGACTTGGGAATTCCCATGCCTTAGAGGCTTGGTGGGTGACCAATGGGGTAACAAGCTCAAACCCCACGTCCTTCGATTCCTTTATCTGAGGGCATTTCCTTTTTGCTAGTCATAATTTGGAATTTACTTGTTCTGTTTTTCATGGAGTTCCACGTAAGATGGAGAAAAGTGATAATTAGAAAGGCTTTATGTTAACTCCACCAACACTCCAAAGGAAAGGCAGTGATCTTTATATATGGTTTTAACTAGACTGCATATGCATGGTACGAAGATGGTGTATTAATTTTGACATTATTTGCTATTGTTTTTTTCCAGCTGGATCACTATTCTTGTTTGATCGAAAAGCTCTTCGTTACTTTCGCAAGGATGGTCACCGGTGGAGAAAAAAGAAAGACGGGAGGACTGTAAGAGAAGCTCATGAAAAGTTGAAGGTGTGTTGTTCATTTTGTTAGTAGTAAGTTTCACTTTTTTGAATTGTTATTTTAATCGAACCTCTGACATGCGTCAAATTGTTGTGCTGGAATAGCCTCGTGTAATCAATCGCTCAATCGATTGTAGATTCCTCTTGTTTTCCACACAAGACCATGGTAATATATTATGAAGCTGATACAAATCTTGAGAGAACCTCACCGCAAAAGCTAGCTTAAGAGGTAGGAGAGTCCAAAGTCCATATAAACCCCCACATTAATCACTCATATAACCAATGTGGGATTCCAAGTCCCATACCTTGGAGTAGGATCATAACATTTCATCACGCTCCGCCGCCCCGCCGCCCACGCGAGCTGGCTTTGCACTAGTCTTTTACTAGCCCTGGGCGAACACTGCAATGTCAGTGTCACCACCTGCGCCGCTCGATTGGAACCAGGGGACATAGTGAAAGGCTCTGATACCAATTGATACGAACCTTCGAAGAACATCACCCCAAAAGCTAGCTCAAGAGGTAGGAGGGTCCACAGTCCATATAATCCTCATATTAGTCACCCTTATAATCAATGTGGAACTTCAAGTCTCATACGTTGGAGTAGGATCGTAACAAAAGCACATTTGGTTGCATAAACATGTATCTTCATGGATGGTTCTGAGATTCATGGCTTGTTTAATTATTTTACAGATGTTGATCATTAACATATGAGAGTATGGTAGCCTTGATATCTAAGTATGATGACCTTCTAAAAGTGTTGAATGTATAGTTAGAGGTGGCAATATGGATTGAACCCGACGGGTCAACCCGCCAAAACAGAGCGGGTTGGGTTATATATTTCAACCCACAAACCCGTCCCGTTTAGTTGTGGGTCAAAACGGGTTGGTAGTGGCCCGCGGGTCAGCTTTTTTTTTTTTACTATTAGGTAGTATTTTATTTGTCACTAAGTTTTTGTGATAAAAATATATTTTTATTTTAGTACTCCCCTAAAAAGGGTAAATAATTTTTTATTTATTTATGACAAAAGTTATCTATATATGGAGGCAAAAATAAGTTCCTAAAAAATATCTAACTGAATATTAACTTATATTTAGGCTTGAGATTGAAAAAAAATTAAGGGGAGTGTGAAATATAAATAAGTAATATTATAAAATTAATAAAATATAATTTATTATTATTTTTTAATTATTTTTTGTTTTTTAGACGGGTCACCCGCCAACCCACCTCAAAACGGGGTGGGTTGATATTTCCAACCCACCATCAAATGGCGGGTCAACCCGCTCCGCCTTGTTTTTGACAGGTTTGCCCGTTTGGCCACCTCTATGTATAGTGCCATCTTTATGTAACTCAAATTCTAGGTTTCTGGTTTAATGTATATCTATAGTGTCATTTTTCCCATTTTGGTCCCAAGAGCTGCCTAATCAATTGACTCTATTGTTGAGTGTAGGCTGGTAGTGTGGATGTCTTGCATTGTTATTATGCTCATGGGGAGGATGATGACAACTTTCAACGGAGATGTTATTGGATGCTTGATGAGTGAGTTTCATCATCCTGTTGATTTTAGTATTCATAGTTTCTTTTCTTTGGTTTCATAAGAGAATATTCACATTGGTGCTTATGTCGGTACTTGCTAATGCATCTGGTCATTTTGTAAGTTTTTTTTTGAAATCTTGAACAATAATAGATTGACTCTTAATTTTGTACTGGTATAAAACACTGAAAATAATGTTTTTGATGCAGTTTTATTTTGCTCTTAATGGGTCAAGATTAACAATCCAAGCCTGGACCCTCCAGACTAGCAGGCTAAACCAGCCAACCACTGGGTGGGTTGATTTTAATTATAAAAAAATAAAATAGAAAAATTAAAATACTAATTTATAATTTATATAAATATCTGCAATTTATATAATTATCCAAAAAAATGTCATATTTCTTAAGTTGATGACGAAAACTTGACAATATTATAAATGAATATTGAATACTGCTAAAATTTCTGGCCAGAGTGGGCCAGCATGCATCTGACCTATTTTGATCCCCAGGCTAAATGGACCATGCCATATAGGCCCTCATTTTAACGGGCTTATCATTTTAAGATCCCGGCTGCATAACCTATAGGCTGGTCCATGAGTCCAGGCCCTTTTTACAGTGCTAGCATTGATATTTTTTCTGTCAACTTGAATATTGTTCTGGATTGCAGGCAGTTAGAGCACATTGTCCTTGTGCATTATCGAGAAATTAAAGAGGTATGCATTTGTTCTTCTATTTAGCATTTTTGCTTTTATATCATTTGAAGTTATCCTGATAAGATGCTGTTATATTGAAACCAGAATCCAGGTCAATCTGATTAGTGTTGAGCACAACTATGTTGATCTTCTTTCTGTTACCTTTTTCTTCCATGCTTGTTAATAATGATCTGCTTTTATGGGTTGTAACCAATCGTGAAGACTGACTAATGATTGACCCATTAATGAATCTTCTGATTCCATTCTGTTTCTTCAAATTTGCTTGTTTTGCACTTGTTAAATGATTTGTTCTTCTATTATTATGTCATGCTTCACACTTTACAGGGATGCAGGTCTGGCATCTCACATTTTCCTGTAGTCCCAGTTACCCAGGTTGGTGGCTCTCAAAGTAGTTCAGCGCCTTCCTCTGGCAAAATAAACTCCCCATTATCCGTAGCTCAAACATCTTTTACATCAAGTGAAAATAAAGTTGATCAGAATGGACGAGCTTCAGAGTATAAGGATGCTGACTCACAGAAAGGTCTTCAAGCCTCTTCTCATGCCCAACCTATCAGCAATTCCATACTTTGTGGTGCACCTCGGCTTGCACATGAAACCACCGGTGGTAAGTTGCATGAGATTCATGCAAATTATGAGGAATGATTTGAGATAGAAAAGGAATATGTTTGTTAATGTCAGTTCTCTTAAGGATCAATTCCATTTCAAGTAGCTCCCTGGTGCCATGGTTGTTGTCTCTTATGACAAAGGATCAATAATGCAGATTTTCAAATTTACAGTTTTTTATGTTATGGATCTTTCATAATGCTCTTTTAGAATTATTTTCATTGTGCTATTTCAAAATTAATGTCTATCCATAAACTTTTTAAAGTAAATTTCACTTATAAAACTGTTGATTTATTTTAATTCATCTTAGGTCATATCATCGTTTTATTTTGTTTTGTTGTTAGTCAATGAGTTTTTAGTGACAAAGACAATGCCTATTGCCTTGTTCATCCCTTCCTTCTCTTGCCTTTAACTGTATTTGTTTATTTGGCCCACAGTGATGGTACTTTTTGGCTACTATGTCAATAATGGCAGTTTTGTTTGAGCTTTTGAATTTGTGAATTTTTATTTTTATTTTATTTTATGATTCAGGGTTTTCTCAGTTACCAAGAAATCCCTTTATTTCGTGGTCATCTTCTCTCCCTAGCTTTTCTTCTGATACTGGCTTGTCCCCGTGGGCTCTGGTTCAGAACTCTGGCAGAAACACGGTTTACATGCATGATAGAGAACTGCATGTTGAAGGATCCACTGAAGGCCCTGAAGCTGACTTCACTGTTCATAAGCTAAGCGATGCAGTTCACAAAATGCAAGATGGTATAATTTTCAGAGATAGGCTTAGTACTGGCAAGTATATCCAGCCAGTTACAGGAGCTTTACAGACTGTAAATCAGGTGTAGTAATTGCAAAATTTTAAACTTTGACATGCTGTCTCCACTTTCCTTGATGAGTCCTTATTATTTTTATAGCATCAAAGTTTGGGTAGAGCTATGCATCTGAGTGTGTAGCAGAAAACCTAACAGCAGTAAGAAATTATTAGTTTAGTCAATGCATCTCAAGTGCATGTCAACAATATAAAATGTATTTTATGATCTTGAGGTCTATGTTGTGTATGACTTTCATGCTTGATAAGATGACTTTAGCTGATATCTTGTGATCTTCTTCTGGACTTTCCTAATGCAATCTTGTTCCTTTGTTCTTTATATAGTTTACTAGTCATGATGCTTCCCCTGTGTGACTTTTTTTACTTTGTGTCAGGTGCAAAAGGAGCATGATTTAGATTCATTTCATACCCTATTCCATGGTCATACTGATCTAACAGTTGCTGCAACTACTACAGTCCTTGTTGAACAAAAATTTCAAGATGGTGGTACACACAATGATGAGTCAGAACATGTTGAATCTGGTGAATTGAAAAAGCTTGATAGTTTTGGAAGGTGGATGGATAAGGAGATTGGTGGTGACTGTGATAATTCCTTGATGGCTTCAGACTCTGGCAATTATTGGAGCACACTTGATGCTCATAATGAGGATAAGGAGGTGTCTAGTTTATGCCACATGCAGTTGGATATGGATTCATTAGGCCCTTCTCTTTCTCAAGAACAACTATTTAGTATCCATGACTTCTCTCCAGAATGGGCATACGCTGGGGATAGAACAAAGGTGTGTGCCTTTTTTCATTTAAACATAAATTCTCATGCACATACTTGAATTCTTTATTGATTTGGATGTTCATGAATTCCCATTTAAAATCTGGTTTTGATTTATTTATTCCTTCTGTGAAAGGTTTTAATAGTTGGTACATTTCTGGGGAGTAAAACGCTTTCTAGTGAGACCAAATGGGGATGTATGTTTGGTGAAATTGAGGTTTCTGCTGAAGTTTTGGCAGAGAATGTCATACGGTGCCAGACTCCTTTGCATTCACCTGGTCGTGTTCCATTCTATGTTACCTGCAGCAATAGGTTAGCCTGTAGCGAGATCAGAGAATTTGAATATCATGAAAATCCAACTAAATTTTTTGCTCCTGTGGGTATTAAAATCTCACCAGAAGATGAGGTACGGCTTCAAATGCGACTACTTAAACTAGTAGACTTGGGACCTGACAAGAAGTGGTTGAAGTGCTCTGTTTCTGAATGCGAAAAATGTAAACTTAAGGAAACAATGTATTCCATGAGAGGTGATAATGGAGTATTAAAAGAAACTTTCCAGATTGATGGAAGTGATCACATAAACCCTAGAGATGTGTTATTTCAGAAATTAATGAGAGACAGGCTTTATGAGTGGTTGATATTTAAGGTTCATGAAGGAGGAAAAGGACCACAAGTGTTGGACAATGAAGGCCAAGGAGTAATACATTTGGCTGCTGCCCTTGGTTATGTGTGGGCTATGGGCCCATTAATTGCTGTTGGTATCAGTCCTAACTTTAGAGATGCTCATGGAAGAACAGGACTTCACTGGGCGTCATATTTTGGAAGGTCAGATTCTATCAGAGACTGTTCACTTAAAATGTGTATTATATAGGGTTTATTTTGTTCCTGCATCATTTCATCTCTATTTGTTCTCTGGAGAAACGAAATGCTATTCTCAATGTATTATTTGAATTTTTCTTTTCAAAACTTAAATTTCTTTTTTCATCTATACTGAAATGTATATCCCTTGTTTCATATTATTGGGGATGATTTTCGTTATACATTGTGTTTTGAACCCTTAGACTTGAGTATTATGTTTCCTATTTTTTAATTATTGACAGTATTTTATTGGCTATATATAATGACCGTGCATCTGTACTCTGTTTTCTGTTCCCTTCTCTTCAGAGAAGAAACTGTGATTGCCCTAGTCAAATTAGGAGCAGCCCCAGGTGCCGTTGAGGATCCAACATCATCATTTCCTCGAGGACAAACAGCAGCAGATTTAGCTTCAAGTAGAGGACATAAAGGCATTGCTGGGTATTTGGCTGAGGCAGATCTGACTAGTCAATTATCTACATTGAGTGTCAATGAAAATGAGATGGACAACAGTGCCACAAACCTATCAGCTGACCATGCTTTTGAGTCTTCTGAAGGGTACTCATCTAATATGACAATGGATGAGCAACATTATCTAAAAGAGTCACTTGCTGCTTTTCAGAAATCAGCTCATGCAGCTGCTTCAATCCAAGCAGCCTTTAGAGCAAGATCATTCTGTCAGAGACAATTAGCCAAAAGTAGCAGTGATATTTCTGAAGTAGTACATGACCTAGTTGGTGAATCTTTGAACAAGGTTCAGAAGATGGGTCACTTTGAGGATTATTTACATTTTGCAGCTTTAAAGATTCAAAAGAAATATCGTGGGTGGAAGGGAAGAAACAATTTTTTGAAAATACGCAACCGCATCATAAAAATTCAGGTACTTGTGCACATACAGTGTATTTTACTACCATCATCATATGATCATGCTAGTCTTCTAGACGCTTTTCTTGATATGTTATACAATCTGCTCCTGTCCTTTTTCCCCTAAAATATGTTTTTTCATTCTTTTGGGGTGCAACCTTTAAAATTATTATGTGTTGACCGGAGCTTTTCTTTAGGTGTAACATATTGTGATTTCATTTGGTATTTGCTATTCATTTAACTTGATTCTTCTGTAAAGGCTCATATTAGAGGACACCAAGTTCGTAAGCTGTACAAAAAAGTTGTTTGGTCTGTTAGCATTGTGGAAAAGGCAATACTGCGTTGGAGGCGGAAAAGAGCTGGTCTGCGAGGATTCCGAGTTGGGCCATCAGTTGGCATTGTTGCCAAAGATGATGACAAAAATGATGAGTATGAATTTCTTAGCATTGGGCGGAGACAGAAATCTGATGATGTAAAGAAAGCTCTGGATAGAGTGAAGTCCATGGTTCGTCACCCAGAGGCACGAGATCAGTATATGAGGCTCATCATGAAATATCAGACTTATAAGGTAGTGTTATTTATTTCCTTTTGCTGATTCATATTTTTATGCCATTGAGATACAGGTGGCTTTCAAGCTTTGTCAGTCCCATGTAGTCATACTTTTCTGGTAAATTGATTCGGAAAGAATCAAATCTGATTTGTCTAATTCTGTTTTGCTGCTTGTTTTGGCATACCCATTTAACAGATTGATGATGGTGGAAACAGTCAATCACAGCCTGTTGATTAGACTCTGAAGGAGGAAAAGAGGAATACTGGTGGCACTTTGTGTTAATACTAAAGTCTTACAGGTATACCATTTTATGTAAGCAATATCTAACATAGTTTCTATAGAAGTTATGTTAATTAAAAATGTACAAGAAGAAAATTCAGAAATTGGGGAAAATGTATGTCTTTTTGTTCCCGTTTTTCATTGAATAGTCAGTTTTAGTTATCAAAGAGTTGAGTAATGTATATAGGCTTATTGAAATATGTGGAAATTAGAATAATTGTTCGTGGGAATTTTATCCGCAATAATATTATTTTTTATATTTTGCATGTTATCTGCATCTGTGGTTTACTTTGGTTGCTGGCCTTTTTTTATACCTTGCTCAGTTAAGTTGCTCATATGATTTTACGAAAACGGAAATTCTTTTGTCTCAAAGGAAAGGGGCCTGGGTTGGGAACAAATCTTGGTGCAGCGGATGTATCTACATTTTATCCCTTTGGAACTTAAATGAATATATAAATTAAAAGCTGGATTCAAATAGAAAAAAACGAAAAAAACTTTCCACTTTTAGAAAAAAGAGTATCCAAGTACCTAAGAAATTTTCCTGGGATGGGACAAGAGTGGTAGGAAATGGAATATTATTTTCCAGAAGAGGATATTTTTCTTCTTATAAAAATTTTTTGAAAAAAAAAGGTTACTCGTAGACTAGACAAACTTTTTGGTAGACTTGTTGCATATATAAATGTGTTATCTATGGTCATCCAAAACCTAGACTTCATTACGATGAAAGAAAATTAAAATTATAATATAATTTATTTTTTTTAAACTTCTTTCCAAAAGATTTTTTAAGTTTGTAAGAGAAGTGTTAAAATTATTATTTTTTAAAACATACGTTTAAAAAAATATTTAAAAATGCTTTTCTTTTTTTAAAAACACATACACAAGCAAATGGATCCTCTGACATGAATCAAAAAATCTAGTCGGCTCCTTTATGTGAAATTTATGCTTTCAACATATTTTGTAGTAGAAGACGAGGAATGAAATGTACAGTTGAAGGGTGTCTGTACAGTTTACATACAATCTGGTTGTTTAGCCGTGTGAATTATTACCAGCAGATTTGCAGTGCTGAGCAAGCTGGTCATTAACACGAGAAAATTGTTCAGATTGTGACAACCTCCTACTGAATCTAACGTTACCCAAATTTAGAGCGCTCTTATCCTGTAGTCCACAAAATGAAAGGCACATGTGAGAAGGGAAAAGCCTCATTATAAAATGACAAGATCCTACCAAAAACAGAAAGATAAGTAGACATGCCTTAGTCTTTGATGACTGTGGGACTCGATGGGTATTTCGTGTCCCAAGTAGTGTTTTCACCGTGTCATCCAATTCTGCAACCGTCCTCATGAGATTGGTCTTATCCATCTGCAAGAGGCAGCAAAAACCATGAACTGAAAATTCTGAATTCTTAGGGGAAACTCGGGTCACTTATGTGTTGTAACCCCTACCTTCAACATTTCGTTTTGCGCAGAAAGCAACTGATCTCGCTCTTGGAGTTGCTGCACTGCTATCTGACTGGCAAGTATATCGGCCTCTTTAGTTTTCAGTTCCGATATGCAGCTGAGTCAACAATTAAATGTAGTAAGTATAATGGAAATGAGAGTTGTGAACCATTATTTACAGGCTACTCGTAACTACAACCTATATTTACAGTTTTTTTTTTTTTAAAAAAAAGAACTATAAAAACTTGACATATAAAATTGTTTTTTCTTGGGTTCGCTGGAGGTTATTAAACAATAGTATATCCCCTTCTACATTGTCACTCCACCTGTTTCGTATAAACTTGAATTGTGCTCAACTTTGTGGTGACGTTGGAGGACAATGCTATCCATTTTATTGGAAGATACAAAAACACCAAAACAATTTTTTATATTTTTTTTGGATACAAACTACTCTTTATAAAAGTCACGTAAAAAATTTTCCATATGCCCCGACACATGGTAATGGGAGAAGTTATAATATGATAAAGAACTTCTAATTCAAGAGCTTGCCAAATTGAAGACAAATAATAAGAATGTATAATCAGGAATGGAAAACAGATTAGGGAAACGTGGTTTCGAAAGTACACTAACCTCTCTCTTTCTTCAATGAGATCACTAATCTGCAGTCTTAGGTCGAGATTCTCTTTTTCCTAATGAGAAAGAAATTATAATTAAGAGAACACACGATAAAATATAGAGTAGACCATAATTTTGGCACTTGGTACCTTTGCAAAGAACTCTTTTCTTTGATGATGAGCCTCCTCCACTAATTTCACAATCTGGTTTTGGTCTATCAAATTCTAAAACATACCAAAAGCAAAAATGCAAGGCAATGAGAAATTGCAATCATGAAATCCTACAATTTAAAAAGGGATTTGATTTTCTCATGTTGCATGAGAATTCAATTCTCATGTTGTGACTCAACTAATGGTAAGTCCCACATTTATTAAAAAGAGAAAAAGAAAAGAAAAACTTTGCACGCAAATCGAAGGGTCACAATATGAGAATTGAATTCTCATGCAACATGAGAAAATGTTTTTTCATTTAAAAATGAATCTGAAACTTACTGCATAGTTGGTGATGTCCAGTTTTACACCGAGAAGGTCCCGAATGACATCATGAGTCATGCTTTCAGTAGCAGCCAGCCTTGTTTGTAGCATGCATACCTGACCAACATAAATTTTTAGTCCATTATGTATTGACTAATTATTTTGCTAATTCTTACACGCCACTGTCACAGAATCTAATTGAAAAGTAGTTCTCTTATTCCTACACCTTAGACTCTAAACCTGAATTATTGGCTAAATATTCTCTTTGATGATGAGCCCCCTGCACTAATTTCATTATTTGCTTAGATAAAAGCACGTCTGTTAACCAAATAATAAACATTGTTAAAACACTGTAACCCACGTGAAAATTCAGCGGAAGAGACATTTCCCTTTGAAAAGGCAGTCACCATAAAACAAAAGGAGACAATAGTTGGGGTTTGGAAACCTTAAACCCTGATAACCATCATATGAAAAAGATATTGATATGTACTTTCCAAGCATCTACAGTTCTACACTTGGGACAGAGATCATAAAAAGTTAAAGACCTCCTTTTGCCGAGTTGCTGCGAGTGCTTCGAGTTCTTCCACACGGAGCTTTGCCACCAACAATTCTTGATCCTTCTCCTGATTCATCTGCTGAACAAGATTTGAAATGCATCTGAATGGTGAGCTTGAACCTCTCGTCCTTACTGAGCTTTTCTCGATTTTCTCTGATGTTGAATATGACATATCTGTTTTTACATCGTGGAACATGGACTCCAGGCACTTGTACTAACCACGAAGGATAGGGAAGCAAAATAGATGGAAACGTAAGAATAACAGATGATACATAGTTTCAGGATTTTCAAATAAAAACGTTGTTAATCAAATTTGATTTTAACACAATGTGACCCAGAATAACATGAACTTATATTGAGGTGTGTACCTTCTGTTGGTACTGCAATGCTTGGGCTTCAGTATGCAATACAATTTCCGAGATGTACTCTTTGCACTTTTTAATCTTCCAAAATATAAGCAAAATGTCAGACTTCAAGACAAAAATAAGGGCAGGAGTATCATACAATTTAATTGCTTTTTAATGAAATATCTGGGAAGTACCTCCTTATCTTGTTCTGCGTTTTCCTTTTCAAGAAGCTTTATCCGATTTAGTGCCTCATGAAGTTCCAGTATTTTACTGGGTAGTTGCCTGCATCAGGGTTTTATATATGATGGACAATGGAGAAATTAAATCTGATACCAATGACAACAGTAACAACAACAGAAGCCCTTTTGCCAATAAACGGGGTCAGCTAATGGATAAATCAGAAACCAATAATACACAGAAAATAATTTTGACCAACTTTTAGGGTAAAATTTCTTTTATACTATAATCTAAAATTGTCTCAGCATCTTTTGACTTATCAGGTTGTTATCAGAGTCATTCTTTCAATGATGTGGCAAAACATGATAAGATGATAGTGCAAAAAATGTTTACACTTACAGTTGATCAAGATTAGACTAAAATACAAATCAAGGAGAGGATAGCAGCTCTAACCTAGATATCTGCTCGTCAGTTTGAGCACTCGTGCTTCCTGAATCTGCATGCCAGGGTAAATTGTCAACTAACAATAATCTCTCTTTCAAAGCTTCGAGTTCCATTTTTAGCGAATCACTAATTAAACGATGTCGTCCCACCTCCTCATCCATTTCATGCACCTAAGAGCAATGCAGTCTAGTCAGCAAAAAGCTAGTAAGCAAAAGAACAGTTCAATTATCTTACTGAGCCATTTTTAAGCAACAAGCATGCACGGTAGTGATACTGAACATTAATAATATTGCCCAACCTCACCATGCTTTGAATTACTTCCCTGAGACTCTGTATAGAACGAATGAATCGTACATGAAACTAACCTTTTTCTCTAAAACATTTATGGTAGACTCAAGCTCCTCAACAGAATGTTCCAGAATACTGACTTCCTCTTCCTTTTGCTCAGCATGGAGCTTACTAGACTCTGACTCCTACAAAAGAGATTTCAGTTCCACAAAAGGGTGTTCCACCTATAATAATAATTTGAAATTGAAAGCAGATGGAACCAGAATAATCAGCATATAGATACCTGACGAGCTTCTATGGCAATTGCTTCCTTTTCATCAACCAAGGAATAAGCCATCTCAAGCTTATCATTCAAGACACAAACTTCTTCGTGGAGTTGATCTCTTTCTATTATCACCTTTCTTAGTTCATCCTCAAAGTTTTCAAACAAGGAAAGTGATTGGTTTTCCAGTGAAGCTGTCAAATTAGCAATTTCTTTTTCCAAGCCTTTAATCACCTCTTTATGTTCATCCAATTGCTCTTCAGCTTCAATTCTGTTGCCATAGAATTCTCTCAAAAGCTCCTTTAACTCTGTATTTTGATCAGAAAGATTCTCGATTGATTCTTTAGCAAGCTGAAGCTCATAATTTGATGTAGTTAAGGCCTTTTCAGTGTCAGCAAGAGAACCTTCAAGTTTTCTGTTCTTCAGCAGTATATCATCAAGCTGACTTGCTTTAATCTCTAGCTCATACCGAGCTTGGCTTAGAGAAAATATTAACTTCTCAGTCTGATCCTTAATGTCCTTACTGTTAGAAGCTGATTCCTGCAACAGCCTGAAGTCAAAAAATAAACCCTCTAATAACTGTTGTTTCCTCTCTAACTCCTTTCTAAGATCCATATTTTCATATGTTTCTTTGACATTAGGCAAGTCCCGCTCCTCTTGCACATTTTGGATTAAAACACATTGATCTCTTTTCCCTGTGCCTTCATTACCTATACTCATGACAGTTTCTGCAACATTTGAGCAAATTTTTGGTAAATTATGCAATTCCCCTTGTCCGGCTGATTGCAAATCATGGTTTACACTAAAGCAGGCAAATTTACTGGCCAGCTTTGTTACAAATCCTTCATCCACAATCCTAGAGAAAATATCTTCTACTGATGACCTCAGGCTACTCATAAAGTATAGCATCTCCTGCCCCACCAGAAGAACATCAGAATGCATTATCATGAATTTCTTCTCCACATTGGTTTGTATTTGCAAGAAACACTCTTCTAGCATAGAAACTGAATTTTTCATCTCTAACATACTGAAATGGATGTGATCCTTCAGTAATCGGTTCTCTTCTTCTTTTTCTTGAACTGAAAATTTGAGTTTTTGAATCTCTTCTGCCAAGTTTGCTCTCTCAATCATCAAGTCTTGACCAGCCTGCTTCCACATAGCAGTCAACTTTTTTGAATCTTCTAATGCATTTGTCAAAGCATGTAGCGTAATATCTGCTTCCTTCACTGTTGCATGAGCTTCCATAAATTTGGTTAAGAAGCCATCTTCAGGTTTAAGCTCCCTATAACCAAATACCTGAATCATAGGTACAGAATTAAAGAATATAAAAGACAATTCTTTTTTCCTGTTCAGTAAATACTTCAATGATTGTCAAACGAGTAGTAATTATGATACTTGGTGCATCCATTTCATAAGTTTAGCAACTATATGTAAGGTTACATACCTCTGTGTCATTCTCACAGCCTGCTTCATCTTTCTGCATCATAAAGTGGAAAGATGGAATCTCCTTTTTTAGTTCTGTCATTCATCATTGCATGATTTAGACTTTTGCAGTACTTTTCACATGACTAAATACAAATAGATGTGGCATTTTCAAAAAAATATACATTTATGCATTGAAAAATGGCAGTGGTGATATGATACCTTTAGGGTAATAACAGGATTCATCGTCCAATTCTTTGAGAAGTGCAGACAAGCGAACATACAGTCTTTGGAAACTATCACACGTGACATTTAATTCTTTACTCAGACAGGACACTGCTGTTTCATTATAGATTGGCCTTTTCACAAGCTTTCCTGTATTTGATGATGTGTGATCATCAAATTGAATTACAATGCCTCTTTCAGATTTCATGTGTACCTCTTCTTCTGTTATGTTTCCAGGAAACTTAAATTTGCAAGTATATGTGGATCCATGTGACTTACTTCCAGAAGCAACGCTCTCAGTTTCAGTTGACAAATCAGAGACTGAAGAACTATCAGCACTCAATTCATCAGCATCTATGAAATCTTCATCCAGCAGTTGAAAGCTAGATGCATTTACTTCTGTGCTAATACAATTCTCTATGATATTCAGTCTTTTATTCATCTCAACAAGTTGCTCTTTTATCTGATGCAGTGTGTGTTGATGGTCTCCAGACACCTGGCATTTGTTTGCATTGGATGTTAGGGAGTCAACTTTATAACCCTCAGAACTTCTATGATGCATCTTTAAATCCCTTACTTCTTTCCTCATGTCCTGAGTTTCTTTGACTATGTCCTGAATCAAGTCCCTGTTAGCACAACAAAGACCAAAGATACCAGTTTGGATAGCTGCTGTCTGCGTTTCTGTATCTGCAAAAAAGGCTTTTACAGCATTCTCCATCTCCAGTACTTCTAGTTTTGTTAACTCAACTTGAGCCATAAGATCATTCAGTATCAAATTATTTCCAACATTTTGATTCTCAGAAATAGTACAACTTCCCAGTCTGGCTTGAACATCTAGCTCAGTGATGGAAATATTTTCACCATCACCATTCATATGAGCTACACTATAACTATCAGAAAGCCATTTTGCCACAAGGAATGCAGCATCAGCTTGTTTAGCAGCTCTACAAAGTTGATTGTTTTTATATTTTATTTCATTTTCCAGCATCCTTATCATATTGGTCTTCTCATTTAAAAACACTCTTAATTGGATTGCCTCTTCAATGCCTTCATTGTTGTCTAGCCGTTGAAATGCACTTAAGGTTACAGTTGCTTCCTTTAAGGAGCTTATCTTCAACTCCATGTCCAATAACATTTTTTGTGCATCCTCCAAGCTACTTTGTAGCTGCTGAATTGTTTCCTCCTTCTCAATATACTTTTTGACAGCCATGCCAACATGTTCGCTAATCCCAGCATTAACCTGGGGAAATGAACATGAAATGCTTTTTACTTGGCCACAGGCATTTTTGAGAGATCTGGAGCCTTCTAGAAGGAAGGTTGTCAGTTCCAAGATTGCCTTTTCCCAGTCCAAACACTGTGTCCTAATTTCCTGCTCTTTTGCTGCAACCAGATTTCTTAGCTCTGTATTTTCTTGAGTAATGGAGCATAACCTCCCTTCTAACTCTGACTGAAGACTGGCAACCTCTTCCTGCAAATGAAGAATTGTGCTAGTTGTCTCAATCTCAACCTCTTGACACACTATTTCAGTCTGTTGATTTTGAGATAACTGTAATGCCCATTTCTCTTGATATTGGTCATTAAGTAACCTCACTTCTTCAAGATCCTTGCTCATTTTTTCCAATTTGGCCTCCAACTCTTTGTTGTTGTTATATTCATTATCCTTAGCAAACTTTCCTGAGGCACCCAAAGCATCTACTTCAATTGTATTTGCTAAAGCATCATCAGCTTCCCATGTAGAGGATGGCATTCCATCCCCATAATCACTTCTCATGGATATTGTCTCAAGAACCTGTAAAACTTAACTGATTATGATGAACTTGATGATGAAACAAGGAAGCACACACATTTAATTTGTATACTAAAAAGATGAGAATAAGTGCATGCTAATCCATTAAGGATATTTGCTCAAGACATGAAATAAATTGATTACGAGGTGGATATATCTAATTATATATGCATACACTTTCAAGAAACTTCGTTTTCTTTTCATCTCTCAACTTTCATTTCAAGTTATGAAATTGCTATAGCTTTTGGTCACAAACTGAATTTGGGTGTGGCCGGTTTTGCTATCCTTCTTGCTGCTGTACAAATTCATGATCAGTCCTTGGCATTGGCCAGAGACAATAGCATAGTAGAATTTAGCCACTTCGGCCAGAATCACACAGTGGTCCAATGTGAGCAACAAGAGTCCAGCAGAAAGTTCTTTCAAAATACTTGCTTTTAAGGGAACATGGTCCTTTCTCACTCTTCCCACACCCATACACGTACTATTGCACAAGCATACGCATCAGTTTATTCCAACAGAAATATAGGAGCCCAAGCAATAGTACATCACAATTACAGAAACAACAAAAACATTCCAATTATTGGGGGGCTTGGACGTTCAAATGCTCTTGCATATACACTTAACAAGCAGGATCTGCAGATAAAAACTAGCACGATATGCAGACAAATGCGTTTTTATTAAAGACACTACCAGAAGCAAAACGGGCTAAATAGATGATAAGCTAAATAAGCTTGTATCTTTCCTCACCAATGAACATTTATCTGTCTTCAGAAGTTCATCAGGATGCTCAAATGAAGAATTCAGAACCTGCAGGGATGGAAAATGATTAAACACTACAGAACAAAGGTTCAGCAACATGTTCACTGGCATTGTCGGTATTCCATAAGAAATCCTTACAGAAATAGACTTAACTTGATTGTACTTCAAATACTTTCCAAGTTCTGTCTGTAATTTACTTACTTCTCTGCAACATAAACAATAAAGAAGAAAAAAAGGAAGAAATTTGTCAGCAGCCTACTGCAAAATAATTTTGGAATTGCAATATAATAGTATCACCAATATCCTGATATGGAAAAAGAAAATAAATAAATGAAATAATATTTGAAAATTCCAAACAGTCATGTGCCGAGTTCTCCAAAATAAATGCATCGTTCTACTCCACAATACATTTAACAATAATAACCTTTAACTAAATACAGCATCAATAAATTGGCATCATGGTTGCAGCTTAGCATACTGCTTACACAGGAACTTTGTTCTACAACATTAAATGATGAATGAACTATTAAGAAGAACCCCGGTAGAGAATGGAATATCAGGTTTCACATGAATAATAATAATTCTGATTTAGGCCAATTGTCTACCTAAGCAATTTAGAATTCATATTCTGACAATCTTCCAACTCTTGTTTAGTGTCAGTGTCCTGAAATATCAAAGAGCATACCAAGTGAAAACAGTAAGAACTCCGATAGATAGCTAATATTGCATGACTCGTGAGTAATAAAAGAAGTTGACCTGATTTCCATTTTTAATGGAGAATGTTAATCTCTCTTGGAGATGGACGAGAACCTGCACATGAAAAAGAAAATAACAACTATCCATAATCCGGACCGCATGAAAGTTGAGTTTTATCTTTCAGGAGAGGGTAGGACAAAGTCTAGGACGTAGCCAACCTGATCACGCAATTCAGAAAGTTCAGTCAGCAATCTTTCCCGCTCTCCATGCTCATAAAAGTTTTGGAATCTGGTAGTAAGCACTGGTGCAAAATGAGTCACTGGCATCTAGGACGAGATTAGGACATACGAATAATAACTGTCCATTCAACTTACAGTCGTAGTTGTTGCAAAAGTTTATCATTCTCCAAAGCAAGTCTGGATGATTCTGAATTTTTACCAATGTTCGCTTTATGCAACTGAATCTCCTCCCGTAAAGCCCGGTTTTCCTCCGTGAGATACTTCTCAGCTGACAGTTGACCATCTACCAATAATTCAAGTTGTTTAATTTTCTCCTCACAATGCCTTAGCATAATTGAAGTATGTTGAGTTTCCTCTTCCCTTTGTCGCACCTGCAGAGAATGCAATATAAGTATTTTAAGCTCATGATAGTAAAAATATTGATGCCCATTCACGTAATTAGCCTGAAATCTCTTCGGGAATAGACGACTGATATAAGGAAATTGTTCCAAGGCTTAATCAGGAGGAATTCTAAAAGCTAGAATTTTTGTCAAAATCATACACACCAAGCAGTTTGTGCGTTCAATTTCAGCCTTTAAATTCTGGATTGTAGTCTCAGCCATCTTTTCTCTCCTTAAGGCACCAACCAAAGCAGCTTCCATGCAGTTGATCTGCCAGATAACAGCTCAAACATTCCGTGACTCTTATTAAGATTATTATTATTATTATTATTATTGGATAAAATCCCTTGACAATCTCATACAACCCACAATACAAGATCCTCAACATAATTGAAATAAAACTCACCTCTTTGTTTGGAATAAGTAGCTTGTGACCTGCTGTTCCTATTTCTCCCAAAGAGTCGTATCCTTCTGACACTTCACTCAACCTAATGCTTTTAGAATTTGGCTCCAAATTTGACAGAGGAGTTGCAAAATTTTGATTGTTCATCAGAAAGGACAGTTGACCCTGTTCAAGTTCAGTATATGCCTCAGCTAAGTCATCCCTATGATGTAGTATAATTCTGTCGAAAACCTCCCTCAATTTTAAAACTCTTTCAAATACCTTCAACTGCTGGATTTGCCACTGCAGCGCACTTATGTCACCAGAAGCATCTTCATTCACTTTTGCCTTTTTGGTGTGAGGGGAAAAAAAATCAATTAATTCATATCTTATCTCAATAAAAAATATATTACATAGTAGTATGCATTGTGGTATGTAATTCATCCTCCAACCCAAAAAGAAAATAAAAGAAAAGGACTGCACGTATATAAATAGGCAGGTACATTGTTTTGAATGAGCTTGGCTCGCTGGGCAAACTTCAGAGTGCTTAGCGTTTCGTTAGCAGCGCTATATGCGAAGAAAAATCAATATTAACGAATATAAGAAAACAAAGAAATGGTAAAGACCACTATTTAATTTCAAGCAACAAGTTAATACAAACCAAATGGATGGGCTGACATTTGCAATGATCATGGTCTTTGAGTTTCCACCTAAAGAATCCTGCATATTAAGTTTCGGAGAGTACAATCATCTTACTACACGGAACAATGTACTAGATTGTACGTAACATAACCAAGAGAAAATCATCCCAAATTTTAAAAATTTCATGTATCTAACCTGAAGAAGAAATGTAAGCCTTGAATCTCTGTACGGAACATGCCTAGGCTTCCCATGGGCTAAGTCCACCAAAGTCATTATGACCAAGCTAATCAAACGAAGAGCAAAATAATAAAGATCAGCCGTTTGATCATAACCACCGTTGTATTAGTGTTCATTGACATTCAACCACAATATATCAACAGCAAATAAATTGATAAACGGGTCCTTGATAAAGTTACCCAAGAGTTGACAAGGATTTATTTATATTTGCTGCTTCTTTCAAACGTTCACTATCTGCTCCGGAGCTTTTCTGCCTAGATGAATACGCAGCTTAACCCAGGTTTAGAAAGAGAAATAGCAATGGTATGTATAGAAGATTCTGATCTTAAATTTCTAGTTACCTTTCAGAACCAGCCAGATCTACTAAATTTAACCTTGCAAACCTAAAGTGAGTCATAGAATCTTTCTCCCACCGGCTTTCAATAATACAAGTGAAAACACTGTGAGACCGACTGCTCTCACAGTTCATATGAGTTGCAGCCACCTTTCTATTTGCAGTGCCCTGCGTAATTGTATAGGAGAATAAGATCATGCCAATATAAAATATTAAGGTAAAGTCTAATTTCTAACATATTTGACCATAAATCCCCACCTGTAACAAAAGCCTGAGAACATCATTAACTGTGACCACATTATGTTCAGTAAGGTTTTCAACGTATACACCCTTCTTAATGTCTTCTCTGAGCTACAGAGAGAATATTGAGTTATAAACTCCGTTATATAGAGCGTGAACAGCAATTTAAATCAAATTAGATTCGTGAAATTGTGGATTACTTGCAGATTAGTTGATGAAGGCTCTAGAAGGTCAGTTATTTGCTCATTGTATATCTCCAAAAAGGAACACTTGCAACTGTATTTCAGCTTATGATCCTTCCTGCTCTCTTCTTCCTACACAATAGATTGCCCTCAAGAAATTCAACAATTGAAAGGATAACGGAAACCACGTTAAACTGATAAAAAAACAGTCAATTCACACGGAAACACAGGCATTCTAAATATCGCACCGCTTTAATCCTCATAAATAAGTAGTCAAAAACTCTTGGTGTTATCCCGCTATCTTCAGTAAGGTATCCTTCTGTTTCTTTAATCTCACCCATCATGGTATACGTTTTGCCACTACCCGTCTGCAGAAAAACTTGAGCATCAAGCACAGAAACATATAACAGCTTGCAGCAAAGGGCAAGACAAGTCATACCTGACCATAAGCAAACATACAACTATTGTAACCAGACAAGCAATTCTCCACCATAGGCACTCCAGCAACTCTGAACAGGTTTTCCTACACAGATTCACCAAAATAATAAACATTCGAAGTAAAACCTTTTCTTGCTCTTTTTAGAAATTTCTTAATTTCAAAATTAAAAAACAAGTTCAAGGTTCAGCCTAGATCTAAGTGCAACCAACATGATATCAAAGTCAAGACGCACCTGGGATAAGGTCTCACACCCTACATGATCAAAGGTGAATCTGGTTTCAGGATGGCCAAGCCAGACCAATGTTTGCGCACTTTCCTGCCTCAAACACCTACCATAACCTTGTGAAAGCTTCTCCATAGTACTCAAAGGTCGAATCCTTATTAGCACCTGAACGCAACAACACAATCCAATTCACATAAACGAACCTTGCGTGATGGAAGTTAAGAACAACGAAAAGAAAAAAACCAATCCACAAAACCTACCTGCACATTATGATCCATCCAGAACGATGAATCATCTTCGAGCTCGAAATGCGGAACTTCCATACACAACTCGATCCCTTTCATCACTCTACTGCTACTTCCTCCACCGAGCGAAACCCTCGAAGAATTTCTGGCCGGCGTGGTCTGAGCCGAGTTAGGCTCCGAATGTGCCTTTCCGCTCCGACTCGAAGCCCTGGAAGTTCCATTCCCAATTCCGAACCTAACAGGTTCGGATTCAGGACACTGAGAAGGATCCGGTATGGAATTCAAAGGGGTTCGAGGAGGTGGATAGTTGATTAGGTTCTGCAATGATTCGAATTCGTTCTCGTTTGCTTCAATGTGAGAGTTCCTTCGAGCCAAGTTTCGAGTAGTACTAGTTGAGCCTTCTTTCAACATCTCTTGTTCTTGTGGTTTTGGATCGAGCTCTGATTTTGATTTTGAAAGAAACTCAAACTCACTCTTCAATTCAACTTACATTACAATGCAATAGTTAGCAGGCCCCGCCTCATTTCAAATTCAACTTTTATAAATTGTAATCGTGCCCTTCAACCATTTGTTAATGTTAACGCCACCCCCATTCCCTATAACCCAAACAGACTTTAAATGTTACTGCTACTACATGCCAAATGTTACGTAATGTACACAAAAGGTCATTGAATTCTTTGCTGAAAACAAGACTTATTTTGATGATGATATTCGAGTATGATATTTTTCTATCTATTTCTAATGGGCGGGATTCACATTTGAATTCTGTTATTATGTGTGATTATTATTTTCACAGTAAGAAGTGGCCTACAAAACTCATAAGCAATGATAAGGTAGCGTCAATTTGAACTTACACAACACGACGAGGGAGCCTTTGGTGCTGTTGTAAAGGCAGGTTTGGATTACTTTGCCAATAACGTTATAATCTTAAAGACGGAAAAAAGATAAAATGTAATAGTTAAATAGTGTTGGGCAAAAGGTTGATGCGAAGATTTATTTATTTTGCTGGTTATAATACTTCGTTTGTTCGCATTTTTTTCCTAAGTTTAATTATTTTTTATCTACACACCTCCAATTGGTTTGATGTAATAGTTAAAATGAGTAATTTACATAATTATAGTTGTACTACGGTTCATGGTTTCAAACCATACGGATCTTTTATCTATTTGAACAAAACATTATCTTTATACTAGTTTCATATTGAAATTACTTATCGAACCGACTTAATAGATAAATACGACAAACACTAAAATGTTGGGGTCTTCTGGAGATGTTATGTAACCTCGTGCTATAAGTATAAAATTCCATTTTTTTATAAAAATAAAAAAGGAAAAAAGAGCATACATTTATTTGTTTATTTAATATAATTGTGGAGGAACAAGTTAGGCTCTAGCAAGATTCTTTGATAAATTAATTAACAATCCAAATTTACATCTTGCAATTAGGCGGACGGAGATGTAACTTTTTCTTTTAAAAAAGGAAAAGAGCTTTTTGTTAATATATTTGAGTTGAAAAGACATACCATTTAATTTAAGTATTTTAAATAATGGGAATCGGCAGTAATTAAAAAATAAATCAATAAATAAACATTCCAATCTTCCAATAAACGTATGCATATTTTTTCTGGCTCTTTGGCTTTTTATAAGGAAATTATTTCGGTATCTTTTACTTTTACGAAGTCACTGATAAATTTTTATAATTAGTTATTACTATTTTGTTTAGTTGGTTGTATTCTGCCGAATACAGTATTTGTCACTATACAATGGGAATCAGCGGATTCCATGGCGGCTATTTAGCTTGTTCTAGGGTGCTGTTTGGTTGGGGGGTTTCTTAAAACTTCCCCATCCAAATCAAGTTGGCAATTGTTGATTTTCTTGTTTGGTAGAGAGTTTTTCAAAATTTTCCCACCCATTCATAATGCATAGCTATCCAGATTTAGCGGTTGAAATGGAAGAAATTTCACTGTTTAGAAAACTTTCTTAGAGGTGGTTTTCTTTGGTTAGATGGGGAAATGGCAAAATGTGAAAGTTTAACTAGACCAAAATACCCTTTTGTTACCAAATTTTTTCGGTAATTTTTTTTTTAACCAAACAATTTTTTTTATATTTTTCTATCAAACTCATTTTTCAATCATTTTCCTAGTAATTACATTTTCCTAGTATTCAAAAAATTTATACTCAACCAAACGCCCAATAAGTGCTTTGTGGCAACCGGCGAATCATGCTATTGACCATTAATCTGGAGGAAACATTGATTTTAGTTGAAGAGATAGGTTTTATTTTCTCTCTCTCTTTTTTTAATTTTTAAATTGCTAATGGATGCTACTTGGGCTTTTTGACCATTATAGCTTTTTTTTAATAATTAATTACCAAATTGATCCTATTTATAAACTATTTCAAAAATTTAACCTCTCCAGAAAACATAACACTAATCTGCCCCTATTTGACCGTTGATCATGAAGCCTACCCGGGTACACCCCTACCTACCCGGGTATATTTTGAAATTTTTTACCTACCCGGGTATATTTCTTGAATCTGGAAAATGTTTGAATTATTTACCGGGTAGGGAGGGTTGTACCCGGGTAAATAATCATATACTGGTTTGTGCGCCCATCCTCTTTGTGTGAACAGCAAATGGAAATCTCTAAATTGAAGGAGCTCAGAGACAAACTTGAACGAGAATTTGTTGTAAACGCCGAAGAAAGTGATGCCTTCCAGCAGGAAGCTCATCAAATTAAGGATGATATCCAGCACTGACAAAAGTTACTGAAGATTCAAATTTGGAAGTTCCCACATATCCAGAAATTGACAATAGAAAAATGGTGATGGAAATTAAGGACGACAGTACACGTGACCTCAATGCATGGAGAACAAAATCTGAAAACAGGTTATTGATGAAAGATATTCCACTGGATCATATGCCTGAGATTAGTGAAGCAAATAATCAAGGTTCTGCTCCAACAGAGGATGCTATTACATGTCATCAGTCAGACAATTCAAAAAAATGTTCAGAATTAGAGGTGGAGAAGGAATTGGGTGTTGACAAGCTTGAGTTGTGGAAAACTGTAAAAGAGACAACTGAAGATGGCAAGAGGAAGATGCTGGAGAGGGTTGCCTCAGATGCTCATAAATTGGCCATTCTTAAAATGACTCTGCAAGGTTTGAAAAAGAAACCAGAAACAAAGAAGAAAAGCAAGAAGAAAAATGATATTGAATATGAAACAATGAAGATACATATAGAAGAAGTTGAGGAAGCTATCACGCAACAAATAGATATTAATGATCAATCGAAAAAGGGTATTGAAGAAAGCACCAGTTAATAAAACTCTCCCTGCAATTAGTTTGAACTCTGTGTTGTCCTTCACCACTCAACAGGTTATGATTATTTACCCGGGTACGCCCTTTCCTACCAGAGTAAATAATTCAAACATTTTCTAGATTCAAGAAATATACCCGGGTAGGTAAAAAATTTCAAAATATACCCGGGTAGGTAGGGGTGTACCCGGGTAGGCTTCATGGTCAACGGTCAAACAGGAGACAGATTGATGTTATGTTTTCTGAAAAGGTTAAATTTCTGAAATAGTTTATAAATAGGGTGAATTTGGTAATTAATTATAAAAAAAAGGCTATAGTGGTCAAAAAGCCATGCTACTTGAGTTCGTTATTCCATGTTCTGCTAAGATAACATGTATAAGGTGACGATCCTGCAGTTTTAGAGATTCAAACCCTTAGGTGGTGTTTGGTATAAGGATATCACAAGGATTACCGGTAAATCTTCATTGATAAACATCGATTCTCATGTTTGGTAGAAGTATCAAAAATCAATTCTTGGGTATCTAAGCTTTACCGATAAAGCATTTTACAAAGAAAAATTACTATTTGGATTACCAAAAATTAGGCGGTTTTCATGATTACAGAGGGAAGAGAAAACATATAACATATTTTTGAGACAATAATACCCCGAACACACATTAAATTAGTAGGTCTGGTGTCATTGAAAAGTTAAGGTCAGTTTTGTAAAGTCAACATATATTACCAGTAATATTTTACTCACAACCAAACATATACTCAATAAAATTACTTCCAGTAATATTTACGTCTACCAAACAACTTTTTTATATCATTCTCGGTAAATTGGATTTCTTTGTATATTACTGGATATCATGATTCCCGGACACAAAAATTTCTCTTGTACCAAACACACTCTTAAAATCTTTTACGGGGAATGTGATAAAAGAAGAAGAAAATTTATACGGGAATCATCCTTCTATGGAAAATAATTTTTCTTGAAATGTTACCAAAAAAAATTATTTGATAAGTTAAAATATTTATGAGATGGGAAAAGTGTGTATATGTAAAGTTGTGTCATTTTAAGGGAGAGAAAAAGATAGATAAAAGATGAGAGAGAGTGGAGAAAAAATATAAAGATATGGGTGTCACTGCCACCTTTATGTGAAAGTGAAATGATATAAGTTGTGTCATTTAAAAAGGACAAACATTTTTCCCTTATGAGAATGCTGGAATAATATTTCTATGCTATGTTAAGTTAATTATAAAATATTGTTGGGGATGTGGACCAAATTTACAAAACTAACCCCTCACCTCCAAATCCAAACAACTTAAGTTTTATTTTATCATCTCGTCATTTTCACATCACAGACCATATTTTACCTTTGCCAACCATAGCTAGTTCTTGCTGCAAAACAAACCTTGGAGGCCACCATTTTGAAGCCATCGAACATAGTTTCTGTATAATTTTTTTGGAAAAAACAAGTATCATGTTGTAGGACAATCATCTTGTCATGCTATAGAGACAATAAGTGTGGGGTCTACCGTATTTTAAAAATAAAATAAAATGCAACACAAATATCGATGTATGTGTAAAAAAGTTCACATTTATCATGTTGCATGACAAATGCAAAACCCTAATTTTTTTAGAAAGAAAAAAGGTTTTGTTAACTGAAATTCCCCTCTTTTGGTGGCTCTGTCATGCCACGATCGACTTATCGCATGAAATTTTTGTTGGCACCAAAAAATTCAAAATAAACTCAACTCGGAGATGGGTTCGTCCGATTCAGGAAAAATCTCAGAAGGAGAGTCATTTCGTCGAATACGTTGACGACGAGTTTGAGTGAGGTTAGAGTTGACTCAACGGTTGATGATCATATCATACTGAAGTGGATAACGGGAGGAATTTGTGGAGAGAAGACACAAGCACAGAGGTTGTTGTCTTCTTTTAATGAAGTGTGAATTGAGTGTTGTGTGCACAAATGCTCAATTAAATCATACATGCAAATAAATAAAATTTGTTGGCTATAATGTCAGTGGAGCTGTTGGAAGTCTCCCGTGCCTACTGGGGCATGGAGCAAACTGGCTTATGGAGCAAATGAAGAACGAAAGAAGAAGAAGATAGGGTTAATTCAGTCATACAAAATTGTTAATCCTTTTTCCTACGTGGTGGAAAAATAAAAATAACACGAGTGAGATGGTATTTTAGTTTTGGGAAAATGTAATGTAAAATGAAATGATGGAAAAAAAACTTTCCTGATAATATTTTCAGTTTTCATAATATGGGAAACTATTTTTCCCACCCAACTTTTCTAAGATTTCAAAGAAAATCCACAAACCAAATAAGGTGTGTTTGGTATAAGAGAAATTTTTTGGTATCCGAGAATCACGATTATTGGGAATACACTAAAAATTGAGTTTACTCGGAATGTTACGAAAAATCTGTTTGGTTCGCCAGAATATTACCGGAAATATTGGGTAAAGATTATTGATTTCATGTTTGGTTTAGAACGAAATATGACTTGATTTATAAGGTTATTTTACAAAAATAACCCAAAACTATTTTTACTTTTGTAATTGATAGATTGGGTCTAGGTTTTGATGTGGGTTGTGGTATTCTTGTCTCAAAAATTGTTGTTGTGTTTTCCCTTTAGTTGGAATTCTGAATTACCATATTATTTTTGGTAATCTAAATAGTGACTTTTCTTTGTAAATCAAATTAGCAGTAAACCTTGGATACCCGGGAATTGATTTTTGTTACTTCTACCAAACATCGTAATTGACGTTTATCAAAGAAAGTTTACCAACAATCTTTTTTATACCCTTGTACAAAACACACCCTTAGAGTTTAGTAACTCATAAAGTTATTTCTGATCATCCCAGTGATGGAGTCAGCCCATTTATTGAACTAGGCCAACAAAAATTTAAGTCATGTCAAACATTTAAATCTATCTAGAAATTTAGCTACGATTATTTAGTTATGTAAAAATGTGGATAATTTTAAAAAATCAGTTGAGGCCAAGGCCTTAGCTGGACATAACGTGTCTCTGCCACTTATCCCATCCGAAAATTACATGGTTTTAGGTTGGAGAAATATATTAAATATATTTTAAAAAATTATTTGTTTTTTTGTCAAATAATTTTATGAAAACATCTTTTTTTTTTATTTACCTGGTCTCAATACAAACCGACATTATTTTATAGGATTAAAGTTTCTAAAATTACTTTAAATAATCTTATCTAATATTCACCAAAATACACATAAAAAAATGTGTAAGGTTTGTGTGGATCCATGTAAACAGAAAAGAGACAAAAAGAAAACACGAGTATACACTTTTTTGTATGTATTTTGGTGAAAATTAAATAAAGTTATTTAAAGTAACTTTAGAATCTTTAAACCATATTTTTATAATATGATGAAATAATAATAATAAGAAAAAAATGTGTGTCATTTTAAAAATTATAAAGTTGTGTCATTTTAAATGAGAGGAAGAGATAAATCATGAGGGAAAAGACAAAAGACAAAAAAAAATATAAAGTTATGAATCACATCTCTTTGTGAGAGTAAAATGACACAAATTATTTTATTCAAAAGGTCAAAAAAGAAATTCCCCCGAATAATAAATTGTTTGATAAGTGTGGACAATTTGTTCAGTTCTTTTAGAAATGCAGAAGATCGTGGTCATGTGCACATAGTTGGGTAAGAAATGTACCTCATTTATCAATTTTCAAGCTCATTGTGAATAGGGGTGTAAATGGGTCAGGCTGACCCAGTCTAACCTGCGGTCTGTCCTACATTGAGTCCAGTCCAGGCTCGGCCTTTCAGAAAAATAAAATAGACTTAGGCTTATAAAAAAGTTTTTTAAACAAATAGGCCATAGGCCAATTTTGTCAAGCCGGCCTACAGCCTTGTAGGCTGATCTATTTAATTTATTAAAATAAAATAATATTTATTTTATGTGGCAAAGATGCAAAGTACCAAATACCAATATCTCTTACTTTTTGTGCTATTTTTTTTTTTTTGATAACATTGTGCTATTTTATTTTATGAAAGGAAAACTTGTCTAATGTCTCCAAATTTTACTTGTTGTTGCAGCTTAATACCATGGAGTAATTGGTACCTTGCTGGATTATGATGTTACTGATGAAGATCTTTCAATAATACTCTTCTTTCCCTTGTCTTGATGGTGGTTTAAAGATTTTTAGATAAATGACATTCTCTTGTAGACTTTATTTCAGCATCCGGTAATTGTATTTTTCTTATTTTGTCTATTTCTTTGACTCTATCCCTCTATGATATACATTCTAGAGTTGGGGTATTATGTTGACTCTTTCTTGTTTGTCATTTTTTTCTTATGCGAAGTACTAGTGCATACATGAATGAAACTTTCTTCGCTCTATATAATTATTTTTTTTGCTTAGTATCTACAGTGGGAGGCCTATAAGGCCTGTAGGCCATGTTAGACTTTCTTATTTTTAAAAATGGGCCGGGCTTGACCTATAAATAAAGTCTTTAATAGGCCAGATAGACTGAATTTTTTTACGTAGGCTTAGACCAAAAAGGCCAAAGCCCAACCTAACCCAGCCTATTTACGCCCCCCTAGTTGTGAACAAGCAAAATAAAGACGATGTATCTCTTCAGTTCTAGTAAGCCATTTTGCATCATTAGAGAGTAGAGAATAATTACTTGCAACTTCTAACCAAACTCTACTCAATTTGAAGTCTCAAACAAGCATATCAAAAACACAAAACTACACAAGCTCTCACTATCTACTAACAAAAGGAGTGAAAGACAAATTGAACTTAAAATTCTTAAAGAAGCCTCAGCACCGTGTGAAGAAAAACCACAAGAAGCAAAACCAATAGGCAATGTGTTAAACAAGAATGGCTCTTTCCTTTTGATATTATGCTTCCAGCATCTGAGTCACACAAGAAAAACACAGAAATTATAGTTATTATCAACCCCATTAAATAGCAACATATGATCCAAATTCCAAAATATACCAAAACCAAAGACTAAGTTGCTTACCACATTCCCTTGTAGAATTGGTGGAAATTGAGCATAGACAGAGCAAACCTTCAGTATCAGTATCAAACCCACAGGTCCCACCAGATTGTTTGCAACTTTCACATCCAGTATCTGGCACACTGAAAGATAGCTTAATCCCATAAACCCAGTCCAAAGGGCCAACACCCTTCAAATTATCAGTGTTGAACACACTGGTATAGTGTGTGCAGTCCAATATGTTCATGCTCATGAACTTCACTGTATTATAACTAGTGAAACAACAAGGTGGGGAGCTGTTTGTCAACAAATGGAAGATCCTGAAAGCATTGCATGACCCATAAAGCTCGTCACATGTGTGGCCAGCAAAGTTAAAGCATAAGTACTTGTAATGGTTGAGAACAGGAGAGTCTATAGAGCAATTTAGTAGCACGAAAACAGTGTCCTGTGAAGGTGGGATTATAGCTGATTGAACATCAGTCATCACAAAATCGTGATGAGGCTGAAGAATAGAGCAAGTGGACATTGCCGGGTCATAGATTACCATTGATTTTTTGCCATAATCAATGGATTGAACTTTGTAAGCACCTGAAGGTGTTTGAAAGAATAAGTCAGTGCTGCAGTTTAGCATGTGCCTGAACTGGGGTGCTCCGCATCCATCTTCTAAGCCAAATGGGTAGTTTATAGGAATGTTACCACATGAATTCTTGCAGGGAGAGAGTGTGAGAATGGGAATGGCTTGTAGTTGTAGTGTTAGTATGAGAAGTTTGAAGATGGTGAATGGTGCTAGCAGTGGAAGCTGCATTTGGAAGAGAATTGGATGCTACACGCGTTTGGAGCAAAGTAAAAAGAAGAGTGACTTTGGGATACTGATTTTACAGAAAAAGGTGTACAAATGTCCGTAATTTGCTCGCATAAGTTTGAATAGCTTTTTAAACGTTGGACACAGGCTGGTGCTGGGATCCACATGTTGAAAAAATGAACAAAAGTGAACGGGTTTGCCAGTCTATTTGTGAACAGATAGATATCTAGCTTAGCTCCATTGGAATGCGTTCCCGCTCAAATTAATATATGTATTGAAAAAGATTGTGTCACTCCAACCGGTCAGAAAATTTGATAGACACTAAGTGTGGTTGAAGATAAATTTTAAGAATATTAGAGAAATGTAATTATAGGTATCTATAAGAAAAGTTGAATAGATAGGAAAGTTAAAAAAAAGTAGTTTGGTTTGACAAAATTTTACCAGGGAAATATATGACAAAAGGTGTGTCAACAGTGCTTTACTCGTGTTTTCTCAAAAAAAACCACCCTCAAATCGGGTTTCTAAACAGTGCAAATTACTATCTTTCTCAAAAAGTCAGGTATTTCACATAGATGAGTTTTGGTCAAAACCTGTTGAACCAAACATTGATTTTCTAAAAACCAAACTTTATTTACCTAGGAAAATCTCAAAAAACATGAAACCAAACGCCCCCTAAGGTCCGTTTGGTACACGAATTTTTTCTGGATTTTCAGGAAACTGAAATTTTTAAAATTTCAGATGTTATCGTAAACTGGATGTAAAAATTATATTTTTGAAAATCGAGATTTCTGAACAAATAAAAATTCTCCAGTACCAAACGCCCACGAGAAATTGGCAGGAAAAGAGCAACACTGGACATCGACCTCGGTGCTGCTCGTTTGACATTTTTTTATTCGGTCTCAGTAGAGAAAAAAAATTAATACATTTATTTACCCTTATTTTCATAATTATTTTTTTCTATATCATTTTTTTTTCTTTTTGGGAGAGAGAGTACCTAATCAGAAAAAAATATGCTCTTTCAATAGAGGAGAGAGCAAATTAAATGCCAAAGAAGGCACATTTTTTTTTTAAATTTAGAAAAAGTTTCATCACTTTTAAATTTTTTTTGTTTCCCATCACATTACAACTTTTTTAAAATTTGAAAAAAAAAATATGCCGAGTTTAGTATATCTAACATACTAAACATATTCTCATAGTCTAAGGGGGCGTTTGTTTCGGGAGTTTGGTCAAGTTTCCTGGGGAAGTGATTCGTGGATTCTCAGAACTCCACGTTTGGTTCGCTGGATTCATGCAATATATCCATGTTTCGGTGTTCCCCATCATTCGCCATTTGCATGTGATTTCTCCTCCAAAGCACTGTTCCAGATTGCTTCTTGGAGGGTCGTATTCTGGCTGAAATCTGGAGAAATGAAAAAGTGGTATATTTTTGTGACGAATTTGCCCCTCACACGTGACCAACTATTGCCCAAAATGATACATCACTCATCCAGCACCCATCACATGTGAAAGCTGAAGAAACCCAAAAACTGGAGACCGACACCGACCGAAGAAGAAAGAGCGAAGAAAGCCACATGCGCAAAGATGGGAGGTCAGGTAATGGTCCGGTGAAGTAGATCTACAAGTTACTGGTTGGTATCTCCGGTTGATTTGGTCCGGTGCATCCAACGTGGAGAGATAGGGTCCTCTTTGTTTGCCGACGCCTGGTTAAACTTGAACGGTTAGTATATACACACCCCTTGGTCCCATGCTCTGTGTTTATCTTTGCTGAAGCCTACTGACATCTGATAGGAAATTTTTTTTTTGTGGTAAACAAATTTTTTTTAATTCCTTATATATCCATTTCCATGAGGGGGCGTTTGTTGGCAGTACAAATTAACCAGTTATTTTTAATAAAATTGCTACATCACATAAGTACATCTACGATTAATTAATAAAATTGCTTTTTAATCGTCCAAAAAAAATAGGTCCTGATATATCCATTTTTAAAGGTAATTTTTGATATCTTAACCAATTATTTTTCTGCTCTGTTATACCGGATGTCATTGTGAAAGGAGACTTATTGAAGTTGTTGATAATGGATGAAGAGAGCATTTCCTGGGAGAAGAAGAACAATACAAATTAAATTGCTGTTTTGTTTTTCTGATTTATGGTTGACCGTGGTGGGTAAGTATGTGGTAAGTATGAAATTTTTCTAGTGTCAGTTCTTGCTTAATTTTTTTCCTATGTAAAATCTGCTTGTCAAATAAGTTGATATCTTTTCGCAATGTTAGTTTCATGGCCATTTCCATATTATGAATTATGTCAATATTTTCCCTGTGTTATTGTTAATATTACTAAATTGACCTAAAATATCACTTCTGACAGTTAGAATTTATGCATGGCTCAGATTGAGGAATTGTGTGCCAATCTTGGTTCTTTGAGTTTCCATGAGCAAATTGACAATATTATTATGTTCCTTAAGCAGTGTGGAGGTCTTTCCAAGCATGTGGATTCCTTCATGCAGATATTATCACTGGTGGAGTTCAAGGACACACCACCTTTTGTTTTGACTCCATTGCAACCTGATTAGATGCACGAGGCTGAATTTTTAAGGTTGTAACTTAATATATCTATTCTTATCATATGGGTGATTGACTGTAGAAGACAATTGGGCTTAAAAGTCATGTTAATCACAATAAACAAACTGCTTACCATTTATTAGGTTGACTACTCATTCAGTCAATAACATTAAACACTTTGTATTTGATTTAGCCACTGAAATAAGTGTCAACATAAACTAAATAATTAAATTTGAAATTTGGGTAAAAATTAAGATAAAACTGGTATCATAACTACTTTTAAATATAGTTGTATGTTTTTATATTATTACTTCAAGCATTAGGTTGCTATATCTGCTATTGGTGTATTAATGACATGTCTGCTTATTAGTTTTCCCTGTCTTTTACAGGAATATGGAATTGTGGCTTAGACACATCAGTCATTGTCCCATGGCTGAGGTCTAGATGTTGCTAACCCTTTTTCAGTTTTGTAGTATATGTCCATCACAAGCTCGCAATATTGGATTTTTCCTCTCCTTTATATACTCAGAATGACAAATACTGAAGGAGTAAGAGATAAGTTTTCTTTTGGTAATTATTGGTTTCTCTTTAGTAAAGAATGTTTAATTTTTTTATAGAATGTGTAAATAGAAATCAGAAACCATTTTGATACTTGGATGGATGATCTGATCAGTTTCAAACGTAAGAAGTTGGAGCTTTGAAGAAAAGCATGCCAGCAAAAAATGATGATGCTTACTTTTTAACAAATTTAGGATGTGATCTAGGAGATTGGACAGTAGATATCTTTGTCAATTTACCTGCGGTTATATAACTGTGCTTTTATTATAATCTCTTATTGAATGGTTCTGGCGTTGCAGAGAGAATTACAATTGTGATGTCGTTTGCTTCACTGCTGATGTTGGCCAAGTATGTTATGACTGTTAGAATTCATTTTCTGTTGTCAAGATTGTCGTTGTGTAACCTGTGTTATTGGAAAAGGTGTTTTAGACTTGTAAACTTCTGACTGGGGGAATTTGCTTTACCCAATTCATTGTTTATATGCTGCGAGTCTAGTAAGTTAGTTAAATTTCACAGGGAACAAAAGAATTGGAAGGTTTAGAAGCGAAAGCTAAAGCCAGTGGGGCCTCTCAATTAGTGGTAAAGGACTTGAAGGAGGAATTTGTTAGAAAATATATATTCCCTTGCCTGCGTGCTGGTGCAGTTTATGAGAGGAAGTATTTGCTTGGGACTGCAATGGCACGTCCTGTAATTGCGAAGGTACTTATGCTTGTTGATATTTCACCTTTTATTTAATGATGAGTGGTATTATAAACTGATTACATATCACTTGGTTTAGAACTTTGATTGAACTGAACTAATTATTCAAATTTTTTATTTTTTTGGTTAATTAGTTGACACTGGAAGGGGAATGCTACCACAAGACTTGCTTTAGGTGTGCTCATGCAGGTTGCCCTCTCACACATTCTTCCTATGCTGCACTGGATGGTGTTCTTTACTGCAGGCACCATTTTGCACAGCTTTTCATGGAGAAGGGAAACTACAATCATGTACTCCAGGCTGCAGCAAACAAGAAGAATGCTACTCCACCTCCTGAACCAGCTGATGATGAAGAACCATCAAAGCCAGAGCCACAGACAGAATCTGAGGAACATAAGACAGAAGAAAATTCTAAAAATGAAACATAGGAAACATCAAATTCTTCCTTATCTGGTTGAATTTCACTGTCTAACATTTGATCACAAATTAGTTTATTTTTGTAAGCTAATTTGAGAGGTTTTTTCTATGTATTCATACAAAAAGAGTTGTTCAATACAATATATATTCTTTTATTCCTTTTGTTGGAGGTTTTTCTCCTTGCAGTGGTATCACTGCAATTATGTAATAACTTGATAGTAAGAGAGATGATTTTATGTTGTCCACAAATTTCTCTACTTATTTGCACTTCAACGCATTACAATGCAATGGATATCGAACACTACTATTGAAATCCAGTCATTAAAGTGAGACACTTTATTTTTGAAGACTACTGCTATATACAATAATTAGTTTTAAAATTTAGGATATATACATGTCATTACAAAGTGGGAGAGAGACAGAGATGCCAAACATAAACTCAGAAAGATCATGTGAATATTGTCGTTGGGTCAATAAGCTTGTTGAATAAAGGGTTATTTCAAATAAGGGTTATTTTGTAATTTTACTAAATTTACCTATCAATATTTTATCTTCAACCAAACACACATTCAAGAATTTTACTCAATTTTCCTGGTAAAATTTTGTCCAACCAAACAACTTTTTTTTAACTTTCCTATCAAACTCACTTTCCAACCATTTCCCTAGTAATTACATTTCCCCAGTATTCAAAAAATTTCTCCTCAACCAAACACCCCCTAAAGTGTTGATGCCTTTGGTGGGTACTACCATTGGAATCTTCCTCGTTAGTTATATTATTTATTTATACACAACATCTCAATATGGGGATGTAGCTCAAATGGTAGAGCGCTCGCTTTGCATGCGAGAGGCACGGGGTTCGATCCCCCGCATCTCCATTTTTAAGGTTATTTTGGTGAAAATTTTATGTCGAAAAGTAATTTTTTTTTGTTTCCTCCTATTATCGGAAAAAGCAGAGTCTGTTGTGTCCTATATATATATATAGCAGACATATTCCCGCCAAGATGCAAAAGCTGGTGAGAGTGACAGAGACTAGGGTTTGTGAATTGTGAGTAGTAGCAGAGTGACATGGCGGAGGTTACTCAGATCGCTCACCTGCTCAACCAGACACTCAGCCCAGACGCCAACGCCGTTCGTGCCGCCACCGATGTGCTCGATCGTCTTTCCCTCACTCCGCACTTCCCTTTCTATCTCCTCTCCATCTCCACCGGTAATTCCCAAACCATCATTTTCCACTTTCTGGCACCGACGATTATGAGAATTTTCGTTTTTGTGTTTGTGAACAGCTGGAGAAAACCAAGGTCAGAAAATTGCTGCTGCTACTTACCTGAAGAACCTCTCGCGCCGCAACATCGATGGCAGTAGCGCTACGCCTTCCAATGTGAGCAAGGAGTTCAAGGAGCAGCTTATGCAAGCTTTGCTTCAAGTTGAGTTTCCCGTTCTCAAGGTTTTAGTTGAAGTGGTATGTATATTATTTTTTGGTTTGCTTGTTGCGTTTTTTGAACTGTGTTTTGTTATTATTTGCTTATTTATGTGAGCGATTCCCGTGGTGGCAGTTCCGAGCTGTCGCTGTTGCTGAGTTTGTTAAGCAGAGTTCGTGGCCGGAGCTTGTGCCTAATTTGCAGTATGCTATTCAAAATAGCCATCTTATCAACGGCTCAAACTCTGGATGGAATACTATCAATGCACTTATTGTTCTTCATGCTCTTCTCAGACCCTTCCAGGTATTCAAATTTCACAGTTTGTGCTTATGATTTTGGAATATTTCTGTTATTCCATGCAATTGATATGTGCTTTTATGTGAAATGAATTTTGGCCGTTGACAATTTTTGTGAAATCTTGATCTACTGACTGAGCTGTATAAAATCGTATAGGTGACAGGGGAGGGCATGGAACTGTAGTTTAGTGGTCATCATTAATTTATCTGTACATGTGCATTTCTCTCATTGTTTGTTTCCTTTATGTGGTCTTAAATACATTTAGAATTTTTGCCATTTTTGTTCTCTGAAACATTATTTTTTCAGCATATTTTTCTTTATGAAAAGGATCTTTTTCTTTATCACGTTCATTTATGTCCCTGTTAGCTAGCTACTATCTGAACTATGGGATTGTTCCTGTTTCTATAACTTTTGTAGCTCCCTCTTTACTCTGTAAAAAACTTCGAATGTGATGAAAGTGAAAGGCTGCCGAAAATTCAAATTCTTAAATTATTAGTAGAGATGATATATGGTGTGCTTTGCCTTGTATATGAATCCACTTCTTCGTTTTGCAGTATTTTTTGAATCCCAAAGTTGCAAAAGAGCCTGTTCCACCACAGTTGGAGCTTACATCCAAAGAAATTATTGTGCCTTTGCTTGCTGTATTCCATCAATTTGTTGAAAAGGTATTGTGTTTTTTTCTTGGCTTTACTTACCTGTTCTTATAAGCTTCACTTCTGAGTGATTTTGTGATGCATGGATCAGGCTTTGGCAACTCATGACAGGGCAGAAATAGAAACTGAGAAAGTCCTTCTCACTATATGCAAATGCCTACATTTTGCAGTAAGTAATGGTTTGACATGTGTATAATTCTCATGCATAAGTCTTTAAATTTGTTATTGTCTGCATTGATTTGAAATATTCAATCTGGTGGAGCTGACAGAAGTCAAACGATCTAATCTTCTGTGGGTGGATTCAGACATAAGTCTTAACACGTTCAGTCTTTGAAAGTAGTATTTCTAAATTTGGTGGCTCTACTTTCAGTTTTCTCAGTTGAATCCTTGAATGTTTTAGACTTTTAGTTTTCTCTAATCCGATCATTCTGTGAACTTTGTATTTTTTAAGACTAAAGAATAGTTATGAAAGTAAATATTAATGAATATGAGTTGTTATTGCAGTTTTTCATACGAAGATTTCATCCTATTTAAGTTGCTGTTAATTTTGTCGATGATAAGTTGATTCTTCTCTGTAAAATGGAAAATTGTCAGCTATTCTGACCTATTTTTTTATCTGTTACTACTTGGTATCTGGTCCAAGAGTACAGGCCTATTCTTTTCCCCAGTTTACAGTCATTATTGCTAATTCTTTTTTATGCTACATTTATTTGACGTCCTTTTTAAATTTCTATATTACTTTTATTTGATACCCCTACTTATATTATAGGTAAGGTCCTACATGCCGTCTACTTTAGCTCCTCTACTTCCTTCATTCTGTCGGGACCTAATGAGCATTTTGGGTTCTCTGAGCTTTGATTGTATGGTCACTCAAGAAGATGGTTATTTGACAAGATTGAAGACTGGAAAAAGAAGTTTGCTTATTTTCTCTGCCCTTGTCACCCGGCACAGGAAACATTCTGATAAGTAATGTAGTGCTTAAATTTTTTATTAAATGGATTTAAGCATTTTTGGTATTATATATTGAAATATATGCTCTCCATTTTCAGGTTGATGCCGGAAATTATAAGTTGTGTTCTAAACATAGTCAAATTTAGCAAAAATACCAGTGTAAGATAATGTACTTAATTCTTGTACTTAATAACTGGTTAATAGTTGGCTTGAACAATGGATATGCTTGCTATTTCTAGTTCTTTGTTTAACTGCAAACATTCTAATCTACTCTTGAATACACTTCCTTAAATTGTTCTCAGATCAGCATTTTATTCATTAACCACCTAAATTCATTTCCATGCTGCTTCCAAATCTTCTTTTATCTAAAACTTGATTCTGGACTTGTGTTGCATTGATATTTATTGTTACATTTCCTCATTTTTTGGGTATTCCAAAATTTGAAGTCAAGTTCCTTTTGCAGAAACTTCCTTTCCTGTCAGAGAGGCTTCTGTCCTTAGGTTTTGATGTAATTTCAAATGTATTGGAGACTGGGCCGGTAGGTTTTCTCAGTATATTTTTTTTTTAGTTACAAGTTTTTTTTTTAATTGAATTTCAATTGTTAGGATGCTTCGGATTTTCTGATCCACGTATTTTTCTAAATATTCATTTTTAATAAAGTTTGATTTCAATTAATACAGGGTTGGCGATTAGTTTCTCCACATTTTACAATTCTATTGGAATCTGCGATCTTTCCAGCATTGGTAATGAATGAGAAGGTCAGAATTTATTTCAAAACAATATCAGGGACAATTTTTTGCTTAAGAATGCTTAATTATTGAAATTGAGTTGCTTAACATATGCTTTTTTCTCTTTAATTTCTAATGGAAATGTTAATGCATAGGATATGTCAGAGTGGGAAGAAGATGCAGATGAGTATATAAGGAAGAATCTTCCTTCAGATATAGTATGAGAATTGATGTTTTTGTTATTGTTTTACTTATTTCCTACTTATTTCTGACCAGAATTGTTTATTTAGGACGAAATTTCTGGATGGAGAGAGGATTTATTCACTGCCAGAAAAAGTGCAATAAACTTACTTGGTGTTATTTCAATTTCAAAGGTTACTACTTGATTAAAATTCATTGAGCTATGCCCTTAAGTTATTACCATAGTTCATTTGGTCATTTATTTCTACAGGGGCCACCAATGGAGAGTGCTACTGACAGTTCATCAACTTCAACCAAGCGTAAAAAGGGTCAAAAGAACAAAAGAAGCAATCAGGCCCGCTCTATGGGGGAGTTATTGGTGCTTCCGTTTTTGTCTAAGTTTCCCATTCCTTCTGATTCCAATGTGTCTCAAAAGAAAATCCTGAATGAGTGAGTTTTTATGTATGCTTCACATGTATATGCCTGATCAAAAAATTGCAAATTTTATTTTTAAGACCAATTGTCCAATTTATGATGAGGAGTATTTTTATGTTTTTGACAGCCTATTTGCAAAGCAGTAATATGGATGTGAAATACTGAAAAGTATGCCTTATCTTTTGAAACAACATTAAGGGGATTTATTTAGCTGGATTTAATCAGTTCGGTTTATAGCCTTGATGAATTTATACCCATGTGATGGCTTATATATATTATTACGCCCTCCTATTCTTTACCTCTTTTTTTTTTCCCAAAAAGACTTTGTTCATGATAGGAACGAGGTTGTTTGCTGTATAGATATCATTTACTCTATATTTAGCTTAATTGCTTTTCATTTTTTGATTCCCTTTATCGTTTCCTCTGGTACTCATTGTGAGTATCATGTTATAAACAATGCCTTGTTCCTGTATGTCTCTAATTTTTAATTAATATTTATATTAATTAATGATTTTATATTCCTTTCATTATATGACTTTTTATCAACTTATTCTTGTTACATCATCTACTGTCACAGTTACTTTGGCGTTCTGATGGCATATGGTGGCCTACAAGATGTGAGGACCTTTCACCTTTTGTTCAACAAGCCATCAGTATTTCGATGTTGGACAACATTTTTTTTTTTTTAATTCGACCTTTTCTTATACAGTTTTTGAGGGAGCAAGAACCTGGATTTGTGACAACTCTGGTTTGTACACGGATTTTTCCACTGTATACCCAAGCTTTGTCCCTGCCATACCTAGTTGCAAGTGCAAACTGGGTACTTGGAGAACTCGGCTCCTGTCTACCAGAAGTAAGACAAAATCTCAATCAAGCTATCAGAGCTGAAACAAATTCTGTTTAAAAGAGTTCCAATATGCTTTTTAGTAACTGTTGTGATAAAATATCTTGAACACATCCTAATGTGATCCCAACTGAGTTCCCGACTTGTGTGTCATTTTCAGGAGATGAGTGTTGATGTATATTCTCATTTGCTTATGGCATTGGTCATGCCAGATAAGGAGGATACTTCTTGCTATCCCGTGCGGGTTTCTGCTGTTGGGGCAATCACTACACTACTTGATGTGAGCTTTTAGTTCCCTGATTTATTGTGGACTGGGGTTATTTTTATTCCTTTTCTCTTTCACCACTCAGTTTCTGCTTTTCTTTTTCAGAATGATTACATGCCCCCTGACTTTCTACCGCTTCTCCAAGTAATAGTTGGCAACATTGGAAATGATGAAAGTGAGAGCTCCACCTTATTTCAGCTTCTCATTTCTATCATGGAAGCTGGAGATGAGAAAGTTGCAGTCCATATCCCACATATTGTCTCATCATTACATGGTCCAGTCTCAAAATGGCTAACTTCCAATCTGGAGCCTTGGCCTCAAGTATGTGTTGATCTTTCTTTTTTATTTGTCAGTTAGTAATCTATTGATTGTTTGACCATCAATTTTTATCACATAATAACATATTTAATCTGGATATGCTATGTATATTTCGCTTTACATCAAGATTTTATTGAAATTTCTTGATCTGAATCCAAATGGTTTTCAAGATTGGAAGTTTTTATGATTTGAGTTGGATGAAAGTTGGAAGTCTTATTCACCCAATGGTTTGCAAATTTGAATGCTTTGTTTTATAGATTATTTCTCTAGCTCGTATTTGTTGTAGAGGTTGTCTATAATGAATTGTATAGTCACTTATGCATGTCAATAACATTATGTTTCCCTTTTGTCTTTATATATCCATGCACCTTGATCTGTAATCAATATAATATAGAGGGTTGCCTCAACGGTAACATTGAGTACAATGTTTTTGGTTCCCTCAGTGATGTGTTTGCCTTGCTATTTTGTTCAATTGTTTAGTTTAATGAGCACGTATGTATTTCTTCTTGTTTGTTACTTCTGACCATACTGGACTTGTCTCTGGTTCATTATGTTTGGGCAACACAAGTTGTACTTTTGATCTGAGTATGTGTTTGCAATAGGTAGTTGAACGTGCAATTGCTGCTCTGGCAGTGATGGGTCAGACTTGGGAAGAATCCAGGCCGGAAGAATCTGAGTCAAAAGAGTCCCATGAAAAATGGGCTGTGGGTCAAATGGCAATCGGTAGAGCTTTTGCTGCACTCTTGCAGCAGGCTTGGCTAACACCTCATTGCACACTGGTTAGTTTGAGTGCCTTCCTATATTGAACTTTGATTTTCTTAGCTTTATGTAGCTATCTGAAAGCAGAAAAGATAATTTGAATGGGTTTGTTCAAGCCCTAATTTATGTTACTTGTCATGACAATTTTCCTTTTTTTTCCGCTTGAATTCCTCAAATGTGTTCACAGATGCCACAACAACAATCTCTCTTTAATGCATGTACTTCTTCTAATCTATATTTTTACATACTTCTTTGATCCTATTTGATACATTCAAACTATTTGTGCTGATTAGTCTCTTTGCTTTATGGCTTGGCTGTCAGATAATGATTGTCTCTCCTTAATTCAATCTTTTATATCATATTGTCACATTCTCATTTTAAATTTGGTCAGGATCAACTAGACCAACATTCCCCCCCTTCATCGTGCATAGAAGATTTGTCAACTTTGCTACAGTCTGTCATGTTATCTATTGATGAAGATTACATGATTCAAGAACTTAAAGTGTCAGAGCTGCTGTCAGTTTGGGCTGAAATAATTGCAGAGTGGCATGCATGGGAAGAATCAGAGGATTTGTCGATTTTTGATGTCATTAAGGAAATTGTGAATTTAGATTGCAGATATAGGCTGAAAAACTTTCTTGTAAAAGAGATGCCACCCCCTCCAGCTCCACCTGTAACTGAACGTTCAATTGTAGAGGGCATTGGCACTTTCATCGGTGAGGCCATTAAGCAATATCCTTCTGCAACATTGAGAGCTTGCTCATGTGTCCATATGTTACTACATTGTCCAAGCTATTCACTTGAAACTGAAGGTGTAAAAAAGTCATTGGCTATTGTCTTTAGTCAGGCAGCCTTCTCTCACTTCATAGAAGTCCGAAGCACGCCCGGTTCACTTTGGAAGCCTTTATTGCTTGCTATATCTTCGTGTTATTTGTGTTATCCTGATATTATAGAAGGTATTCTGGAAAAGGGTGAAGATGGAGGAATTGCAATTTGGGGATCTGCTTTATGTCATGTATCCAATAGCTCTTTTGAAGCTGGTCTTACAGCTGAGTCTGAGATGAAGTTAATTGGTAAGTAGTTTGCTTTCATCCATTACTCAATATAGAGAAGATTTGTTTTTTCTTTTACTGAATAATGGCCTGCATAACTGTTGATTGTATCTATCATATGCTTTCTTCGTATTCCTCCTGCATCCTGCCCAAATTTACCCTTAAGCAATTTAGCACTTTGCTATCCTTGATGTTGTTTTTGCTGAAACCAAATACTGAAGTGCAAACTTATCTGATCACATACACCATGCTTGGATACGCTTTCAAGAATGCACCCTATCTAGTCGGTTCAATAATGTACAATTGTACACTATATAGTTGGTTCTGCATTGAACGCATGTTCTTTGCTCATAATTATATTCTTAACTAAAATTGTTTGAAGGATGCTGTTCATCTATGTTCTAACAGTTTGGTGTTATAACTTAGGTTTCTTTGCAAATAAGCACTGTCAAGCATTTAAGAATGTGTTTTCACAAACCATTTTCTTTTATTTTTTTCTTTTTGGGTGAATTTTAGTGATGACACTGGCCCGATTGATTGAGCAACTTCTGAAACAAGGGAAGTCATGTGGTGATTCAATTCAAAACTGCTTTACATCACTGTTGGAGGTATCTGTACGATTGAAAGAATTGCAGGATGGGAAAGGAGATGGAGAAGAAGCTGAAGAGCCTGAAAATGATTATAACGATGAGGATGAGGACAGTGAGAATGATGGCTCCGATGATTATGATGAGGTTCATCTTCACCGTTTCTTTGCATAAATCTCATTCTTTTAGTGTTGTTCATATAGCACGTCAAGATATATCTCCTTTTGCCTACAGTTTGCTGCGAACAACATTTTCCCTTGCTTATACATTCTGTTTTTTTATGTTCTTTGTTTGTTTGTTTGTTTCAATTAGGACTCTGAGGCTGAGGAATATGAGGAAACAGAAGAAGAATTTCTTGATAGGTATGCTAAAGCTGCTGAGGCATTGGAAAATGGTTCAATTATTGAAGAGGGGGATCTTGAAGATCAAGAAATGGAGATGGAATTAGGTAAGCCTTTTTTGTTATAGGTATGTGTGCTTATCTGCTATTTGTTATTTGGTACTTGCATCATCTATATAAAAATACTTTAAAAATTAAAAAAGAGTTGGTAGTTTCATCTTTATAATTAATCTAGAAGTTATTGCATCTCATCAGCCAGAATAATTTATGATTTGAATATGATTTTAAGAAATTAATGAAGTTGACAAAACGTTTTAGTATGCTTGGATTTTCAGATGCAGCATTACTTACTATCCGGTGTATCCCAGTTCTAGTTTAGAGTTGATTTATTCACAACTTCGTACTAGATGGAAAGTTTGCTGTTTATAATATGTTAGAGATATATAAAAATTATTAATGTAGCTTCGCTCACTATCTTAAGCTTTTGAGTTGAAATAGTTTTTTAAATGTCTGATGCATTATCCATCCTTCAAGCGCAGTGGACTCTCGTGTAAGGTGGAGTGTTAGAGAATATTATAAACCATTAAAAAGACTCTCAGTCCCTCACTCAACATCTTAAGCTTTTGGGTTGAATTGATTCTTTAGATGTTATCAGAGCCTCAATGTCACGAGTTCGATCCTCCTCCGCTCCCATTTAATTAATACTTAATTAAAACTTGTGGAGTTTCTTAGCACAGGTAGGTAGGCCTGTGCATTATTCACTCTTTAAGTCCGGTGGGCTCTCGTGTGAGGGGACATATTAAAGATATATAAAAATTATTAATGTAATCTCACCCACTAGCTTAATTTTTTAGGTTAAAATGGTTCTTTACGTAATTCATTTGCCGTTGTGATGATGCGAAAACAGGTCAATTACTTGACGTTGACGAGCAAAAAGTTGTGTTGTCCTTGATAGACAAATACCACCATGTGCTCGTACAGGGACAAGTTTTGCCCTCGCAACACATCATGAATTTTCTGAATGCCTTCCCTGGGTATGGTTTGTATTTCCAGCAATACAGGTAAGTATGGTTGAAGATGAAAATTTTCGTAAGGAATGTCAGGGTTTTGAAATGTTTGTATAAAGGAAAGAACATTTATTATTTATTTATTTTTCGGGTGGGAGTGGGGGGAGCAGTATACTGGAATTGGCGAGTTGCAATTCTCATTGATTTGTATAATTATTCTTTTATGGGGAGAAGAGCAGGGTGTTATTTAGTACCATGTCGAGATTTCAGATTTGTGAGTTTATTTTTGTGGTAATCCTTTTGTGCATTTTCTGGAGATCAAAAGTGAACTATTTTTCTAAAAAAAAAAAAGGTGAACTATTCCTCTTAATTTTCCGTAGGGTATCCAATGTGTAGTAGAATTTACAAATTCAGTAGCATGCACTAGCATTCAGGAGACGAGTAAAGGTATAAAGATGCAATCTTCAAAACAAACCGAGTGACTGATGTGTCAAAATGTATTGGCGGTGGGATTGAATTTTTTTGTTATGAATTATTTAGCATGAATCTGTCATGTTAAATCGATAATAATAATAATAATCAACAATGATAAGAGATGAGATGAGAGAGATAAAAAATAATCAGATAAGAAATAGTAAATTAGTTGTTCCATAAGGGTCAGTTTGGCATACGGATTTTTTTCGGATTCACGGAAAATTAAAATTTTTAAAATTTTAAATTTTTAGATATTATTGTAAACTGAATGTAAAAATTATATTTTAAAAAATCGAGATTCTTAGATAAATAAAAAAAATTTCTCTGCCAAACGCTTCCTCAGTTCTTCTCTGTGCTTTTATATTCTATGCTCTACTCTTTAACAGCTTTTGCTAGATATACAAGGCAACATTATGATATATCATGCCAATTCCGTCAAATAATTGAATGATAGTAGAGCTAACGTAATCTTGAGGAATAAAGACAATGCCACTTTAGAAGTATTTTATATTATCTTTGTTGCAACTTGCAAGTAGCGTTACCGTGCGGAAATCTAATAAATAAGTAAAAGTTAAAACTTCTTGTATCATTAAAGAAGAATCTATAATTGAACTGTTTTTTAATTTAACCAAAAATAATTTGAGTCTAATAAATACTCTGATTTTTTATTTTGCAATATATATAATATGATCTTTTTATATTAATTTAAATTTTTTACCTAATTTAAATTTTATGATTTCTATTAATTTATCACTTAAGATATTATATTTTGCTAAAAATACACATTTAATTATTATCAATAAAACCACGATCAAACTTGGAAGCCATAAATCAATGCTTTCATTAGTTTGGTTGCTAATTTAAATTTTAAAAAATAGGTAACACTTATTCTAAAATAAAAACGTTTTTATTTTATGACCATATCAGTTCTTATTTCCTTCTAGTTGAATTCGCATATTTTAAAATATCATCCATTATTGCCATTAGTTAAAGATATTAAGGAGCTTCTTGATCTTGATCTCTCACACAGTTTATCATATCCTGCGAGAAGGTAACTAACAAAGTAGCAGACTGGCTTACAAAGCATCACTTGAGTGACAATGCGAATGTCCTGATTTTCTTTAGTCCACCACTAGGGTGTGATTCTTTGGAACAGTGATCATTTTGCCACGCTTCAACAAAAAAAATTAACAGATTGCCACGTTAACAGTAAAATTTCTCAGAATGCCACGCGACATAATTCGCTATCCTGTGTAGCGAATTATGCTTGCTGATGTGGCAAGTCACAATTGGTTGGAATAATTCGCTAAACAGGGTAGCAAATTATGTGGTCAATATTCAGCCTGCACAGTCAACAACAACATCACATGTGTCAAGCAGACAGTAATTCGCTACACTGTGTAGCGAATTATGCAAGATGATGTGGCAAAGTTCTATTGGATGAGTAATTCGCTACACAGTGTAGCGAATTACTGCTGGCTTGACACATGTCCTGTTGCTGACTGTGCACTCTGACATTTTGACCACGTATTTTGCTACACAGTGTAGAGAATTATGTCGCGTGACATTTCGAAAAATTTTACTATTGACGTGACAGTCTAATAAATAATTTGATGAAGTGTGACAAAATGATCACGGTTGGTGATTCTTTAGTCTATAATGATCAAATGGAGGTCATGACCCTGTGGTCCTTTTAATTTCTTTGTTTTCTTTATTTTCCTTTGTATCTCAAAAAAAAAAAAATATCATATCAAAATGATTAAAGGAATCATCACACATTATGTAGGCAGTGCTTAGGGGCGACTTTATCCTTAGAGCCGATAAATAGTAAACGTGCTCAAATTATGACATTCATGACATAAAATATAAGAAGTTATTAAGAAAGGATTTTATTACTCTTCTTTCATAAAAGTAACTTTTCTTATATTCTTTCACTTTAATTTTGTATATTTTTTATAATAATAGAATCTATTCATTTTCTCTCGATAATATAAAATAGTTTTGTCTTATGAAAGAAGAGCAGTACTTTTCATTAAGAAAATAAGTTTAAATGCAATTAAGAAGTTACAATTTAAGTGAGTGCACCTACTCCTTGTGTAGTACTCCTTTGACCTGTTCCCCCCTTCCTTGTCTCCACTCTCCACTGGTGACATTGTCGGTGGAGCAACCCCAAGGGTATTATGGGTAAACCAAACCATTCTTAAACCCATCGTTGTTCATTGGACAGATTACGCACGGCACGACTGTCCTCACAACCAACCACACTACCATGCGTACATAGCAAGCTGCCTAAACGGCGACGTTTGCATTCTTCAACGCACCCTTTAGCATTTATTAATTTGAATCCGAAACCAAGCGAGGGCATTCCAGTAATAAAAAAAATTGTATGAGAAATAAAAACCAAAAATAAAATAAAAATGGAATTACAAAACGCTTCGTATCTTAAATAGATGGGAATCTCTAATTGCACATCTCTTTCCCTTTCTCGTTAATTTTATTTTAATTTTAATTTTTCTTGCACACACACTAAAACCGCCTTTCTGAAATGGCAATGGGCTCTTGTTTGTTCCATTTATCAGTTGATGGTTAGGGCTTCGTAGGGGCGCTATCCGAATGTTCCAGCAGGTTCCTCTTTCGTTGTTTGGGCTCTCCAATTCCAATTTCCGACGGCGTTTTGTGCCAACCATGCCTTGATTTTTATCCTCTTCTTTTTCTTCGGGTAAATACTCGCTTAGAGCCTCTCTTTGTTCTGTTCTTTCTGCCCGTGTGTATCTATTGATTCATTACTCTTTCGACTCGGTAATTTAACTTGTCTTTCTTGATTGAATGCGAGGTCGAGTGGAGAATCCTCGTGTTTGCGGGGTTTACCGTCTTGTTTATGTGTTTTCCCCTTTTGTGAGTTCTCGATTTAGAATTTGGGAGTGGGGTTTCTTGTTCTCTAGGTCGAGGGAAGAGAGGGTTTTCCTTTTGTGGTTAAATTGGTTTCTTAGTTAGTAAGTTACTGAGCTGTTTCCCGATTTGAAGGTCAAACCGCGTTGATGTTCGACCTTCACAGCAGATTTTTTGTTTTTTGTTTTTTTTAATGGTAGCTAGATAGTGGATAAATAACTGTCCCGGGTTTTACTTTTTAAGTGTTTAATTACCACCAGTTAAGGTTCAAATAGCAGACACTGCGAATCATAGCATAAGCATAGATTCAATTGGTATGATTTTCTTTTCGCACGTCAACTTGACATGATTGTTTATAATGGTATTTGTGTATACCGTATCGGGCTAAAGGAGTACCAGAATGGTAACAGTGAGTGAGTGACTAATGAAATCCTTTTTCAGTAGGTTTGTTTCTATAACATATGATACGAGGTTTAATTTGAGTTATCTTGGCATTACTTTGTTTGTAGTTCATTTATACTATCTTTCACGTTTGTAAGGATTCATTGTATTAATTCTGGATTGTTGTAAAGTTCTTCATGATTGTTTTTGAATACTTTAGATGATTTAGTCTGTTGCTGATTAATGAAAACCCTGGTTTCTGTCTGATGCTATTTTCTCATTTTAATACTTATTTATTGTTATGTTTGCTTATACTTCATGTTATGGCTGTCTGCAGTGGTGGCAGATCTGGTATGGAAATGTATGATGTTTCTGAAACTAGAAACGTGGATGCTTATTTGGTAATTTTATAGAATTTTTTAACCTTTGCATTTTACTCTTTTTTTCTTATTGATATATCAGGTCTCCATTAGTGACTTGACATTATTGTTTTCTAGGCACTTTTTACTCATCTCTGACTATGTGTATGACATTAAATTATGTTACTATCACTTTGACTTTCAGATTGAAGGTATTGATCTGAACTCTCACTTGACAAGCCCAAATTTTGAACAATTTGAAGCCATGTTTAACGAAGGAGCCCCTGAGTTTGTTGCTGATCAGAACATGTATTACCCTGCCGCCAATTATGGGTTTTACTGTACAGGTAAATTCAAAACCATTATATGTCACTGCTTTTTGGGTTGATGGTATATTATATATACATCATGTTGATTACTTGCTATTTATTGTGGTTAGGATTTGAATCACCCGTGGAGTGGGAGGACCACCATAGGATTTTTGGTGTAGATGGTCCTGATTTTCAGTACACGGTGAGTGTAGTTCCCCTTCACCCATGTGTGCGTGTGTCATATGTTTTTGGTTGACAGCTGATTATTGTTTGTTCTTTTGCCAGGGTGCACAAAACGAAAGTTTTCCATACGTATATTATACACCTAACTATGGATTTGCACAGTCTCCATACAATCCATACAATCCTTATATTCCTGGTGCTATGATAGGAGTTGATGGTCCATTTGGTGGAGCACAACAATATTACCCCTTCCCCAATTATCAGAACCCTGTTTCTTCACCTTCTTATGTTCCTCTTGTTGTTCAACCAGACAATTTTCCTGATAGTTCTGTTGACTCATTGTTTGATACCAGTGCTTCTGTCAGTAGACCTGATGGAAGAGGTTTGAAACATAAGTTCAATCCAGCTTCTGGTGCCTTTACTAGGAACTCTTCAAAACCATTATCAAATCAGACAAGTTCCTTAGCCAGGGTATCAGAAGGACCGAGAGCTAATGCTGGGGTGAAGAAAGACTTGACAAATGGAAGTGTTTCTGGCAGTGGTTTTCTGAATTCAGCTTCGGCACCTGTCCATCAGGTAGGAATCTTAACCTTTTTAACATATATTTGAATTTGAGTACATGGAGCCCACTTTTGCTTTTGGCATGTTGTTTAGGCCAGACTCCTCTTATCTATAATTAAAATTAGTTGATAATATTATAGGTAGTTAAATTTTTTCACTGCTTTCTGGTCCTACTTCTTTGAAGAGGACATACTTGGAGGGAAATGGGTAGATCCGTATTAGTTTTAGGACATCTGGGAGGCCCTGTATACTTCAAATCTGTTGGAAGATATTTTATTATTGTTTTTGGTAACATGATTTTCTCTTCGAAACTTTTTAAAATTTCTTGAATAAGCTTGATGGTTATGTTTACCTTTTTAATTTTTTAGGCCAGAGGTGCTGAAGCCTCAAACGGACCTGTAGATACTATTTCAAATGGAAATGTTTTGTCTCATCGTAATCAATTGAAAGTAGCTCTCCCTTTGAATGGTGGATTTTCTGACTTTGGATCTAGTGCTAATGGACAGTCTGCAGTTGCAAGATTTCGACCGAAGGTTCACATTGGCAAAGTACTGAGTGATGTAAAGGGAAGCTCTGATGTTTTGGGTGAGCAAAATCGAGGGCCTAGAATTAGTAGGTCCAGACATCAGCTGCTGGCTGTCAAAGCCTATACAACAAAGGCAGGAGATAGTAATACACAAGATAACCTCATCATTTATACTGATCAATATAATAGGGAAGATTTCTCTCTTGACTATGAAAATGGGAAGTTTTTTGTTATAAAATCATACAGCGAGGATGACGTGCACAAGAGCGTTAAATATAATGTGTGGTCATCAACTCCTCATGGCAACAAGAAATTGGAGAGTGCTTATGAAGATGCTAAGAGAATAGCTGCTGGAAAATCTGGAGGCTTTCCTATCTTTCTTTTCTTTTCTGTGAGTTTCCATTCTGATTATGTATTAAATGAGTTTTGATTCTGTTTCTTTCTGATCCTTACATCTAATAAAACTGTGAAATGCAAAATTTATCCTATTCTATTGGTCATACTGACTTTTTTTTTTCAATGTAGGTTAATGCAAGTGGTCAATTTTGTGGGGTTGCTGAGATGGTTGGGCCAGTTGACTTCAATAAGGATATGGATTTTTGGCAGCAAGATAAATGGAGTGGGAGCTTCCCTGTTAAGTGGCACATCATAAAAGATGTGCCAAACACAAATTTTAGGCACATTATACTAGAGAACAATGAGAACAAGCCAGTAACTAATAGCAGAGACACACAAGAGGTATATACTATTTTTGTGTCCGTTCATTTATCAAAGTAGAATTGAGAATGTGCCCATAATCATTTAACATTAATGGTTGTGTAAGTCTTACCTGAGTAAGTGCATTGAAGATGTTTGGTCTGTCTAAAAAGAGTGTTTGAATTTTTGAATACGGGTACCTTAAGGGCTATAGAGGGTGTAGTTCCCCACCCACCCACTTGACATAGATAGAAACACACATGATTGTGTGGAGGCTTTCTGATTATCGTACTTTTTGACTTCATTGTCTTGATTGAAGTGAACGTGTGTTTTGTTTTTCATTTTGTATATTTTTAATTTGGGGATAAGCTGTTATGTTTAAATTGTGGTTTTGTTTTGGATTTTTTCTACTTTGGTAGATTTTTTGGGTTGGGTGTGTGTTTTCTCCCTCACTATTACTTCATATGATCTGACTATCAAATTCACATTCCTCATGTGCAGATAATGTATAGGAAAGGTATGGAGATGCTGAAAATATTCAAAAATCATACTTTGAAGACGTCTTTGCTCGATGACTTCATGTATTATGAAAACCGTCAGAAAATCTTGCAGGAAGAGAAATCGAAGTTCCTAATCAAGAGTTTTGAAAGACCGTTATCGGTACCAGCACTGGGACCACCTCGAAAGTTGAATTTTGCTGTTGACATTCCTCCTGTCAGTGACGAGAAGAATTCAAAGATGGATGATGAATTTGATAGCTTAAAACAGACTTCAATTTCAAGTGCGGAGCATATTGTTAGTAGTTTCGATGTCACCAGCACTAAGCCTGTTGATGATAAGGCTGATAAAGGTACAGCTGAAAAAGAAGATATTTCTTCTATTTTAAAGATTGGTTCAGTGACTATTACCCCAAGACAGATAGAGACTAAACCACCGGGCGTTGGTGTTGCTAATAAGGAACCAATTGATGTTCTAACAGTAGGCTCAATGCAAGTCAAAGTTAATGGATTTGTTGAGTCTTCCGTTTTGAAGGTTGGGAGTATCCCACTTGATCCAAGAGCACTACAGCTGGACAAAGGAGTTACTTGTGTTAAAAATGAATCTCATCCTTAAAATTTTGCGTATGCATGTCATGGCACCTTTTGGATCTTTTTTGGTGAAGATGGATTATTGTCCCCTGACTGTATCACAGTTGGGAAGTTGGGTTTCTCTTCAGTCTTTTACTACTGATTGATACAACGCCATACTTTGATGTCATGGATCTTTAGATCAGTGTTGATTCAAAAAACTTTAAAATGAAATAGCATAACTTCTTTTATTTTTCGTCTGTGAGCGATCAACATACAAGTGTGTTTTCGTCATTGCAGCTTCCATATACTCTGTTGTCGACTTGCTAGAACTTCTCCTCGCAACGCCCCCGTTTTCTATAGTTCTGTTATATTTTTGAGGTCTACATTCTGTTCTGTTTCTTGGAATGTATTTTAGTTTGATTTGGGTTAAAATGAAGAAATGTAACGACTGAATCAATGAAAGCTTCTCTTTAAGAATATAACCACATGTTATTCTGTTTCTTTTTTCCATTTTGTAGTGTGAAATCATTCAGTACGCCTGTAAGTGCTGAGTGGAATATTAATGGTAGTTCTTTTGATTGGTGAAACTTAATAAGGATTTACGGATTTTTTTATTTTATATCTTCTGTGAATTCTTATGACTGTAGCTGTATTAATATATAAACATCGTTTACATTAAATTTGAAAAAATCGGATTAAATTGATAAACTAAAATGTAATATGTTTTAGGATTTAATTTTTGTTGTAGATTTTTTTTTTTACCACATTTATATAAAAAAATGGGTCTTACTGATTATGTGAGTGTGGTATGTACATTTTTCCCCATGTTTTAACCTCGGAAAATTATTTCATACATGATACTAAACGCAGTTTTATAATTTTGAAATTTTGTAACTAAATGTTACTTAGGATAATAATTTTCACGAATTTAAAAGTCATATCCATTAAAAAAACAATTTATAAAAACTTCATTTTGATATAAATTTCTCATAAAATAGAAATTAGAAATTTATATATATTACAAAAATCATTAATGTAGCTTCAATTCAAGTTTTTGGATTTAAATAATCTTTTATACAGTATCAGAGAATTTAATACTCACCCATTTAATTAATAATTAATTAATTTTTGATGAATTTCTTACCACATATAGGTAGACCTGTGTATTATCCACCCTTAAAGTCAAATAAGCTCTTGTGTGAGGAGACGTGTTAGAGAAGCTCACATGTAAGGAAAAAGTGTTAGAGAAGTATAAAATTATTAATATAACTTAACTCTAAAATTTTGACGGCAAAAAAGTTTAAATATTTCTTTTTTAAAAAAATTACAAAAATGTAATTGTTTTGAATATATTTACAAATATGTAGCACTCAAACACGTCCCATAGGGGCGTGACCTGAAGAGAGAGAATGCTCCACAAGCCACAAGGGTGTGTTTTAGGAGAAAGACATGCCCCAAGGGGAAGTGTTTCACCAGATGCTGACACGAGGCACAAAAAGTAAACAATTTACCCGTAAAATTTTGAAAGTCCATAACTTTTGACTCGGGTGCCCGAATTAGGTAAATAAATTTGACTCCACACAGTTTATCGAGATCTACGCAATGACACCTCATTTGACTTATTTTGTCTCTCACAAAAAAAGTTAGAATTTGCAACAATGATACTATAAAAACGTTAATAAAGAGAAAACCATTGTCATGATTAGAAACATTCATAGTAAAGATCCTTATGATTATTGTACCATTATTGCAAATTGAAATTCTTAGCTTGCTTTTATTTTTTCTCTTCACAATTTTTATTTTTCTCTATCACCTCATGCGGAAAAAAAAAAAACTTAGATAAAAAAGGGAAAAAGAAAGGGGAAAAAATGGTTATGTTCCTTTTATTCTTATCTATTTTGTGCTTTGGGATAGATGCACATGATGTCCTCTACCATTACCTGCGAAAGGAATATCATCAACTATACACTATAAATCGAAATAGCAACAGATCTTTATGACATTTTATTTGACGAATTAATAAGATAATTTTTATGCGGCCAATAGCTAAAATATTGCTTATTATAAAATTGAGGGTTCTATTTAAGTTGACTAATTGTATTCTAGATATCTAACATTGTCAGTCCAGTGCAGAAAATTTACAAAAAAAATTAATTATTTAAATATAGGTGATAATCGTCCGAGCAGTTTTCTCATAATTGAAAGAGAAAAACGGAGATGAATTTAGAAGCATTAGAAATAGATTAATTTTTTATTTTTTTTGGTAAGCAAAAATAGATTAATTAATTAACATGTGTGTGTAATATACTATAAAATTTTAAAAATATGCAGAATAGAGCACAAAGAAGCATTTTTTGGAAAATATTTTTGATGGACTTGCCAACACTATTGTTTGAGAAAGTTCTGCGGAATTTGAATTTTGTCTCCTATAAATATAATTTCAATTTGCAACAATGGTACCATAATCATAAGGATATTTATTATGAATATTCCTAATCATGAAGTGGTTTTATTTTTATTAATCTGGGTTTAAACGTTCTTATAGTATCATTGTGGTAAATTCGAATTTTTTTTGTAAGAGACAAAATATGTCAAAAAATGTGTCATTGCGCAGATCTAAAAAAATTGTATGGAATCAAAAAAATTTTTACTTAATTCGGACACCAAATGTTATGGACTTCAAAAGTTTTACAGATAAACTGTTGACTTTTCGTGAAGTGTCAGCATCTGGTGAAATGCACACCCTTGGGGCATGTCTCTCTCTTAAAACACATCCTCGTGGGACGTGTCTCTCTCTATCAGGACGCCTCCATGGGACGTGTTTGAGTGCTATTCATTTGTAAATATATTTAAAACGACTATAATTTCGTAAATTCTTATTACAAGACTATTTAAATTTTTTTCCTTGAAAGGATCTTCTACGTTTTTCGGTATGTAAACATTGTACAAATTATTTTTTTTAATATAAAGTTGCTCGCCCTAAAAAGGTGTAGTAGCTTATGAGTTACACTTGATAACTCAGTCAATATGCAAATATGGGCAAAAGGCAAAATTGTGAGCTTTTGACCACTGTAGCCTTTATTTAATAATTAATTACAAATTCGCCTTCCAGCCAAAACATATCACCCATTTTACCCTGTTTTACTGTGCATAACCTGAAATACCCGGGTACATAGGCGGTTACCCGGGTATAATTTGAAAATTTCTCCCTACCCGGGTAGTCAAGTGGGATACCCGGGTATTGTTCAAAATCTGGGAAATGGCTTGAATTATTTACCCGGATAGGTAGTGGGATACTCGGGTATTGTTCAAATTTTGGGAAATGGCTTGAATTATTTACCCGGGTAGGGAGGGGTACCTGGGTAGAGAGCTGCTGGAGTGCGAATTGGTTTGTTCTTTGAGCACATTAGTTGTGTTTTCTTGCTCTTTTGGGATCATCCTTCACGCACATTATTGCTTCCTTCTACCGATTGAATTCCAAGAAAGGTAAAAAAAATTCCTTTTGAATTTTTGATACAATGTAAAATGCATTCTGACTTTGTGTTTTATCAATTTGCGTTTAGAATTATTGTGTTGCGTTTTAAACATTGCATTTAAAACATCGCATTCTGATTTGTTGCGTTTTAAAAACCCTAACCCTAACCCTAACCCTGCATTCTGATTCTGATTTTGCATTCTTATTTTTATTTTTGTTTCATAGTGTGACTGCATGGCTGAGAGACGCGTTTCGAAGAAAAGAGCAGTGGATACCAAGGGGAGGACCAAGCTCCGACATGATGGGTGGTCATCCTCTCAGCCCCAAGCTGCTGTGCATCAGGCTCCAGACTTGCCGTTCGGATATTTATTTGAGGATGACACTGATACCGAGCTAGGTTCCACTCTGATACCAAGCACTATATGATGAATGCTCAAATAATTTATGTTTGAAATCTCAAAATGGAATCACATGTTATGCTATGTAGGTGTAATGGTGCACAACATTCAGCACACTCAATGAACAATCTCATATAATGCATGTAAATTGAACGATGCATGATACACTAGCATCCGTACATGCTACTTGTATGCTTGAATCCATTGAACACAAGGTAGATATTCTACATGTAACATCTTGGTTTCTCATAAACATATTCATCATAATCAATCATTAATTCCATGGATCACACAAGAACATGGCATATCAACTATAGCATCCACGAGGTTCAAGCATCATTAGTTACCTCTTCTTCCAATTACTCAAGTAAATAAGTTCACTTTTTTTTGGGTCTTCCTTTTCCACACTACTCTTACCTAGCAAAGGAGATATTCAATTAATGTACAATTTTCTCTCTCGTTAAGTAGCTAAGTAAACAAATAATTAAGAGAAAAACTAGGTCTCCTTCTTTTGTTGTAACCAAAAGTATAAAGGGTTCAAGGATCTAATTTTTGTTACTTACTTCATTCTTTCCTAATATGACATTACTAGGCCAAGGCATTAGGGATTATTGTTTCTTGAATGAACTAGGTTCTAACCCTATGTATCAATTTAGCCATAATAGTGTACAAAATATCCTTTAATGATAATATGTCTAACTTCTTAAAATGGAATTGGGCTATACATCTACACAACCTTCTAAATAGTGAACCCCACATACAATGACATCCACATAACCTATTATCCCCCTATAACCGAAATAAGGCAATTCAGAAGGTTAGTGTCTTACCTATACCCCCATAACAGCTGAAAAATCCCTTAGCTAAACTCCTTCCCTTCGCGAATGCAGTCAATAAGTGCAATATCACTTTGTTGGTATTCGGTCATACCCATCACAGTGACCACAAAATTGACATGTAAACACTTTCACGTTCATTTCCATCAATTTCCACCCTCTCATACGTAGAAGATCTCACCAAGTTGTTCTCATCTCTTCTTCGCCCATCTTCATTCTAAACTGCACTCTTTTCTTTCCATCTGTGGCATTTGTAACATCCTGAGCGCTGATGAGGACGGGGAGTGATCGCCAGTGCAAAGAGGCACGGACAAGGAGCGCCTCCTAACAGGCTTCCAGCGGGGGGTTATGGTAGTCCTCAAGAGTTAAGGCCCATTAAGTGTAAATTGTTCCACAAAACCCATGTTTTGGTTATAAATCACGCCCTTTAACCTTCTTCTTTTCATATAGAGCAACTGTTTTGAATAGTGGACCAGAGCAATGCCGAAAGTGGGAATTAAGGTAGACCTGAAGCAAATTTAACATTATCTTTTTCACATATGACTATTGGGTTAGTTTGCTTTGTTCAGGACACCTAAGGCCCATCAAAAGGAACCACAAAATGAAGAGAGAAGAAGGAGTGTTGCGCAGAAAGGAAAAAGAAGTCTGCTATAGTACAACGGCAGTCAAAAGAAGCAATGGGGAGCTGCCTCGTCAGCTACAGCAAAGAAGGTGAAGGTGCTGCCTCTGCTACAGTACGAAAGCAAAGAAGCTGAGCAATGGGGAGCCGCCACGTCAGCTACAGCAGAGAAGGTGAAGGTGCTGTCTCTGCTACAGTACGAAAGCAAAGAAGCTGAGCAATGGGGAGCCGCCACGTCAGCTACAACAGAAGGAGTGGAGGTGCCACCCTGAATCCGATACTCCTACTCACATAGGGAGCCAAAAGCAAGGGGACCACTTCCATTTAAGGCCAAGCTGGCAAGAAGCAAATCTACCATTGGAGAGGATTTAGACAAAGCACAACCCTTGATGAAAGGAACAATGGAGATCAAATGAAGAACCCTATAAAAGGAACAAGCAATCCTCATAAAGAGGAGGATCAACACCCATCCTAGGACTGGTTGTCTCTTTGTTTTCTTATTTCTTTGTAAAAATACTCACTAGGAGCTAACTTCCTCTAAGTAGGTGAGGGTTCCATAGAAGTAATCCCTTTTGTCTTAGGATAGCTTTGTAAGGAACACATATTTTATAAATGAATTTTGAGTTGCTCTTTGGTTTAATTTATTGATTTTGTGAAACCCTTTGGGCTGGCAACCTCATCCCGGGACCACTCGGTTGATGAAACACTGACAAAGGCGTGTGGAGCATTCTCAAAATCCTGGGGTAGTTTAGCCTGAAGAAAGGAGGGATAAACACCTGGAATGGGGAGCACTGCCATGTGAATCCATGCTCTTTTGAGAAGGCAGCATGGTTTCCTTGCATATAACTCCAAGTACTATGGAGTAACGTGGAGAGTAAGGTCTTACCCTCTGCTTACCTATAGCAAAACAAGGGAATGAGCAAAATCCACTTGTAAAATATGCTACCAGGCAGGGTTAACCAAAGGGATGAAAACATGGAACCCGTAACACCTACTTGATCTTTTTCTTTCTGAAATTAATCTTAACTCAATTCCTATCATAACCTTTTCCTCACGATAACTGAACTGTGTTTTACTAGCTGATGCTCTTACTTTCATTTCGTCGACTGCTCTTAAAGTTACTTCAATTGATGCCATTTTATTCGATGACCATGCTAAGTCATTCACTGCTCTCATCTGGTTCAGAATAGTTAACATTGTTTAACTAGCTGCCCAGAGATTGCGCTTTGTGAAGCTTAGCTGAGAATAGTGATTTCTTTTATTGCTCCATTTTACAAATTAAGTTTCCTTTAGCGCTTCTTACTTCATAACTGCTCCCTGAGGACGATAAATCTGGGGCTATAATACCCTATATTGCTTGACACGTACGCTTGCGTATAGTTGAAGAGGGTTGCTCTTAGTCAGAGTAGATTGCTCCTGTTGGCAATCCTGATTACTACTCTACACCCTTGCTCTCTGAAAGAAATATTCCCGAGCAACTCTCGGTTCGACCAAGCAGGTTACATGCATGAATGACTCGAATCGACACCCGAAAGAGAGAAATTTCAAAGATTGTGCAGGTGTGAGATTGCACAGTTTGGAAAAGCTTATAAGAATTAATGGGTACTACCCATACTAACAAGATGCATCTTCTTTTCGGTAGCCCGAAATGGAAGAACTCCATAGTTAAGCGTGCTTGACTTGGAGCAATTATGGGATGAGTGACCTCCTGAGAAGTTTTTCCGGGAAGTGTGCGAGTGAGGAAAAAGCACACTGAAGAGTATTGTGTTAGTATGTGGGGATAGTCATTGATTCTTGAAGCAGTCGGGCGTTACAAGTGGTATCAGAGCAGGGCCTCTCTTCCAGTACGGTGTGGTTCGAGAACGAACCAGGCGGAAGCTGGTGGGCATGTAACATCCTGAGCGCTGACGAGGGCGGGGAGAGATCGCCGGTGCAAAGAGGCACGGACAAGGAGCGACTCCTAACAGGCTTCCAGCGGGGGGTTACATGCATGAATGACTCGAATCGACACCCGAAAGAGAGGAATTTCAAAGATTGTGCAGGTGTGAGATTGCACAGTTTGGAAAAGCTTATAAGAATTAATGGGTACTACCCATACTAACAAGATGCATCTTCTTTTCGGTAGCCCGAAACGGAAGAACTCCATAGTTAAGCGTGCTTGACTTAGAGCAATTATGGGATGAGTGACCTCCTGAGACGTTTTTTCCGGGAAGTGTGCGAGTGAGAAAAAAGCACACTGAAAAGTCTTGTGTTAGTATGTGGGGATAATCATTGATTCTTGAAGCAGTCAGGTGTTACAAGTGGTATCAGAGCAGGGCCTCTCTTCCAGTACGGTGTGGTTCGAGAATGAACCAGGCGGAAGCTGGTGGGCATGTAACATCCTGAGCGCTGACGAGGGCGGGGAGTGATCGCCGGTGCAAAGAGGCACGGAGAGGTAGCGACTCTTGACAGGCTTCCAGCGGGGGGTTACATGCATGAATGACTCGAATCGACACTCAAAAGAGAGGAATTCCAAAGATTGTGCATGTGTGAGATTGCACAGTTTGGGAAAATTTATAAGAATTAATGGGTACTACCCATACTAACAAGATGCATCTTCTTTTCGGTAGCCCGGAACGGAAGAACTCCATAGTTAAGCGTGCTTGACTTGGAGCAATTCTGGGATGGGTGACCTCCTGGAAAGTTTTTCCGGAAAGTGTGCGAGTGAGGAAAAAGCACATTGAAAAGTCTTGTGTTAGTATGTGGGGATAGTCATTGATTTGTGAAGCGGTTGGGCGTTACAACATTCATCTCTTTCCTAGCAAGAAATGTGTCAAACACATCCTCTATTATTTTTAACTTTAATTTTTTTAACTTTAGTTTTATGTGTAAGTAAATTAATTAGTTTAATGCAATTTTGTTTTAATTAGTTTAAGGGAAAAATAATATTTTGAAAGATCAAATCATAAAAAAAAAAGTAAGGTGATGAACTGGCAATACTTTAGGTGTAAAATGTATTAACTATTTTTTGTGAATTTAAATTTGAGTACTAAAAACTTACCCAAAAAAATTATTGAATACTAAAAAAAATATATGTTTTATTGGGGTTAGTAGTAAAACTCGAGAAAAAAAAAGGCCAATTTAATGTTCCAAATTTATTTTAAGGGTTAAATTGAAAATCTTCATAAAAAATACCCATTTGAAAATAATAGTGGGCCGCATCAAAAGCCTGACTGGTCCATTTGCTGAGGTCTTTGGTTGGAGGGTATGGGCTTTATCTCACCTACGCAATTTAAATTTACAATTATGTTTATGCAAAATATGAAAAACTATTTTCGTGTTGTTCCCTTCTTGCCCTAATCCTTTACCCTCTTTAGTGATTTTTGCATAGTGCTCGCTGCTAGTCCAAATCGGTAACTGGTAAGACCCTTTTTGTATGTGTGCTCCATTTCTGGAACAGTGACCAAAATGCCATTGTTCACCAACTTTTTTACCTAAATGCCACGCGAACACTGTTATTTCCCAATCTGCCACGGGGGCAAGTTCGCTATCCGGTGTAGCGAACTCAGTTTGCTGACGTGTCACGTTTCTAGTGGACACTAAGTTCGCTACACGGGATAGCGAACTTCAAACTTTTTTTTTTTAAACTTGGTACTTGTTATCTACTAGAAATGTGACACGTTAGCAAATCGAGTTCGCTACACCGGGTAGCGAACTTGCCCCCGTGGCAGATTGGGAAATAACACTGTTCGCGTGGCATTTAGGTAAAGAAGTTGGTGAAGAGTGGCATTTTGGTCGGTGTTCCTCCATTTCCTTCGTTTTTCCTCTCTTTTTAAAGGCAACAAGCTACTATCATATGTCATTTTCAACTCTTCTTCCCTAACTCATCATGTTTCTATCTACTCGAACTCTTTGAGGGTAAGAAGAAAAATAAATTACTTAATAATTGTTGTTTTAAATAAATGTCTATTGAGATAGACCATGGTTCGTGTTGTTGTTTTAAAAAATTACGACCCGATCTGGGTGGATGGATCACCGATTTTGGCAAAAACCGTCCAGTTTGCATCAATTCATACTGGTTCTATTATATACTCGATCCAATATGAAACGCGGACCGGTTGCATGACCTACATATTGATTTTCGAGTCAATCCAATCTTTTGGACACTGATATTTAGGTTCTTGAGTGTGCCTTTCTGAAATTCACGATGCAATGATATTAGCTCTTCATTCGAAATATTTTCAATCTTAATTTAAGAAATGACATTGAAGGTAGGCTCAGATCTTCAAGTAAACCTTCACTTGGTGAGTTATCAAATTATCGAAAAAGTGAGTTAGCTACAACATGAAATTATTTTTTAAAAACAATATAAAATAAAATAATATTTTGAAACAATTTAAAAAAAAATTAAAATTGTAACCAATGTAAACCACATAGCAATGATGAAATAAAATTTACAACATAAAATTTTGTAAAAGAACCAATTCCAACCTAATGACAAATGGTGAGGAAGTTGGATTTTTTTTACTATTTACAGCGATACCAGGCCTTGCTGGGCCTAAGTGGAGGTGGGTTTTCAGAGCCGTATCAGCCCACCCAATTCCACGTGTCATGCAAGCAAAATCAGAGACAAAGATATGAATCCTAAGTTAACTTGTGAACTATACTTTTAAATGTCAATAGTACATACTTTTAAATGTCAAGTACTATTGCTGTTCTCTTCTGCTCTGTTTCTTTTTGTGTTTGTTTGTTTCAGTTCTTCTCTTCACGTCAGTGTGGGGCGAGTGTAGACCACGCGCCATCATCCTCTCCGAGCACCGATCAGGTATTCCCCAATCTCCTGTTGCATTTGCATTTGTCTCACTCACAAGTCACAACTTCTTCCGTTCAATGAACCGACAAGGTTCAGCAGCAACCGTACTTGCCCTTGGTGTTGGGGTTACGCCGTTAGCTTTTCTTCAAGATGAACTTTTTATTTTTTTTTTGGAAATAGATGGATTTCTTCAAGTGATGATACTTAAAATTTCACTCAAAGTTTGATTTTATATTTAGGAAAGGGCACACATGCAAAGTTTATGGGACTGCCCTTCTGATTTTATTCTGCTAGAAATACCTAATGTATTGATTAATAATATACAGGTGAAATGGAGGGGAATTCAAATGGAAGACAAGGCAAAAATATCGTGATTCCAAAAATTGAGGACTTGGATGATGAGTTGCCACCTTATGTTACATTCTCAGGGGATGTTGGGGTATGCTGCAGATTTCTCAACGAGTCTTAGATGCTATTAATCATATCTTGTGTTGCCCGAACTCTCATTAATTACCTTATGGATTCCTGATATTGAGGTTGAAACATTTGATTAATTAAATGAACTTTGGGAAATATTGCAAGATACCTTCCTCAACTGATTTTTTTCAAGAAACTATACATGCTGAGTATGAATTTTGATTAATATCTCTAACAAACTGTCTCATGGGAAAGCCCTTTTCGCTCGACATGTAAGTCCAATACTTCAGTGTGCTAAAATTTAGTTTATTTACATGATTGTGGGCTGCAAGTTTGAAATGTTGACCACACTAGCTAGAGAAGCATAGAATCCATGTGAAGGAGAGCCAGTCAATCCAAAAGCTCAGGGTTTTGTTGGGAGAGACTTGGCGAAAATTGAAGACAGAGAATAAACCTTTTTGTATTAAATTTGTGTCTGTAACAGTTCACAGGACTCCACACATAGTCTCTCTATATATTTGTGTTAGTATTAATTAGAATAATTCAATCTCGGATCCATAATCCTAAATTTGTTCTGAACTGTTTTTACAATTTATACATAATATCCTATCATGAATAGCCAAAACATTCTAATAACATGATGAGACATTATTTCTCTATGTTCACTATGTATCATAGCATATGATATTTATAAAAATAATTGTCTTGATTAAATTTTCAATTTTTTTTGTTTGCCTATGTTTAATTTCTTCCTTCATAATTACCAGGACAATGTTGCAAGTTCATCTGGAGGCAAATTACGATCATTCTTTATTGGAATGGGATTCCTCCCACGCCTTGTTGATAAAGTGATAGAGGAGAATGGTATATTATGTGTGAGCAGGATGCTTTTGTCTTGCACTAAGTGAATGGCACATTTTATGAACTTATAATTTCACTTTGCCAATTGAAGTACTCCAGTTCTGATTGATTTTCTTTTAAATTTATAGGTGAAGAAAATTCTGAAACGTTATTAGAGGTTCTCTTGAGATATTCTGTAAGTAGATTGAAAGTTTCAAATCATTGTTCTTGAATTATGCTATTTCACAACTTCGGTGCAATAATTTACTAGCAATTTAAGTATTTAACAAATATCCGCATGCTTTCTCTTTTAAGTTTTTGTTGGATTACTTCCCTTATTAGTGACCTTGAGCGGTGAAATCACCTTATTTTGTGGTAATTATTGCTTTGGGATGTAATAAACCTACTTTAGGCTGCTTGTTGCTTGTTTCTGCTGTTAGAGGAAAATGACACTCAAGCGCTGGTACAATTCCACAGTGATAAAATCTTCATTGAAATTCCTATCTATGATATATATATATATATATATATATATATATATATGTGGATTGGTTATACTTACTACCAAGTTATCTTACCACCTCTTACCACCATTTTATAACTGTTAGATTAGATTTTATCTAACAGCTCTGGGTTAATGTTAATTTCTCTCTCTCTAATTACATCCTCTCTCACTCTCTCGTATCTAACGGCTTTGGGTTAATATTAATTTCTCTCTCTCGAATCACATCCTCTCTCGCTCTCGTTTATTGTCAATGACTATGGAAAATTCGTGTGCTGGTGTGCAGTGTATAACAATTCGAACAATTCATGCCCAAATTGACATCACAGGTAGCAAAGGAATTGGGGACAAAAGGAAGTGATCCACCCAAAGTCAAAATAAAGGAATCTCACAGGTGGGAATAAGTGATGCCAATTTCCTGCGATCGTTGTGTAATAGAATAATGCCATCGAACAAATTAAATCGACCCACAAAAATCATAAATTTTTTAATATTGTTTCTTTTATTGGTGTGTCACTTGGATTGGAATGGGTTGCCAAAAGTTATTGTGCTCTTTTTTGTCTCATTCATCTCGGTGGCTAATATGTTTTTGTGTGATATTGAATTTTTGGGTTTGAAAAGACTTAATTTTTTTGAGTTTGACAGGATACATTCATTGGAATGTACCCTGATAATTTTTTCAGTTTTGCCACAGGCAGATGGGAGAGAGGGTGAGATGGAAGAGAGAGAAAGAAATTAACATTAACCCAGAGTCATTGGATCAAATCTGATCTGACGGTAATGAAATGGTAGTAAGAGGTGGTAAGATAATTTAGTGGTAAGTATAACTGGTCCCATATATATATATATATCATATAATAAGAATTCTATTATATTAATTTGATTTATGATGCCATGGTCATGATGGTAAATGATTTTTCCAATATGTTAGTAAAGTAAATGCCCATTTTGGTCATCCAACGATATAGGTTATTGAGAGAGTCAAAAGAGGTTCCAACTTCTAACTCCGATTGAACCTGTTAGAATATATGATTAGATATGATTGGATTCCGTCTTATCCGTAAATATCCTGACTGTATTCTGACTGTATTAGGATTAGGTTTGGGCCTTTCACTTAAGCCCATTAGGGTCTCTATATATTGTAACTCTCTGACACAGATCAATAAACAACATATTATTTTATATTCAAGTTGGTACCAGAGCTCTTTCGTTCTGGGAACCCTCGCTTCCGCTTAGAAACCTTGTTTTTTCTTTAAAACCTAAGCCCACTGCTTAGGAGTCATCTTTCTTGCCGTGCGTCCTTCCGGCAAGCCTTCTAGGGCTGTAAACAGCCTCTGAGTGATTTTTCCAAACGCGTCAGCACCTCCGACGGCCACCGGAACCACCACCCGCCGTCAGAATCACTGTTCAGGCAACCAGAGACTTTTTCCGGCGACTTTTCCGACCAAACTTCACGCGATCAGGACCCTCTCTTCCCGGCGACCAGGTCTGTGGTGGTCCGGTCAGCAACGCATCTCCCACGCGCCGTCACGCGCCACTTGTCTTCTCTGCGCGTGGGCCTCACGCGCCACCTTCTGCCGGCGCGTGAGCACTATTCCGGCGGCTTTTTCCGGCCGGTCTTGGACAGAGAAGCTCGCCTTCTCCTCTCCTTTCTGGATCTGTGATTGTTTCTCTGTGGGTCTGACCTTAGACGCGTGGTTCTTCTTGATTGGATATCGTTTGCCTTCGTTTACGGCTTTTATATTTTATCTTTAAATGGCAGCAGCATCTCCTGATCTCTCGGAGGTTAACTCTCCTTCTATTGTTGCAAATATAGCTCAGTCAGACAATGCATCATTTGGTTCAGGTTCGGACTATGCTGCACTCCAAACCCCTCTTAGGAAGGCTTCTCCTCAGTCTCAATCTTATACTGGTAATCCCGTTGCTTGTGTTTCTCATTCTACATCACTTGGCACTTGGATATTTGACTCCGGTGCTACCGATCATCTCTGTGGTAATAAGGAACTCTTTACATCTCTTACTTATTCTGATCATTTATCGTCTTTTACCCTTGCGGATGGAACCAAAGCCCTAGTTCGTGGGATTGGACAAGCTCGTCCGACCTCTACCTTGGCCCTGACATCTGTCTATTACATTCCTGGCATCCCTTATAACTTAATTTCTATTAGTAAGTTGATCCACTCCCTCACTTGCACCATTACTTTCTCTAACCATTCTGTTTCTGTGCAGGATCCGGGTACGGGGAAAATGATTGGAGTGGGTCGTGAGTCACGAGGGCTTTATTATCTGGATGTGCCTCGTCCTTCAGTAGCATGCTCTCTCACAGAATCTCCACAACTTATCCACAGTCGCCTTGGTCATCCAAGTCTTTCAAAGTTGCAGAAAATGGTTTCTCTTGTGTCCGGTCTTCAGTCTTTAGATTGTGTGTCATGTCAACAAGGGAAGCATACACGCTCCTCTTTTGCCAGTCGAGTCAATAAACGAGCTGATGCCCCTTTCTCTCTTGTTCATTCAGATATCTGGGGTCCAAGTCGTACCTTGTCTGTCTTAGGTTTTCGGTATTTCGTTACCTTTATTGATGATTTTTCCCGTTGCACTTGGACCTATTTAATGAAAAATCGTTCCGAGTTATTTTCCATTTATAAAAAGTTTTCTACTGAGATCCATACTCAATTTGGTGTTTCTATTCGTATTCTACGTAGTGATAATGCTAAGGAATATGTTTCTATTGATTTTTCTAATTTCTTGGCCACACAAGGTACTTTACATCAAACTACTTGTCCTCACACTCCACAACAAAATGGGGTGGCTGAACGTAAAAACAGACATCTCATTGAAACTGCCCGTACCCTTCTTATTCATATGCAGGTTCCCCTTCACTTCTGGGAAGATGCTGTACTCATCTCTTGTTTTCTCATCAATCGCATGCCTTCATCTGTGCTCCACAATGACATTCCTCATAATCTATTGCTTCCAGATGTTCCTCTTTATCCTCTAACTCCACATGTCTTTGGTTGTACTTGTTTTGTTCATGATCTCACTCCTGGTAAGGATAAGTTAACATCCAAAGCCTTTCAGTGTATCTTTCTTGGTTATTCTTGTCTTCAAAAGGGTTATCGTTGTTATTCTTCCGACCTTAAGCGTTACTTAGTTTCCGCTGATGTCACTTTTCTTAATCAACAACCCTTTAATTCTATCCCATCTCAAATGTCACAGGTTGATCATGTACTTCCTGTCCCTTTTCTTGACTTGTCTTTGCCAGCTGCAGGTGCTTCTATTCCAGATGAGCAACCTATTGCTTCTATACCTGAGGACCGTCCACTTCTCACCTATCAGCGTCGCAAAACTGTGCCTCCTGTCGACTCAACTCTTGCTGACTCATCGCCCACTGCTGTTGCTTCTTCCCCTCCGGATCCTTCATCAGAGACTCTTCCCATTGCTCAAAGAAAAGGTACACGTACTACTCGTAACCCTTATCCTCTTTATACCTTTTTGAGTTATGACCGTCTTTCTTCACCTCATTTCACCTTTGTTTCTAGTCTTTCTTCTATTTCTATTCCTAAGACCACAGGTGAAGCACTTTCCCATCCAGGGTGGCGCCAAGCAATGCTTGATGAGATGACTGCACTTCATTCCAATGGCACTTGGGACCTTGTTTCTGCTCCTCGAGAGAAGTCTATAGTTGATTGTCGCTGGGTTTTTACTGTGAAAGTTGGACCTGATGGCCATATTGATCGTCTCAAGGCACGTTTAGTTGCCAAGGATTTTACTCAAATCTTTGGCCTTGATTATAGCGATACATTTTCTTCGGTCGCTAAGATGGCGTCAGTCCGCCTCTTTCTTGCCCTTGCTGCTGTTCGTCACTGGCCACTCCTTCAACTTGACATCAAAAATGCCTTTCTTCATGGTGATTTACAAGAAGAAGTTTACATGGAGCAACCACCTGGTTTTGTTGCTCAGGGGGAGTCTGGAAAGGTGTGTCGTCTTCGGAAATCCTTATATGGTCTCAAGCAGTCTCCTCGAGCATGGTTCAGTCGCTTCAGTTCTGCTGTTCAGGCGTTTGGCTTAATCCGCAGTAAAGTTGACCATTCTGTGTTTTATAGGATTACATCTCCTGATAAGTGTATCTATTTGTTAGTCTATGTTGAAGACATCATTCTCACCGGAAGTGATCAAGAAGGAATTCGTCAGTTAAAACAGCATTTGTTTAGTACATTTCAAACAAAGGACCTTGGGAAGCTGCGTTACTTCTTGGGAATTGAGGTGGCGCAATCCAGACAGGGCATTTCTATCTGTCAAAGGAAATATGCCTTGGATATCCTAGAAGAAACTGGTATGTTGGGGAGTAAACCAGTTGATACACCTATGGATCCTAATGTCAAGTTATTGCCCGGATAGGGGGAGCCGTTATCTGATCCTGGACGTTATCGGAGGCTAATTGGGAAGCTCAACTATCTTACTGTGACTAGGCCAGATATTTCTTTCGCTGTTAGTACGGCTAGTCAGTTTCTTGATTTCCCTTGTGATTCACATTGGGATGCTGCTGTGAGGATCCTCCGATACATCAAAGGAGCACCAGGAAAAGGTTTGTTGTATTCAGATCAGGGAAATACAGAAATGTGTGGTTATTCAGATGCTGATTGGGCAGGATCACCCTCGGACAGGCGCTCTACTTCTAGCTATTGTGTCTTCTTTGGAGGAAACTTAATTTCGTGGAAGAGCAAGAAACAACCTGTTGTTGCTCGATCTAGTGCAGAAGCTGAGTATCGTGCAATGGCAAATGCTACCTGTGAGTTAGTCTGGTTAAAGCAGTTGATTCATGAGCTTCATCTTTGTGAACAGAAACAACCCATGACACTCATCCGTGATAATCAAGCTGTGCTACATATATCCTCTAATCCTGTCTTTCATGAGAGGACCAAACATATAGAGATTGATTGTCACTTCATTCGAGAAAAGATTCAGTCAGGAGAAATCAAGACTGCTTTCGTCAACTCCTCTGATCAACTAGCGGATGTTTTCACTAAAGCTCTTAGAGGTCCTCGGGTTGAATACATTTGTAACAAGCTTGGTGCTCATAATATATACGCACCAGCTTGAGGGGGAGTGTTAGAATATATGATTAGATATGATTAGATATGATTGGATTCCGTCTTATCCGTAACTATTCTGACTGTATTAGGATTAGGTTTGGGCCTTTCACTTAAGCCCATTAGGGTCTCTATATATTGTAACTCTCTGACACAGATCAATAAACAACATATTATTTTATATTCAAGTGAACCTAATACAAAGATGCAACCTGCAAAGACTGAGGAAGTGGTAGTTAGAGAAAGATATCAAAGACTAATTGGGAGACTGATTTATTTATCTCATACTCGTCTGGATATATCTTTTGCAGTAAGCTTGGTAAGCCAATTCATGTACTGACATGGACCTGAACACTTTGAAGCTGGTTACAGAATTTGAAGTAAAAAAATTATGTAGTGGCTAGGTGTAGTGCTGAAGCAGAATTTAGACCACTGGCCCATGGAATCTGCAAGTTATGTGGATTGAAAGACTAGGAAAAGAATTATGGGTTGACAAATCTACACCTATGAAAGCCTACCTTAACAACAAGTCTGCAATCTCCATATCTCACTATCCTGTTCTCCGTGACAGACTCTAGCATGTGCAAGTTGATATGCACTTCATTAAAGAGAAGATAGAGAATAGAAATATCTGCATATCATGTCCCTACACAGAGTAAGTTGCAGACATTCTCACAAAGGGACTGTCCAAGTAAAACTGATGGCTTAGTCAGCAAGCTGTCTATGGAAGATATTTTCAAGCTAATAGGACTTTGTATATGATTAATTTAGATATTTCTAAATAGTGATAAGATAAATGTAACTTCCTATTTTTAGGGATGTAGATAACTCTATCCCTGATTCACATCCTATCTTTTTCTAAGAGAGGACTTTGTATTCTATTTTTCTTTTTCTTTCAATATATATCCCTGATTTCTGTCTATTTGCAGAAGTAGATAGTAAGTACTTAATATGGAATATATATATACAATGGGGGGAGTAGGAACAAGGATAAATTACTGCTTCCTCTTATGATCTTTTGATAGATGTGAAACTTGTAATAATATATATAACAGTTTTGTATGCTCCTTAGATATGTTAATACTGCAGCCAATATGATTTCCAAAATTTTGACTGAATATTCTGATTGCTGACTATTGATTTCCATGGATTAGGCTCACAAATCCAATTGTAACTCATCAGATTCTTTGGAAGGCTCTCCTAATACAAGCAGGGGTAGGAGAAGTGCCCCAAATTTCTGTTCTGATGGTCACTCAAAGCAGGTAACTATCCACCCCCCACCCCCACCCCCCAACAACAAAAAAGAAAAATTATCCTTTCTACGGTATAAACTAATAAACTCCAGGTTTGTAGAATGTTTACTGTACTGTATAGGTTGAAGGTCTAATGAACATTTGACCTTTTTTTTAAAGTAAAAGATTAGTTGAATAATTCGAGTTGAGTGTTGACTATCCTTCCCTTTTTCGGTGCTAAAAATTTATGGAATCTTGTCTTTTGTCTTGCTGTATGAATTATGTCACGTAATGCATTTAGTCTTTTTTGCTCTTGGAGTTAGAAGTTGGGATGTTAAGTTGCTCAATGCAATGTAGTCCTGTTTGCATGATGTGGATTATTTAGTTAGAGAGAATTAATAGAATATTTCAAGTAATTGAATGATGATATAAAGATAAAGCTCCTGATTCTTTATTTGCATGGAGTTTCACTTTATATTTGGCTTCTTTCCTTGCTTGTCCTAGATTTATTCACCATCTCTTGATATCCTTTTCTTCTTTCTACTCCATCGGGTTTACAAAACAGTGTTTGTGCACCACCCCTGTTAATTTGGACCCCACACCCCACCCCACCAAAAAAAAAGAAGAGAGACTTTTTGAGAGGGGGGGGGGGGGGGGGATAGGGTACGAAGAGTGACAGAAGTGGGGAGAATCGAACATTTAATGTCTGACTCTCAGTCACGTCTGCAAATGAATTGTCTCACTTAGATTCATTCTTGATCTCAACCTAGGTCACTAGTGTGTAATGCAAATACAAGAATGATAGTGAGTTCATATTTGGAAAGGCACAAAATTATAAAAAAATATTAGAGTATAAGTGCGTCTATCTAATTAGAATTATAAGTAGTTTTATAAAAAAATTGAATCATTAATAGTAAAATAATAAATTGGTTAACATATATTTGTTTTTAGTAGACATAAACTCGAAAATTTAGTGGGTGTAACCTAACTATGCTGTTTTTTGTTTTGTAAATTAGGAGCAATCAGTAGAAATAACAGCCCCATTTGTAAATGAAGGGATACGAATAAAATATAATAATAAATTTGTTTAATGAGAGAAAAAAAATTGTCTACTATTTGGGAAACTAATTTCAAATATGTGATACTTCTTTCTGTTTGACTCAAGGTAATGGTTTGGTACTATAAATGTTTTAGTTTTTGTTAGTAGTAAATCCATGTATTAATAAATGTTAATCCACAAACTTAGGTCCTTCGATTTGCAGATTTTCCCTGCCTCTGCTTATGATATGACCGGTATTTTAAATGGCAGATGGTAGCAAGCAAAAAATCTGCCATCAAATTATGGCATATGGCGTTTTGGAAAATGGCAGACACATGGTGGCTATGTTAAAACACTAAAATATACTGCATAATATAAATAATAAAAATTTACTTACATAAAAAATAATAAACATGTTCTAACTTAAACTTCACAAAGTCCAATACAAAAACAATGGAAAGGAGATAAAACACAAAGACATAACAAAACATAACATAATCAATGTCTTATGGCTTTAAAGAACTCAAACTGGTTTCTTATGCATGTTGCTGTCATGTTGATGTCTAGACTCTTATAAATTTATCTTGAACTTGAACGAACAAAGAGTAAAAAACAGGAGCATGTGCTTCTTCTGTTATGGCCTTACTTGCAGGTTAATGGATGCATTAAATTTTTTTAAAAATAAAGAGACATGAAAACAAAGAAAACCTGCTCAGTTTTGCTTAGGAAAACAGAGCATCAATAAAAAACAGGAGCTTGTTCTTCTGTTATGGAAATACCTGAATATCAGAGAGAAGAGGGGACTGGATTGCAATCAAAAGAAACGAAAATAAATGAAAAGAAAAAAAGAGCACAGAGTAAAGAGGCCTTACCTGAATCAAAGAGGAGTATGTTAGAGAAATGCCCGAGATGGAGAAGGAGGCCGGAAACTCACCAGAGATGGAGGGGGGTAACCAAGAGACAGGCCAAACCAAAGATGAGGGATTTTCTAATTTCATATGCCATTTCATTCAAGCAGCTGCCATGATGCTCCAGCGCCATTGGTACGGTGGCCGCCATTACAAAACCGCAACACCAAGGCTTTCGTTTGGCGTTTTCCCCAAAATCTGCCACCACAATTTGCCATGGCGCCAATTTAATAACTCTGGCTGCTAATATGCATGCTGACTATCAGTGGTTTGTGTGTGTCCTAATTCTTAATTGTGCAATATTCTTCATTAAATAGTGCCGCGGGCAAGTCATATTTGACTTTTGCAAGCACGGGCATTTGTGGGAATTCATAGGCATGTGTAACACCCCAAATTCTAACAATTTATAATAGCATAAATAATTTCAATAATTTTTGTAAATAACAGCGGAAGTTCAAAATAATCAAATTTGGAAAGTGTTTCCGCCGCACTTGTACTATGTACAGGTGCAAGGCTAAATTTATTACATTAAAAATAAAACCAAAGACTAAAGTTTAAATAAAGGAAATATGTCTTATGCATTTATTTAAATCTCATAAAATTTCTAAACTTAGAAACTAGCTAGAAATATAATATCCGAGTCGTGATCCTCACTGCCCACAGCTAGCCCCATCCTTTGCAACATGCTTCACTGAAAATCTGCTCCCCCGTGAAGGATCATTGCAGTTAAACAAACACAAAAGTCAGCAAAGCTGGTAATCCAAATCCGATATACAAAAATAAATAAATAAATAAACAAATAAAAAATGTAACTCATAATAATCCAAAATAATAATATAACTCAAAAATTCAAATCAAATATCAACTTGTTATTAATTATATTAATCTTTATTTAATTTAGTCTATTTAGTGGGAAGAGAACCATGGTAGACCCGGGAAACCCTGCCAGTCTACCATGTGACCCGGGAAACCCTGCCAGTCACAAACAAATCACTTTGGCCATAATCAATTCACATCTTCCTAGTGTGCACACCTCTTCCCAAAGTTGTTACTAGTATCCCGGGGAACCCTGCCAGACACCACTTTGGGAAGAACGGATACAATCTTTTTCACATCAGTTTCACATCGGAGGCATAAAGCCCAAAAGTTGTGTTCATCACCTTGGGAGGTACCATCCCAAAGCTATCCTCCCACTATTAATTTTTTTTATACAGACATAACAAAATTTCCCAATTTATTTCAAATATATGTAATATCTATTTTCTCCAGCGAACAATTAATTTCCAATTTACCAAAACATATATATATATATATATATATATATATATATATATATATAGTGCCTCAATTTATAAAGTAAAGCACAGGATTCAAAAGAAACAATCGTAACTAAATACATATAACTGAAAGCATGTATTTGAAATAGGTTGATCACGTAAATCGAGAAAACAACATTGCAAATATATGCATATAAGCAAAAGTGAAGGACATATTAATTTGCAAATTGAAAGAAACCAATCAGGCATCTAATTTAATGGAAAGTGACGCACAAAAATCGAGGAGAGTTTTGTTTTGTGAACAATGTTTACATATATAAAAGCAACGACAATTTGAATTCAATTTAAAGAATTGCACAGAAACCGAAAGAAATTTGCAGCGAGGTGTATACATGCAGTTCCGAGTTCGGCAGAAGCAAATTGAGAAAACATTTAGCAGATAGTAATTATTAACAAAATCGAATTTATAAGGAACGTAATTATATATACAGGTCAACACAATTATTTGGGATTAGGATTACATGCAATATATTTCATATAAGATAGCCCTATGATATATTTAGGATCATAATTATCCTATCAAAATTCATATAAAATTAACCTAAGACTTCTAAGGATTAAGATTACATATACCAAATTTCACATAAAAATATAATCTAAAAATACCTAGGGATTAGGATTACCTGGTCTCCGTTTTCGCTAACTTCTAGAAGAAAAGAGTAATTTGGAGCAGAGAACCGGTTGATAATAAAAAAAAATATAAAGATTGAAAATAATTAAAATAAACTTTTTGGAGTGAGAAGAGAGAGAGAGTAGTAGAGGAGAGTGAATTGGTTTGGTTAGGCTAAGTCTCTATTTATAGTTGAAGTTTAGGGCTTATACATTACTGACTCAATGCTGACTCATCATATCTAAACAATTTATGTTTGTTGAGTCATCATATCTAAACAATTTATGTTTGTTGACTCATCCGAATCCAATCAAACATTACCAATCAAATAATCAAACATTAAAGCATAATGATCAATCAAATAATAACAATTTATCACCCATTATTATTATTACTAATTTATAATTTATTACTATTATTAATTTATTGTATTATAAATTACTATTATTTTTCTGGGATATTACAGCATGTGATAGCAATTGTTTGAATTTATGTTGTTTCAGGTGTTCGCCAGTATTCAATTGAACTTTATTGTAAATAAGATTATTGTAAATGCTAAGGTGCTTCACTGAGTCAGGAACTAAACAGCCAAAAATAGGATAACTGTCTTGGTGTTTCTGTTTATCCACATTATTTATAGGGAAAGGGGCAAACCCTAATGCACAAAGGTTCCCTGATTTTTCGGGGGCAGGTGTGAGGGTCATGTTTGCATTTTTACAAATAGACTATTTCTTAGATTCAAATCGGTGACCTTCCAGTCATAAAGGAGCAACCTTACCGTTGCTCCAAGGCTCGCCTTCAATTATCCACATTATTTATTGTTTTTTATTTGAAATGTCAATTTTCAAAATGTTTTCCCTTTTTCAAGGATTAATTCTGTGTAAATTGTTTATGTAAAAGTTTTAACTGCCTTTTCATCTTGTTTTGTGATTATATAGGCCCTTCAAATATCAAATTCAGAGTCTTCTGATTCTCTGGATAGCTTATTTGATGATAAGGATCCTCCGGAGATTTCCATGGTCAATCAACCAAAAGAGGTACTTGCTTATTCCTCAGGGAACTTTGGTTGGTTTATTACAATATTTAGTCATGGCATCATCATGGTAGGAATGAGTTGAATAGTTGGACTTGAATTTAAATGATTATTTTTGCTCTATTGCATGCTATAATTATTGCTGTAACCATGTGCTACCTGCGGATTTTTCTGATCTAATAATGTCACATGTTTGTGCTTGCTGTAGTTTGTCTCTGTTGGTCTAGTCTTTTTAATGTACAGGTGTACTCCTATGTCATCCAAAATCCGAAATAGATATTTTCTTTCAAATCATTGCTTTTCTGATTTTCTTGCATCTCACTGTCAACCATTAAAACCACACAAATAATTTATTAATGTGACATGGCACAAGTTTGTTGCATATACCACATGCATCATGTAAAGATGTACTCGCCGGTTTGTCAAATATGTTGACAAGTGATGCATTTGCTTTTTCTGTCTAGGGTGATATTGTCTATGCATTATATATTTCACCTTTCCCTGGTTGGCATCGGCATTTAGTCTCTATTGTGCTTGGTAGTTGGTAGTAAAATTTGCTTTCTAGTTTCATCAGGCCCCTTAATATAGCATATGTTTTGTCTAATTCAGTTTGATTCTTGTTTGACATAATCTCCCTTACAGGAGCCTGATGAACTTGATGAAGTTATTGAGGATAGAAGGGGTTCTTTGCTAATGATGAATTTCTCTGCAGAGGAAGTAGAATTTGCCATGCATAGGCTTGGTATGTGGATGTATTTACCTGGACTGCTGCTTTGTATGATACAATATATACTTTTCAATCTATATGGGTCCATAGTTGTTTTCTTATCAGCTTTTCTTGTCTTAACTGTCCTGGAAAGTAGAAACATATGTTGTACAGGCCTTTTTAACTAGCCAAGAAAGTGGTGCATCAATAAGGATTTCTTGATTCCTTGTTTCATTTCAGGTGATGAAGCGTCAGTTCCTGAGCTGGTGGACTTTATCTTTGCTGCCCAGATTGCTAAAAAATTTAAAAAGGAAACGGATGATATCACCTGTGATGATAGAGGAAATGAGGTTTTGTTATTTGACCCATTTAATGAAAATTTTCAAAAGATAATTACTATATCCTGCCGGTCAAATTTTTAAGTTAACCATTAACTCTATTATTTGTTAGACAAAATAATATGGACCATGTTTCTACATGTTGTCTACTCGCTTTTCTTAAGACTTAGATGTGATTTAATGGTGTATAGTTTACCTCGAGGAAAGTATATATTCTTTTGTGAAATCTGTCTATTTTGGCAGTTAATTTCTTTTCACATGCCTTTTCTTGTCATGTGTACTACGGGCTGTTATAATTTGATATGAATAGAAGCTTGATTCATTTGGAGTATAGATTATTTGGGATTTCCAGAGAATTTTAGGCGGCCTCAGAATTTGGATAGTTTACTTGGATTAGTTTTGAAGGCTTTTTTGACAGGAGTAAGGAGGTCAAAGTTTTGCAGCATTGTGTTTTGTATGTTGTGGTTTGGTATATTTTCTAGAAGCAGAATGCTTATGAAATAAATGTGCAGTCTTTTACTTAGATTTATTATGGGTTAGGTTATCTTCATGGCTTCTCGTGTTCAGCTCTAGACTTTTCTCTAGGTATTTCTTTGGCAGATATACTAAAAGCTAGGAGAGATTTATTATATATTTGTATTTATGAGGTTTTTATTTTATTTTTAGATTTAATTGAGCTTTGTTTCTGGTCTTTGTTCAGAGATAGAGTTAGAGAATACAGGGAAACTGAGGAAAGTGAGCGAAATCTGAATAAAATGAGAGAGAGCTAGCTAACTAAAACCTGAAGCTAAACTTTAATTATTGTCAAAATGTATTATCTGAAAAGAAATCTGAGTATGATATATAGGTAGGGCTATCTCTCTGACATCGCCTTTACTGTCAACAGAATAACTAACTGAAATTGGCAATTGTGAGTAGAAACAGAATCTAATAGAAACTGCACATAGTTACACGTCCATAACAGATAGAAGATTAAATACTCTAATATTCCCTGCTTAAGATAAGGATGGTCAGGTTGATTGTCGTAAGGCTCATCAACCAGCAAGTTCAGCCAAAGCTAAGCAGCTTCCATGCCATGAACCATCACCCTTGCCAGGTGAAAACTGCTCTAAAACAGATGATAAAACCTCCTCAGAAAGGGAAAATGTCAAATGCAAAGGCAAAAATATTTGTTCTTTTAAAGGACAGTCATTTTAATTAAAACTACTATTTTTAATTTAATATTCAAGTTAAAAAAAAAATCTCTCACTTTCTCCCACTATAAATTCTGTTTCTCTCATTATAAAACACAGTAGTTTTGAATAAAATGACATAATCTTATGTCCTTTAATAGGACAAACATTAATTCGAATGCGAAATTATGCACCCAATACTTGACGGATAACAGTATCATGCTTTGCGTGTTGCCTTGATGGCATGGACCCATTAACCCTCCTTCATGAAGCACATTGTTGAGATCATTTAGGGCATGACTCATTAGGTAAAATTTGAGACCCACTCCTTGCTGCATTCCGATGCCTCCTCTCCTTCTCTCAAACTTCCATCGTCAACTACCGTTCCTGTGCATACCCTCGGTTGCTCAGTTTGGAGTGATTGATGATGGTCCGCCACATTCGGGCTCGATTACGATGCCTTCAGTGGAGGTGGGGCTGCTGGTGAACAACACATAACTCGCGCCCCCGGGCTGCTGTCTTGAACTTCTCCTCCATCTGCTCCACCGAGCTACCAATCCAAACTATGCCTGACTTCAGCTATAGAGGCTCGGCCAGCAGTGTTGCATCTGCCTTCTTCTTCTGCACTATCTTCTCCACTGCATTTCGGCCTCAAGCATCTGTACTATTATGCCATGCTTCGTTCCCATCTCGTGTCATGCTTTGGATATGAACCACAATAACCAATCACAAACACTGCCCTCAGCAGAACTAACCACTGCCTAGGTTATATTCCTGCGGGAATATACTTTCCCAACTGTAGGTTGCCCCCCAGTTTTCTAATACCGGTCGTAACATATTTGACATGGTATCTCTTGATATTTGAAAAATTTATGTATTTTGTTATGTCTTTATGTAGAATATTCTAGAATATTATTAGTTTTTTTTTTTTTTATTAGCTACTAGCTGTTAGTTTCTTTGATTATGTTGAAGTCTCTTTGTTTACTGTGTTCTCTTTATTCCTCTTGATTACTCTTTATTTCTCTTTATTTCTGTAACCCTTGAACTACCTGTTATATTCTGTATATAAGGAACCCTTTGGGTCTTAATCAATATATGAGAAAATATTTAGAATTACTATTTCATCACTTTATTATGCCTCTAATTTTTGAACCTGTGGGATCGCAGACTAACAATGAAAAACTATATGAAATTATGGCAAAAACACTTCAGTTGCTTCAAATGGGCTTCTCTGAGGATGAAGTATCATCAGCATTTGATAAATTAGGTGAGTAATTGTGATAGATGATCTTTTGTAAACTGAGCAGCTGCGAGATTAGGTTTGCAGTCTTGCCTTTGTAACGTATTTATCTTTAAAGAGTTATGAGATGACAATATTGGAATAGAACTTATTTCATTGCCTTGGATAAATTTGGAAAATGCTATGTATTCCTTACCAACATTCTCTTATGTTCAGCTCTGCAACTTTGCTGAGCAGTTAACTTACACTTTCACGACATCTTTTGCTTACTAATTGGCTGTTTTTCAGGTCCAGAGGTTCCAATTTCAGAGTTTACAAACTTTATTTTTGCAGAACAAAATGGGATCGAATATGTCATGGAATATAAGGTTAGATTTTGTTATACTTGTCATATTTCAATGATATATTCTTATCATTATTTGTAATTTAACTTGTGTTTAGTCCTTTATAATTGTAATACTTGATTTTACAATAATGAGCATTGCTCCATACAATTTTATTTTCATGACCTTTTTTTCCTTTTTTAATTTACACTTTATGCACATAAATAAAGTTGTGCCAGGTGACAAGTATATGCATTGTCATTGTCTACGTTAAAATGAGCCTCACTGGGAGTGTATGTAGGAGCTTAAAAAACTATAGCAAAATATTTAAAGTAAAATTAGCTTACTGGCGAAGCAAAAGGTGCAGTGAAACTTGAAGGAAAGGAAACTGAAAAAAAACTATAGAGAAGCATTGCTCATATTTTCTATATTGCATGGCCAAAAACAAACATTTTCCATACTCCCGCCCTTTTACAAGCAGTCAACTACATGGATCAGGAGGAATGCGCCTGGCTACTTCACACAGACTAGTGCCTACTGCCTAGTTTCGGACCCCAGCACCTAAATTATCCTTGTTGGTAAAAATAAAAATAGCAAACCCCACAACAGCTGAGAAATAGGTTAATGAAGGAATTGGTTGGTAAATTCTCTGCTGCGTTTAGACATGCTACATCAACTTACTGGTACCACCATCCATTGATATTCAATTAAAGGCTGTATTTTGACCTATTGTGAATTGCCTTTTTATGTCTAATCTAACTCAAATGACAGTAACAGGAAAATACCAAGAGTAATAGTTTAATCTTGTTAATGTCCTAATGCATATTATATTATTTTCGTTAAATGTTTAATCTCCAGTTATCATTTGTTGATAATTAGTGGTATGGAAGAATGTGCTATGATTAGTTAATTATTAAAAAACCCATATGATCTCTTTGTTTTGCTGATTAGTATGTATTTTACTTTGACAGAAGTTGTCAGCATTATGTTATTGGTTGTTGTTTGGACTTAATAATATGATAGGCATAAAAAGTAATTACTAAATTAATTTAAAATAATATTGTCATGAACCAACTCTCCCTAAAGTTTAAGCTATTAGACAAAGATACATGAATGGTTTTATATTACATTTCTAACACACCCTTTCACACAAAACTCTTTGAACTTGATTGAAGCATGGACAATGCACAAGTACATCTATCTTATGCTGAAATTTAACTTTTCATTAGAAGAGTAGAGAAGGTAATGATTGAATTCTAAATTACTTGATCATAGAGACTGTGATACTATATTATGCAATTAATTCTTCCAAAAGTTTAAGTTATTAGGTGAAGATATGTGAATGATTTTATATTATATCTTTAACAACTAATATCCAAAATTTTCCAAAATTCATGAAAAGTATTATCAGGTTCTAACTAGAATACAGATATTAAAAGTTTACATTTATATTATATTATTATTTAAATCTTGTATGAAGTGCATGAAATCAACAGCAGTGCTAGAAACTATTAAAGACATATTTTGTCAATTTTAGACTAAAATGTACTGTCCCCAGTGTTATTCTTTAGTAATAATAACCATTCAGGTATTAACTGAATGATGAAATTTCTTGCTTGTTCAGTATCCCGTTGCTCCTACCTATTCTATGGAGATCAAAGATGAACTACAAGGGGAGTTATATGGTACAGCAGAAGTGAAAGTGGAGAATTTCAGCCATGAACCTTCACAATCAAGGCAGGTCAACTTAGAGGAAACTTATGGTGGTCAAAGGGTGAAGGAAGAAGAGTATATTGATGAATTTCCCAACGCTGTTTCTGACATGAGATATTCCGATTTTGTGGAGAATGATAGAGGTAAAAGGCCCAAGTATGAATATAATGATGATTCAAACTTTTGTCTTGATTCTTATTGGGTAGAAGAAAAGGTTGATACGTCGAAACTTTACAAATCAAATCCATCCAGGTGTCTTAGCAGAATGGCAGCAAAGCCTCCATTTTTCTTATATGGAAATGTTTCAAACATATCAGACGACTCTTGGGCAAAAATGTCTCAGTTTTTATATGGTATTGAACCTGAATTTGTGAGTACACAGGTCTTTTCAGCCTTAAATAGAATAGAAGGTTATGTACACAATCTTCCAGTTGAAAACAGGTTCCACATCCTTCCAAAGCCACCCATGACTATAGAAGATGCAATACCACAGACAAAGAAATGGTGGCCACCTTGGGATTCTAGGAAGCAGTTGAGCTCCATCTCTTGTGAAACTAATGGAATAGCTCAACTTTGTGATAGGCTAGGAAGCATTCTAGCTGATTCTGGTGGAGTGGTCACATCTCAACAGAAGAACGACATTCTTCGTTATTGTCGTGGATTGAATCTTTTGTGGATTGGTAAATACAAACTGGGTCCTATGGAGCCTGAACACTTGGAGCTTATCTTAGGCTACCCTTTGAATCACACACGTGCTTCAGAGAACAATTTGACAGAAAGACTTAAATCACTTAAATGCTGCTTCCAGACAGATACATTGGGATATCATCTTTCTGTGTTGAAGCCCATTTTCCCTAGTGGATTGACACTGTTATCACTTTTTAGTGGAATTGGTGGGGCAGAAATTGCACTACACCGCCTTGACATTAAAATAAAAGCTGTTGTCTCAGTTGAGACTTGTGAGACAAAGAGGAAGATTCTTGAGAGGTGGTGGCGTAATTCCGGACAAAATGGGACTTTGGTTCAGATTGAAGACATTCAAAGGTTGACTAGCAAAAAGCTTGGGAATCTAATCAGTAAATTTGGTGGTTTTGACCTTGTCATTTATCAGAACCCAAACACTCAGTCAAGTTCCTCAGCTTTTGATTTTACATCTTTTTGTGAATCTGTACGTGTTTTGCAACGTGTAAGAGGTCTGGGTGAAAAGAAGTGAGTCAACTGACTCTTGTTGTAATATTTCATTTTTGACTAAAGGCAATCGCTGCAAAATGTGACTTCATGTAAAATTTTCAGTGCAGGGAATATGTAAAAAAATGTGACTTCATTTTGACTGATTATTTTTTCTCTATCCTATCCTGTTTTTTGTCTTAGCAACTCTTCATGGACAAATATCTAAACAAATTGTCATTGTTCAAATCCAAATGAGGTCTAAAAACAAACAATTATGCGATTCCCTTAGTTGTCATGTCAATGAATACGTTTGGCCGGCATAGGGAATTGACACGAATTGCAAAGGACAAAGTCTCAACAAACAGTCCAAAGATTGAACCCGTCTCCTCAAAAAAAAAAAAAAAAAAAATCATCTAATGGAGACGGACACAAGATTCTAGAGTAGTGAATAGTGAATACCTCCTTTGTTTTAAAATATTGGCATGTATATTATTATTTATTTATTTGGGTAGGGGCATATAAGCTATATTGATTAATTTATGAGTAATTTTTATCCAAAAAATCATATTCATTAATCTTTTCTTGGAACTAAATATTCGTATTCATTGTTGAATCCTAAAATAGATGCTAACTTTGTTTTAAATATGATGTGAACATTAAAAAGTGATTTTTTTTTTTTTTTTTTTAAATTTAGAATGATGAATGCTTTTGTTGTCTAACTAAATCAAAAGCAGATTTTTTTTTTTTAAAATGTACTAAAAAAAGAAAAAAAGAAAAAAGAAAAGTAAAAAACAAATTTTAGTGAAAGTTAAAGGGACCGCAAAGCCGGGGTGTCAGTACAAGGTTCTAACATGGCATGTCCCCACTCAATTAACTTCAAGTGACCGGGACCTATATAGCTTACGCTTACAAACCAACACTTCTTCTCACTTAATCTTAATTCCATTCCTTTCCCTTCACTCGTCCTTCTCATTTTAAACGTCATTTCTTCATTCCATTCCAACCGTCCGCATCTCAGGGACACCGCTTTCAAGATCGAACCCTAATTTTCCTTCTACTTTCCCCACCGCAGATTTCATCATGAATTTTTTTCAATTTGCGTGTTGAGTTGATCGGACGCTGTTAGGTCTGATCCTTCACCATGTTCGAAGCTCACGTAAGAATCCTCCGATAATTTTCATCGTCTTTGAATTTAAATTTGCTGTGTATGAGTGCGTGTTTGCTTGCGATGTTTCTTTTTCACTCTTCTTTCTTTTTGCGCTGAGAATCTTGGAATTGAATTTGAAATTTCCTGTGTGTCTGTGCTCCGGTTTGCGTGATTTGCGGTGTTTCCTGAACAATGTGTTTGGATTATTTTTGCAAATGGATAGTGCTGACAACTATGTTAAGTAAAGCTAGTTTGGAGACTATGCTTCTCTGTGCCGCAAAGCACAGTTGTTGCATTTCTAAGTCTTGCCATTATTTGATGCCTTTAAATTATGATATGGTCTTGGTGAATCTTGTGGACGGAGGAGCTAGTAATGTTGCTTTGTTGACAGGTACTGCATTTGCTTCGAAAATATTTGGGCGAATATGTACATGGACTGTCTTCCGAGGCGTTGAGAATCAGTGTCTGGAAGGGTTTGTATTCTGCTATTCTTAATCCAAGCATAAATTTAATATGCTTAGTATTGTTTCTTTATGGCTGTTTCTTCATATGCATATATTTTATACTCTTTGTGGGTGAGTCCCTCCTCCTTCTCCGTTTTTTTTAATTATAACTTCTTTCATTTCTAGTGATTGACACCTACTTACCAATTGCCTCAAATGCCTTTATAATTCCTTAAGTTGAAATTAAACTAAGGACTAATATATATTCTCTGAAAACTCTTGCTTTTTTTCAAAGTCCTTAAGCCTGGAAAAACTTCTTGCCTTGTGAGGTAAATTGGCAGTTATAGATCTGTTGACTGGGTAACAGTGGATTTGTCATAGTTTGGAATTCTTTCTTTTTTCCCTCTTTAGAGGTTTTGTTAGTAGAAAGGAGAGTAAGATATGCTGGAATTCTTGGACTGCTTATGGTACATTTGGTTGGAGCATAACTCTAAAGTCTTTAGATAGATTTTGGTCGTCCACATTTCTCGTGAGATGGGCTTGTTTTTCTAAGCATTTTTGTAGCTTTGAGGTCATTGTTTTTTTTAAGGTTTACTCCTTTGATATAGAAAGGGATTGGCTTGCTCTTTGAGGTAATTTGTTGTTTTTCCTTATTCATTTTTCTGTTGATGATCTCTTCTCTGATTTATGAGGATTCCCGATCCTTATGAATTTTATTTATTTTCTCTCTGAATAAATTCTTCTTTTCTGAAAAAAAAACTTGCATAACTTGCTGTTCAGATAATTATCCCCCCATTGCATTTTTTGTCACACTTTTGATGCACATTTGTTACAACTTATTTTCAACGGCCCAGAAAATTAAATTGCTAACTTTGTAATTTTTTTCTTCAATTACGTTAAGGTTACCTGTGTTGTGTACATCAAATTATGTAATTACGGGTTGCTCTATTGCTAAATGAAACATTTGTATTTAGCTATGAATCAATCTTTATCTTCTTGCTGGTTATATCACTGTTGGAAACTAATACGCTGTCATACTAGCTGTAAAACACCAGCATTTCAAAACAGTTGTTGTATTAGTCTCAGGCACGTTTTGGATATTGAGAGTGATACAATGAATGCTGAAGCACCAATATTCTTGGGAACAAAAACTTTCTGCTTAAGTTTCTTATTTTCTTTCTTAATTTGGTGATTAAGCATGTACCGGTTGTATTCTAGATGTAGTTTTATGTACTTGTTTATGTTATACCTATACATTTTAATATTTTTGTGTAGAACCACATTTAGTCCTGCGCCAATGAATATCTTTTTATTGGATGAAATTGTTCACAAAATGCATTGTTGGGTAGAAACATTGTGTCATGTTATAATGCTTGTAAAATTTCACATTACTCCAAAAAGGTTTTGTACTCCATAGAGAGATTTCTTGTTCATTTTTATTCCAACCTCAGACTTGATCTCTGCAGGTGATGTTGTACTCAAGGATTTGAAACTGAAGGCTGAGGCACTTAATGCACTAAAACTCCCTGTTACTGTCAAAGCTGGCTTTGTTGGTACCATTACATTGAAGGTAGCATTTACCATAATTGATTGTCCACTGCCAATTTTTGGGTCATTACTAAACATACAGCATACAGGCATGCATGTAATATTTTGTAATTTCAATGCATTTTGTTATATTATTTTTGTTGATGCTTTCTGGCTTGCAACATTTTTTTTTTGTTGCTTTTACCTTTTCTCCTCCTTTGGAATCATACGATGTGCTTTCAAATGGGCTGTTTGTTTGAATTTTTTCCTCTCTGTAATGTAATATAGGTTCCGTGGAAAAGTTTGGGGAAAGAACCTGTGATTGTTCTGATCGATCGTGTGTTTGTTCTCGCTCATCCTGCTGCTGATAGTCGGACTATAAAGGTACAACAGTATATTTATTTGGTTTAATTAATACATGCTTGTGTCTTTTGGCAAATTGATCTTGTTTTGTTACAGGAGGAGGATAGGGAAGAACTTTTCCAAGCCAAGCTCCAGCAGATTGAGGTCAGATTCCATGCAAATTTTGCGGAAATTTCTCATTTATTTATTTTAAGGTGTATTCATGTTTGTTATTGCTGAGTCGACTGTGTTATTTATAATAATTGTTTTCCTCTAATAAAAGCGTGTAAAATTATTTATCATCACATTTATCATCAGACCAATTTTTCCTTGTATTATTCTCATGCAATTTTCTTGTGTTTAAAAAATGTCTTCCTTCAATTTATACTGTTGAGTAAATAATACTGACCTCTTTCAGGTTTATGAAACCTCTGGTAACACAACACCCGTTTTAGTTTTCTAAATTACGATGTAAATTTGGGAATTCACGCCCAATGTCCAGAAGATGAGAATATTTATAAATATTAAATACCAAATAATATAAATATTACTACTGTCATAGTCTTTGGCTGTAATTATCCCTTTAAATTTTCTTCAAACATGTAACTGTCCTGTTTGAGGGTTTTCCCCCCTCCCTGAACATATATTCCCCTTTGTGAATTTCTTTTCAGACACATTTACCCCTTGAAAAATATCAACTACACGAGAGATAGCTGTCTAATATGGAATTGGAGGCGTAAAGGATTTGACGCATTTTCTCTCCGTGTGTGAGAAAATGAGAGAAAGTGCAAGAAAATGATAGAGTAGAGAGAGATCAGAGAGGATTCTCGTTGAATCTGTATGTTTTCATGGTTAAATAACTCTGTCAAGAACTTGATTATTTAGAGTCAGGTGGAGACAACTGTCTCAACTAAACTTTTTAACAAATAGAATAAGGCCCAATTGATTCTGTTATTAGAAACAAAATCTAACATCAACTAAAAAGGCCAACTAACTCTGTTATTAGAAACAGAGTCAAGCTACAATTGACAATTTAATACACGTTGAGTATATATCTCTAACATGCATGGAATAACATGGTTATGTTTTTATCTCAGATACTGGTTATGCAGTTTAACAATATATTTTGTTTGAGAGGAATGCCCATGTTTTGAAGGGTATCTCTGTGACCTTACATCATGTAATGGGATAAAACTATGTTTTTGGTTTCTCTTGATGCTCTGCTTGTAGTTTTTACAAGGGAACTTTGATTATTGATATCCAAAAAGATTGGACTACTTTCTAACTATAAAGAACCGTTTTAACCCAAAAGATTAAGTGGTTAAGTGAATGCTACTTTAATGTTTTTATATTAGACTTCTCTAACACATCCCCTTACACAAGAGTCTATTGGGCTTGAAGGGTGGATAATGCACCAGTCGGACTAGCTGTGCTAAGAAATTCCATAGTTAAATATTTATTTGAAGAATGAGGGCGGTGGAGAACCGAACACCTTTAAGCTCAAGCTATTAAGTGAATGTCATTTTAATGGTTTTGTATTAGACTTCTCTAACACATCCCCTCTCAAAAATGCCTATTGGACTTGAAGTGTGACTAATGCACATACCCACTTATCTGTACTAAGAAATTCCACAGTTACATATTTATTAGAATGTGTGATGGTGACGATCGAACTCGTGATCACTTGGCAATGGAGGCTCTAATACCACTGTTGGGTGACGGGGGGAGCCTATGGTAGGGCATCATCAAATGGGCTAAGTGACAATCCACCACAATAAGTGAATTCTGTTGGGTAAGAGAGGGAGCCCATGGTAAAGGAGACCTACCATCAAATGGGCTAAGCGGCAATCTATCAAAATAAGTGGATTTTGTTGGGTAACAGGGAGAGCCCATGGTAAAGGAGAACTACCATCAAATGGGTTAAGTGGCAATCCGATACAGTAAGTGCGCTTGACATCGCATTTCAATCCAAAATCTTGAGGCATTAAGTTAATGAGTCTTTCCACTTATATGATCTTCTCTTAGTTCATTTCTAACCAATGTGAGACTTTACTATTCATACTTGGATTCTCAACATTCTCCCTCTAGTGTGAGTCCGAAGCCCACATTTGCTCCCCAAGTATTCATGGGGGTTACATTAGGGCTTGACTAATATGGCATGGGTTTACATCAAGTCCTTGGCTAACATGGCATGGGTTTACATCAAGTCCTTGGCTAACGTGGCATGGGTTTACATCAAGGCTTGGCTACTCTCATCAAGTCCTTGGCTCCACATCATGGGTTTGGCTGACTTATTAAAACCGAACACTAACTATCGTATCCAAATACTCGGTTCACACAAGCCATTAACCATTGACTCTGAGACCATTTAAAGAACCATTTTAATCTAAAAGTTTAGGCTGTTAAATGAAGAACATTTTAATGATTTTATATTAGACTCTTCTAACACTAACATTTTTGGGCCACTCAAGCCCCTTTATTACCCTAACTAGATGGATTAATCATATTGTGCCCGATGTTCTTTTCCTTCTTTCTTTCTAATAATATTTTCTGTTAAGAAAAAAAAAAGACACTTAGGGAGGGTATTTACTAGGTTTTATAAACCTTGGGGGAGGATAGTGTAATTCACAGTGTTATGCTATATATTTCTTTCATTAACCCATTCCCTTGAAAAGGGGAGATTCAAAAGAAGGAAAAATGTAGTAATTAACTAGAGGTGAAGAACAGTAGAACTTCGTTTGTTCTGTTGTCTATCCCCTCTCCAAACAAGTATTTGACATTAATTATTGTCTGGTACCCTGCAGAATTTGGTGGCTTTTCTTTTTTGATACATTTCTCCCATGTTTTTGGGTCCCTGCTTCTTTGTAATTTGTCTCAGAGGATGTCTTTTCCTCTCTTCGTTTTGTCATGATAAATTATTATTTTTTATAATAAATATAAGAAGTAACACATTACTTTCACATTAGCCTAGCCTATCCTGCACTTGACTACTGACTTATGTTTGATACTCTGATATTGGATGGACTAGGTCAACTACTGACTTATGAAGAAAAGAAGAAGTGGAAGAAGTGTTTTATCTGAATAATACTTTCTTGATTCATTGAGAGACCCAATGGGTCCTTTTTATATTGAGTACATCCAACTACCTCAACTACTTTAATAGATATACAACCACCAACTACATCTACAAATATACAACTACCAACTAAATATACAACTACCAACTACATCAATAAATACTATCTAGAATATTCTACATATTCTACACTCCCCCTCAAGTTGGGAGATATATATTGATCATTCCCAACTTGCTGATCAAATTCTCAAAGGTCGGCTTAAGTAATCCTTTGGTGAGGATATCCGCCGTCTGTTCCTTGGTAGGTATATATGTCAAGCATACACTACCGTCTTCTAATTTCTCTTTGATAAAGTGACGATCAACTTCCACATGTTTTGTTCTATCATGATGAACATGATTTTGAGCAATGCTGACAGCAGCCTTATTATCACAATATAATCTGATAGGTAAGGAATAAGAGATCTTCAGCTCCTCCAGAAGCCTTCGTAACCAAATTCCTTCACAAATACCATGGGCTAGAGCCCGAAATTCCGCTTCTGCACTGCTTCTTGCAACAACAGTTTGTTTCTTACTTCTCCAGGTCACAAGGTTTCCCCAGACATAAGTACAATATCCTGAAGTAGATATTCGGTCCATTGCAGAGCCATCCCAGTCTGCATCTGTATAGATTTCAATCATCCTTTTGTGCCCCTTTTTAAAGAAAATTCCTCGACCAGGGGTATTTTTGAGGTATTTGAGAATTCTATAAACAACACTAAGATGTTTTTCCTTAGGAGAATGCATGAATTGGCTAACCATGCTCACAACAAAAGCAATATCAGGACGAGTATGAGACAAATAGATTAATTTTCCCACTAGTCTCTGGTACTGCTCCCTATCAACATCTTCCCAGTCCTCAACTCCCATCTTGATATTAGCTTCAATTGGAGTCTCTGTCGGCTTGCACCCAAGTATACCTGTTTCTTGCAACAGGTCTAGAATGTATTTTTTCTGAGTTAAAGAAATTCCTTCCTTACTCCGAGCAATTTCCATGCCAAGGAAATATTTGAGAGATCCAAGATCTTTTAGTTCAAACTGGTCAGCTAAACATTTTTTTAAAGAGGTTATCTCCTCGCTATCATTACCAGTGACAATTATGTCATCAACATAAACGATCAGAATAGCAATTCTTCCTTTGTCGGAGTGTTTAAAAAATAAAGTGTGATCAGTCTGAGCTTGGGTAAACCCTCTTCCCTTAACAGCTTGAGTTAATTTCCCAAACCATTCTCTGGGAGATTGTTTAAGTCCATAGAGAGACTTCTGCAACTTGCACACAGAAGCATCCCCTTTTTCAAAACCAGGAGGTGGATCCATGTAAACTTCCTCATGGAGATCGCCATTCAAGAAGGCATTCTTAACATCTAACTGTTGCAATGGCCAATCAAGGTTGGCGGCAAGAGATAGCAGAACGCGGATAGTGTTAAGTTTGGCAACAGGAGCAAATGTCTCCTGATAATTTATCCCATGAGTCTGAGTAAATCCCTTAGCAACTAATCTGGCCTTATACCTATTGATGCTATTGTCTGCATTGAATTTTATTGTGAATACCCACTTGCAACCAACAGTTTTCTTTCCTTTAGGTAATGTCACAAACTCCCATGTTCCATTTTTTGTAAGTGCATCCATTTCTTCTAATACTGCATTCCTCCATTTTGGGTCATCAAGTGCTTCTTGTATATTTTTGGGTATCCTGGTACTATCTAACATAGTGTTGAAAGCACGAAAACCTGGAGACAACTCTTCATATGAGATATAATGGGAAATAGGATGAGCAGTGCAAGATCTAGTACCTTTCCGAAGAGCAATAGGCATATCAACGTTGGTTGTACTAGTACATTCAAGTGGGTTGCTGGAACAAGGACTCGAGTCAGGATCCTGGCAGTCTAGAGTATCTTCATGTGTTTTGCGCCTGCTGTAAAATTTTTCCCATTTACCAGGAGGATCATTAGATTCAGGTATAGTTGCTCCCCCTGTTTCCTTCCCAATAACTCCACTTGTTTCCAAAGGCCAAGATAAGACAACAACATCATTTGGTTTCCCAGGCTTATCTTCATCCATACCAATACCTATAGACTCCCCCTGAAGAGAAGTCGGGGAAAAAAAGGATTGTGTCTCATAAAAGGTAACATCCATGGAAACAAAAACCTTACGGAGAGAAGGTGAGTAACACTTATAACCTTTTTGATTAGGGGAATATCCTATGAAGACACATCTGATGGATTTAGGGTCAAGTTTGGACCTTTGATGTGGAGGAATATGCACAAAAACCACACAGCCAAATATTTTGGGAGGAAGAGAAGAAAGAGCACTGAAAGAGGGAAAAGATTTAGTAAGACAGGATAAAGGAGAATGAAAATTTAGTACCCGAGAAGGCATCCGATTAATGAGATAACAGGCTGTCAAGACGGCTCCCCCCCACAGATATTTAGGGACATGCATCGTGAATAAAAGAGCTCGAGCAACTTCAATTAGATGTCTATTTTTCCTTTCAGCCACCCCATTTTGTTGAGGGGTGTTAGGACAAGAACTTTGATGAATAATTCCATGCTGGTTTAGGTAATCTCCAAGAACTGAATTAAAATATTCAGTACCATTGTCTGTTCGCAGAATTTTGATAGAAGTCTGAAATTGAGTTTGAATCATAGCATGAAAGTTTTTAAAAGTGGATGCTGCCTCAGACTTATCTTTTAAGAGATATACCCAACATACCCTAGAATGATCATCAATGAAAGTAATAAACCAACGAGCACCCGAGACATTTTTTTCACGAGCAGGTCCCCAAATATCACTATGAATCAATGTAAAGGGAGAAGATTCATGATATTTCTTAGGAGAATAAGTGACACGAGAGTGTTTTGTAAGCTGACAAATATCACAAAGAAGGGAACTTGGCTTTTTATTGATAAATAAGTTCGGCAATAACTTCTGGAGATAAACAAAATTTGGGTGTCCCAACCTACGATGCCATAACAAAACATCATTACAGTCATCTGATAAACATAGAGAGTGGTTCGAAAAAATCCTCTTTTCACAATGAACATCTGTAAAATAGTATAGCCCTTCTTCCTCTCTAGCACTGCCAATCATCATCCCCGAGTCCTGTTCTTGAAAGATACAAGCGGCATTTGCAGAGAACTTAGCAACACAATGCAACTCAGCAGTAAGTTTGCTAATAGAGATGAGATTACAAGTAAGAGAGGGAACATGAAGTACTGAGTTCAAAATAATATGCTCAGAAAGTTTAATGGATCCCTTTCCCGCAATAGTGGAGAAATTCCCATTAGCTGTTCTTATTCGTGACGGGTGATAGTAAGGGGTATAGGAGAAAAATAAGGTTGCATTACCTGTCATGTGATCAGAGGCCCCTGAATCAAGGATCCAACGATTACTACGTTCAACATGGAAGGCCATACCTTTTTGAGCAACATGACTAGTTGCCTCAGCAGGTTGAGACATCAATTTCTGAAAAGACGAATTTTCAAAATTTTCAACGTCCATGGTTTTCTAACAACAGGTATCCAGAAAAAAGTTCCTCCAAATACAATGAGAGCAATCTTGGCTACAGTGAAACAGTAATTGCTACAGTAATGAACAGTACTGCTACAGTAATGAACAGTACTGCTACGGGTCTTCTGTGGGCTGGCTCAAAATCTTGTTCTGAACCTAATGGTGGCCTTGGTTTCGTGGTTGGAGGTGTCTAGGTAAGGATTCTGGCTTGGGCAGTGGCTAAAACGAAAAAAAAGGAATAGGAAAATGACTTAAAATTAAATCAGATCGGGGAAGAGACTGGAATATAACCAGCTCTTGATACCATGAAGAAAAGAAGAAGTGGAAGAAGTGTTTTATCTGAATAATACTTTCTTGATTCATTGAGAGACCCAATGGGTCCTTTTTATATTGAGTACATCTAACTACCTCAACTACTTTAATAAATATACAACCACCAACTACATCAACAAATATACAACTACCAACTAAATATACAACTACCAACTACATCAATAAATACTATCTAGAATATTCTACAGTTTGATACTCTGATATTGGATGGACTAGGTCTAGCTCTATAATTCTGTTTTGTAAATAGTTGTTTAGTTGAAACTGACTCTCTGATGAGTCATCAGTCCTTTGCTCTATAAATAGAGCAGCTACTGTATCAGTTTAGTATCTTTTCAATAATACAAGAATAGTTCAGATTGAGGGTCCACGTGCCTACAAATAGAGTCTCTACGCGTGTGTGGAAGAAAGGCTGGCGGCCAGCTGTTGCTGGCTTGTGCAGGCACGCATGGAGGAGTTTGGCGACACAATTTTGGATGACGACGTAGATCGGGCGGAGGCATGTGTTCCAGTTGGAAATCTTGCCGGAAAAGTTTTCGGCGATGGTGGCAACGATGACAGCGATGCTGGTCGGATCTCGGATGTGCAGCCAAAAAGGGGACTGCCGAAAGGATGCACGACAAGGAAGATATGTTGTTGGTGCCAATATGAAGCGCGACAGAAAGGGTGGGTGGCCACTGCACAGTGGGCATAACGTAATCAGGGTTTTCGCGAAAGTAGGATTTCCCAGAATGTAGAGCTCTCGTACCAACTTGAAGTTGAAGAAATGTGTCTCAGCTCTCAAGTATGACCACACAAGGGCTATATTTATAATAATAAGATATATGGGCTTGGGCCCTATTTACATGATGTGGAACAATCTAACACAACTTAATATATACATTCTGACAACTGTGATATTTGATGTACGAGGTTTAGCTCTATAATTCTGCTTTGTAAAGAGTTGTTTTGTTGTTAATAACTTAACTGTGATATTGGATGACTCTTTTTCTTTCACTTTCTTGAATAAAAAGGGTAGAAGTTGGAATTAGTTTTCAACATTGTGATTGAACTTGTTGAGATTATAGGGATTTAGGTAGGAAGGAAGAAAAGAGAAAATAAAGACTGAATAAACGTAATTAAATAAGAAAACAAACCATGAAATATATGGATATATGGAAACTAAACCTAAGAGGTAATCTAAGATACTCTAAGATACAATCAAGATATTATTGAGATGTTTTTCTTATATTCTATCTGAACTAAACCATTTTGTTTATGTATAGCAGAAATTGTTTAAGAGCTCTGTTAAATTTCCTTTTTGATCTCTAGTCCCTTTTTTTTTTGTCTTCATGCAGGAAGCAGAGTCAGCTACACTTGATGCAATATCTAAGTCTAAGCCAGGAAGTGTATGTGACCTCAATAGAATCTGGCTATTGCTTTTAAGTTCATTTGGTTCTTTGTTTTAATTGCTCATTTCGTGTGTGTATGTGCGTGCACGTGTGTGCAGTTGAAATATGTTCACGAACCCCCCATCACTAAAACCTATGCGAGGAGGAGGAGAGCACTTACTGAGTCCTAAATAGATGAAGGAGTGGCCTAGGTCATTAGGTTATAAATAGGACAGAAAGAATAAATGTAGGGCAGTTATTTAGTTAGTAAGAAGATATTATGAGACATTTGTGAGGAGCTTTGTAATTCTTCTACCTCAACTCATCAGGAAAACCATCTGTTCTATATGAGGAGAGGGGTTCATCAATAAAGTTCTACACAAGATTCATTCTTTTCTTCTGTTATTTCCGTAATTCTTAAACCAGTTCTATCTAAACAACATGACTGATAACTTATTATCTTACAGTCGTCTTCTGGAAATTCATGGCTGAGTTCTCTAATTTCTACAATTATTGGAAATCTCAAGATATCTATCAGCAATGTGCATATCAGATATGAAGATTCAGTCAGGTTGGCTAAGCAGTACCGTTTTAATTTCTTTGGAGGGTATAAGTGTGCATGCATATTGGTTAATTAATTTTTCTGTTTTTAGATTAATGAGATTCTTCTTTAGCTTGATTTCCATATGCTAATGAGGGCGAACTTGGATTAATGGTAAAATTACTCTTGACCGAAAGGTCATGGGTTCAAATCCAACACAGCCTCTTTGTTAAAATGCAAGGGTAAGGCTGCGTACAAAGAGTTCCCTCACCTCTACCATCGCAACTCTGGGTTTCATGGAGAGTGATTTTTTATTTCCACCTGCTAATACTAATACATGTTGTTTGCAGTAATCCAGGCCATCCATTTTCTTCAGGTGTGACTTTGGCTAAGCTTGCTGCTGTTACAATGGATGAGCAGGGGAATGAAACTTTTGATACCAGTGGTGCTTTAGATAGATTGAGGAAGGTGAGCAGTATCCTTGCTTAGATAATTTTATGAACAGTTTTGAAGGTCAATTCTGAGATAGGAACCAAATTTAGACATACCAAGACTTATTTGGTCAAGTAAAGCTTTATCTCTTAATATGTGTCTGGTATGTTGTAAACTTGTGTTTTTACTTTTTATTTGTTGGTTGCAAAGAATTGTTTTGCAATACACGTAGTAATGATTCCAAGGCAGGTGTTATTCATGATTCCAGAAAATGGACCATCTTTTGCTCTATAGTCCAATAGCCAAATGCTTTGAATTAGAGTTTGGTTGCGTCCTGGGCAATTTCTTGCTTGTTTATGTGGTCTTATATGAATTTAGTAACAGATTTTTGTACTTCCACCTGCCCCCCCCTCTGTGGCTATGCATGGACCAGGCCAGAGTGGCACAGGGATATTAATAAATATTGCTTGGCAGCTTAAATATCTTAGTTCTTAAGAAGTTAATAGGGCCTCTTTGATATAGTTTGATTCTTGTTGCCACCACTTCTAATTTAATTAAATGTTTAGCTCATAGTTCAAATGGGGGATTGTGCATTGTTTACTGTCAGTGCAACTTATTATGTTGGCCTGACAAATATTTTATTCTCATTACAGTCAGTGCAACTTGAGAGGCTAGCTCTTTATCATGATTCTAACAGGCTTCCTTGGGAGATTGATAAGAGATGGGAGGATATCAGTCCCCATGAATGGATTGAGGTTTATTCTGATTTAATAGATTCCATCTTCTCATTCTATATGATACATATCTATAACTATCAACTATATTTTGTTTATTGGTTTGTGACTCTTGCTCTTCATTTCATGTGTTTTTAATTTTTGTTCTGTACTAGATATTTGAAGATGGCATAAATGAGCCTACTGATGATCATAAGTTGGTGTCTAAGTGGGCTATGAACCGGTCATACTTGGTTTATCCTATCAATGCAGTTCTGCAGTATCACCGTCTTGGAAACCAAGAAAGAATTAATCCAGAAATTCCATTTGAGAAAGTTTCCCTTGTCCTTACGAATGTCTCTCTTACTCTTACAGAGGTATTTTACTTTTATTGGATTTTATTTATTTCTAGTATCACTCCCTGACTTTAATGCTGAACAGGAATCTAAATAAGAATACGAAAAGTCTAGAAGCCTGGATGCTTGAAATGTCTGCCTCGCTTGTCTTAGATAGTTACCTGTATTGGATATCATGCCGGATATCCTATAATTTTTGTTAGAGAATGTACGACCAAGCTTAGGAATAAGCTTTAGTCAGAATGGGCTTTCTGCAGTTGTAATTCTAATCAGAGTTTCTTTATTAACACTGACATCAGTAACTGTCTCAACTGAATCAGTAACTGCCTCTAACTGATCCCGGTCTATAAATACTAGATTCAGTTCTCATATATAAAAGCTCTATAGTTTTCGGTTCAAGTTCAGAGATCTAGCTTCTCTCTTACTCTCCCTCACTCTCGCTGGTTCTTCTCTCTGCATGTTCATTCTCAACATGATATCAAGAATATTTTTGGCTTCGTTGTTGATTTGTGAGAATGCTTTTTTTTTTAGGGTTTCCTTGTTGGATGAGTAGAGGAATCAGTGAACAATTTTGAGCGAATTTTTCCTTATTTTCTTCCTGTGATTTGGGGTATCTTAATACGATTTTATATTGTTTGTTATTGCTTCCCCCCCTGTTATTGCTTTCTTCTTTCTGATCTGGAGTCAGACGTGCTACATTTTTTTAATTTTATTTCTATCCTTTTTTTTCCTCAATTTTTTTTGTAGTTTTCATTTGGGTTCATCTTCCATTGACCCCAACTAGTTTGGGATAAATGTGATGTTGATGTTATTGCTTTCTTCCTGTCATATTTTCATTTTGATAAAAGAAGAAAAATGTATTGGAGTGTTAAAGATATGAAGAGATAAGAAAAGAATGAGGAGAGGGGATCTCTAACTTATTTTGGTTAAGTTTTGTGTATATGTGCATTTATGCTAATGAATTAGGTCAAGTGTAATATGAATGGTATAAGCGCAGACCAATGATGCTCAGTACATACTAACAATATTATGTCCTAACTTTTTAACACTCCTCATTTATCTGCATCTCCTTGAAATTACTTTTTTTAACTTTTCCACCCTGAACTACAGGCTCAGTATCATGATTGGATTAAACTTTTGGAAGCTGTTTCAAGATATAAAACATATATGGAAGTTTCTCATTTACGACCTGCAGTTCCCATCTCAAAGGCTCCTTATTTATGGTGGCAGTATGCTGCACGGGCTGCGCTCCAGCAGCAGAAGATGTGGTAACTTAAATTGTTGTTCTGTTGAAATAAATCAGCTACTTTTTAATGATATATGTTTTTCAGAGTTCAGAAGTTTCTCAGTAATGTGGATGCTGTGCTATTCTCATTCATTCTTGGATTTAAGGCTGACTTTATGCTCTTTGTGTTAAATCAGTTACCGCTTGTCTTGGGACCAAATTCGGCATCTTTGTCAGTGTCGGCGACGATACATTCAGTTGTACGTGACTTCTCTTCAAGATTTATCACATGTCAACCGCACAGAACTAAGAGAAATAGAGAAGGATCTCGATTCGAAAGTGATTCTTCTATGGAGGTGTGTATATCACTTTAGATGCTCATTGTGGTGATGATTATTGAAGGTTGTAGTGTTTGTTCTAAAGAATATCAAGCTTTTATTCTATACCTTGTGACTAATGTTTTTCCATTTCTAGAATAACTAAAAAATCATTTCTGATTTTGTATAGAAATCTTAGATGCTTGGTTTTTTATGCATGCAAGATTCACTGGGATGGAGAAGCTTGTTACTTCTAGTTTTGTAGGAATCTGTTTAGAGAAGAGGAATGCTAGCAACAAACTTAACACACTTCTATCATTGGGCGAACTTCATGTGGTCCCACTAAATATAAATCTCTTCTTCATTGTCACCACGAAGGAATGCATTCTTAATGTCAAGTTGATACAATGGCCAATGCCCAGTAGTTGCCATGGCAAGAAAGAGACTAACAGAAGCCATTTTGGCCAATGGAGAGAACATGTCACTGTAATCAAGACCATAAGTTTGAGTGTTACCTTTTGCAACTAGACTAGCTTTGAGACGATCAATATGTCTGTTTGGGCCGACCTTGATAGCATAAACCCAACGACACCCAACAATCTTCTTCCCTTAGGAAAGAGAAACCAAGTTCTCTTTACCACTATGCTCAAGGGCATTCGTCTGATCAATCATGACTTGATGCCAATCAATATGTGAAAGGGCCTCACCTACAGTGTTAGGGAGCTGAACAGAGGACAAGGAAGTCACAAAAGCATAACATGATGGAGACAAATGATGAAAACTTAAGAAATTATGCATAGGATAAGGGTTACGAGTGGATCAAATACCTTTCCGAATGACAATGGGAAATTTCATAAACAAACTCGCTAGGGTCACATGGATCCGTAGTAGGTAAAGCGTCTGGAACATGACATGATTCAAATGGGCTCAGGACTGCCTCCTCTGTTATAGGAATGAATGACCGTTTGGGTTGCAGAGGTTGGATTGACTTGACTTGCTCAGATTGATAGTTATAGATTCTGGGGGTTGTACTTGCAAGGGAGATAGATAGAGGAGGACCGAAATATGGAATGGGTAAAACTTCAGAAATTATATTTGAGTAAGTAGAAGAAGCGAAGTAGGGCGTGTCTTCGAAAAAGGTGACATCTAGGGGTGTTCAAAAAAACCAAATGATCCAAACCAATCCATAAACTGAATCAAACCCGTTCTAAAAACCGTTTTTTATAAAACGGTTTAAAAAACCAACGCAATTTTTTAATTTTGGTTTAGGTTCGGTTATCCATTTTCACAACAGTTTGGATATCCAACATAACCAAACCATATCCATTTTTTTAATAATTTTTTATTTTTACTTTTTAACCCTATCTTCAATATTCAGAATCTCTTATTTTTGAGCCCATGAACCCTAACTCCCAATTTCGCAATTTTAATGGATTTGCAGTAACTCTTGAATGGAAAAAGGAGTAGAGATTATACTTTTTTTTTATTTGGGACAGGAAAGAAAAATTTGAATCTGATGCTGGAAAAGTAAAAATTTACATGCTTTGCTTGGATGCAGCAACGTGGTGCCATAACCAGACGCCAGAGTTCAAAGGTTAATGACTCAACATGGTGACATTCAATACGACCACATACACATCTTAGTTCCAATCCAACTCTTAATCCATTTGCAAATTTGTTCCACTTCCCATCTCCTATCTCCTCCCATTACATTTTATAGTTTTTCGTTTTGAATCGTTACAATCAAAACCGGTTTTGATTGATTTTAAATCAAAACCGGTTTCAAACGGGTTTGGATAAATAAAAACCGATTTTGATAAAAAAAACCGGTTCGGTTTTAAAACCAAACCGTTTAAAATCAGTTCGATTTTTGTCGAAACCGGTTATGAACCGCTCCATGCACACCCCTAGTGACATCGACAGAGGTATACCGTCAGCGTGTGACAGGAGAATAACAGTGATATATCCCTTTTGTAATTTGGAATTACCAAGGAAGACACATTTAATAGAACGAGGAGATAACTTGTCTCGACCCGGAGAAAGATCATGGATAAAACAAGTACACCTAAACACTCATGGGGGACAGGATATATAGGACAATTGAGAACTAACAACCAAAGAGGTTCTTGATTATTGATTGTTAATGAAGACTTACAGTTGATCAAATAGCAAGCAGTCAAGACAACTTCACCACAAAAATGCAAAGGCATTTTAGCTTGTAATAATAATGTTCGAGCTGTTTCAATAAGATGGTGATTTTTTCTTTCAGCCACTCTATTTTGTTTTATTTTTTTGGGGAGTACGTGCACATGATGATTGATTTTAAGTACCATGAGAAGGTATAAACGATGAGAAGTAAGTGGAAAAATATTCTTTAGCATTATCACAACATTAAATTTTCATGCACTTGCCAAATTGATTTTTAATTTCAGTATGAAAAGATTGGAATATGGATAATACTTTGAACCTTTCTTTTTATTAAGATAACCTAGTACATCGAGAAAATTCATAAAAAAAAGTAACAAAATATTTGAACTTCAGAGAGGGGACAAAACTTGGACCCCATACATCAGAATGAATTATAGAGAAAATAGACTCTGCTTGACTCTTAACCTGACTCATAAATGAGGCCCTGACATGCTTCCTAAGTTGACAAGACTTATAATTGAAAGACTTGAAATTAACAAGACTTGGAACTATTTGCTGAAGTTTTGACAGACTAGGATGACCGAGATGCTGATGGAGAAGACTAGGGGGTGCAGTAGCAACATACACATTATGAGGGGTTGACTTGAGATGATAAAGTCCTTGTGATTCATGTCCTACACCAATCGTCCATTCCGTACCAAGGTCTTGGATAATAAAAGAATCAAAATTAAATGTGATTGAACAATTAAGAGATTTGGTAAGCTGACTTAAGGAAATCAAATTAAAAGGACATTCAGGTATAAACAAGACTGATTTTAATGGTATAGATGAAGTGAGTGAAACATGACCAATGCCTTGGGTAGATAATCTAGAATCAGTGGTGGAGCCAGGAAATAATTTTAACCTGTGCCAAAAAATCCAGCCAGGTAGAACCTAGCAGCCAGTGCTAAGGCTGTACCATTTAATTTCTCGAAGGTGATTGTTGGACTCCCAGAGCAAGCATAAGAGGAAAATTACCGTTATGATTGGTGACTCGGGATGAATGATGAATCTCAGAATTAGAGTCACTTGGACTTGAGGCCATAATTGTTCAAGAAGACTACTGATAGAAATAATACACGTTCTAGAACAGAGAACAGAATAAACCTGAACAGAAAATGCAATAAAATGAAGGAATAATGCTTGAATAAGGTGGGAACCAAGACCCACTATTAAATCTGAACTAGAAATGGGAATACGACAACCAAGGTGTAACAAGTAGGCTTTGGCAACCTAGGAGAAACTGGCAGCATAACGAACTGGAAGGTGGTGCGTGCACTTCACGCGCCGTCAGAGGGGGCGTGCGTGGGACTCACGCTCTGACTGAGGCAGAGTGCGTGGGAAGGATTCCGGTTGTGGCGCTTCGGCGCGGTTGTAGATTAGAGGTTTCTTCTGACTTGAAAGTGATTGGTTTGGTGTGGTGGGTTTTAATGTTGATGGTGAAATCTTGTTTGGCAATGACAAATTGTGAGGGATTATAAAGAGGAAGAGAAATTGCCTAACCCTAATGGCTGGAGAGGAACCCAGCTCTTGATACCATGTTGAAAGGATTTTTTGTTAATAACTTAAGGAAGAAACCTCGGCCCAATCCATTATATATAGGAATTACAATCAGTAATAAAAGGGGAACAAAATAAAGCCAAAACTTACAAAAATCTAACTAATTAATTATTGAAACACAATCCCTAAAATAGAAGATATTAGAAGATATTATTAAACATATCCTTTTAATTCTCAAGATAAATCCCTGTATTATACTGATAGCTAATTAATTTATCAAGGGAAGACAAATTCTTCCGCTTCTTGTCGACAAGCTGGCAGCTTGCAGTCTAGTTCTTTAAAGACCCTAGAACCATAAACAACTTAAATTATGTGGACCTTATTTTGATTTTCATCATGGCTCAGCCTGTGATTATATTGAAGGACTGATTTATATTGGCCTACTTAGGCTTTCACCAAAATTGGGTCAAAGTCTTAGACATGCTAAACAGCACATTTTGGATGTTTAATTGTTGAAATTTTGCTGCCAACATTGAGTTTTCCAAAACCATTTCATTATGAGATCTAACTGGTATAAACCCTTATGATGCATGGTAAAAACTCCAATGTTTTTTTTTTTTTTTAAGCATGAGTAATTATTGTTTTTTTACCAAGTTAATCTGATTGTAGTATTAAGTACCATACAATGTGTAGAATTCAGATGCAGATGGAAGCTGTGGCTTATGATTAGTAGCAAAATAAAATGTACTCTTTGTATGATTCAAAATTATAGTTTTCCGAGGAATTGTGATCAAGAGGTTAGAATCACATGTAATTAAGAATCAGCATCACCTTTATCCCAAACTAGATTGGGACATGTAATTACTTATAACTTAAAAAAAAAATTATTGAAAGAAAAAGTTTTAAGGATGATTTCTTATCCACCTTTGCCTTTGTGTTGTCCTTTTATCAAAGAAATTTAGCATAAGGTGAAAAAAATTAAGATGCACATTTTTCTTTGGGAGAATCCAAATTAGTGAACTATTAAAAGTATTTGCTAAGAAGGAAAAACAACCTTTTGACGTAGTTATGTATAAAATATTTGCTTATATAATCACTCCTAATGGTTATTGTTGGTTAATGGTGAATATTTTATTTGAGAGTTCTATTTTGGAATCCTACCGTTTTTTGAAGGAAAGGGGTGGGGAGAGGGGATAGAAGGAGAAGAAAGAGGTTTTTATAACTAGAGGGAAAAATAAAAGAAAGTAAAACAGATGACGATATAGAGCAAGATACTTGAACTTAAAAAGCACTTTAACATACCTTTGCAAGTCCATCAAAGAAAGCAATTCTAATAAACCATGACCCTAACCAAGGGAAAGCCATAAAGACGGCTCTATTCCATAGAAGTGTGAAGATAATAAACTTTGCTTAAGTTATAAGCTCACTGCTATTTTCAGGATAGTTTTCTTCACAGCTCCTCCGATAAGCTGGAAGACTAAACCATATTAACCAATATCTTTCTGAATTATTTTTGGTTTTAGTTTCTTTTTCTTCTTCTACTACCACTGAGAATGTGTTATCCATATTTTTGGGGTACCAATTTATTCTTGCACCAATATATGTTCATTTATAATGAAAGGCAATTTCTATTTTTGTCCCCTTTTTTTTCTTGGTAATCTATAGGCTACTAGCTCATGCCAAGGTTGAATCTGTGAAATCCAAGGTAGCAGCTGAAGAAAGGAGGATCAAGAAAAAGGGCTGGTTTTCATTTAGATGGTATGCCATCAACTTAATTATTTCTACATATTCTTGTCACTTGGGACTGTTTTGCTTCATGTTTTTCTTGTGTTGGATTAAATTTCAGCAACATTTCCTGGTCTTGCTGAAGTCTTTTTTTTTGATAGATTTTGTCTGCACACATGGAGATTTACCATAGTTGCATTTTTATTTAGGCGTGCTGACACAGAAGAAACCTCTCCGGATGATGCTTCTGAGGGCCAACAGCTTACAGAAGAAAGTTTGACTAAAGATGAATGGCATGCAATCAATAAGTTACTAAGTTACCAGCCTGATGACGAGTTGATGCCAAGACCCGCAAAAGATATGCAGAATATGGTCCAGTTTCTGGTAACTGTATCTATTGGTCAGGGTGCTGCTAGGATTATCAGTGTGAATCAGGTAGAAATTGTCTGTGGTCGATTTGAGCAACTTCAAGTGTCAACAAAGTTCAAGCATCGCAGCGTTTACTGTGATGTGTTACTGAAGTTTTATGGTTTATCTGCTCCTGAAGGTTCACTTTCCCAGGTTTGCCTCTTTATTATTTATAGTGAATAAATATTGTATTTAATTTTTATGTTACTGAAATAACCATTGGATAAGTAAACTGTCGTGCAGACTTGAATTATCTCTCTCTATATATATATATATGTATATATATCTATCTATCTATATATATATATATATATATATATATCACTCTCTATTAAACCCGGACTAGTGAGGGTAGGGGTGAGAGAAATCCTTGTACGCAGCTTTACTCTTTCATATTTGGAAAGAGATTGTTTCCCGGATTTGAATCCGTGAAAGGAACATCTTTACCACTGCTCTAGGCTCGCCTCTCTCTCTACATATATATTACTGTTTTTTTATCTCTTGTAACTTGCATTTGCATTCCTTTTTTTTTTTTCCAGCTCTACTATTTTGCGCATACTTATTTTTTTGCAGGTTCTTTAAAATCCTATATTGTGTGCAGTTTGCTAATATAATTGATGTTTAACAATTCTTCTTTTTAGATTTTTTTGTATGCTTGTTCATAGTTCTTGGGAACTTGATTGCAGAGTGTTTATAGTGAGCAAAAGGTGAATGCATTAGTGGCTAGTTTTGTGCACTTGCCAATTGGGGAGAATATTGACTGGAGATTGTCAGCGACAATTGCTCCCTGCCATGTTACGGTGATTTCTTGATCCCTGGGAGAGTAAAAAAGGAGAAATTTTATTATTTGAATCTCTTATCTTCCATTTTCTTCTTCTCTGTCTTAATGATTTCTTTTCTTATAATGAAACTCTTTACACTCCCCTTAAAATTACTATGAGCTAAGACCCATAGCAGAACCCAAAAGTCAATTTTATCCTATAAGAGTTGCAATGAAAGTAATATCTCTACAAAAAGTTTGGGATTGGATTCTTGTTAAATACACGACATCCTAAACTACATATAGATACGTCTGAGCCTTTACCTCCTTCCAAATCCTCAAAACGGAGTAGACAAATGTATTTAAAAGACTGTTGACAGATTGGTTAGTCGTCAAATATGCTAAGAACTAAATTCTTGAAAAGGGGTAGGTTTCAAACTCATACTAAAAAAAAACTTGTAACGCCCAAATGCTTGAAATCAATTTATTTTTATTTAGAAGGTTCTTGCTTTTCATCGGCTTTATATTCAGAATATCTGTTACTCTTTGCTTACAGGTTTTGATGGAAAGTATTGATCGTATCTTAGAGTTTTTGAAGCGAAGCAAGGCAGTCAGTCCTACTGTTGCATTGGAGACAGCTACTGCCTTGCAGGTAATTATGGCCTTGTATTCGACTTTTGGGTAAAAGATTTTTGAACTAACAAATAAATTATTGAGAAGAAGCCCACCATTTTAATGCTTGAATATTCGTTCCGCTAATTGTTTTAATGTTTTTTGTTTGAGCTTTCAATTACACCTGATATAAATGAAGGATTCTTTGACTTAATCGCTTCATATTTATCACATGGCTTAAAATTCTTGACTCTCACAGCATAATGGCATGCTACTGCTTTACTTTAAACATTAGATATTGTGTAGTTATATGATTTGAAAATTACTACCACGAAGATTAAGAGATCAAGAATTGGTGTTTCAACATCAACATCAACAACACCTTTATCCCAAACTAGTTGGGATCGATGGTAGATGAGCCCAAATGAAAGATACGGAAAGTTTGAGAAAAAAGGAAAAAGAAGAACACATAAATAAATAAACAAGAGAAAAAAGATTGAAAGGAAAAATGAAATAAGAGAAAAGAAGGAAGAAAGACACAGAGAGGGAGATAAAGAGGAAAATGACTAGAAATTAAAGTAAAAAAATAAATAGATAAAATAAAGATAATATATATTTAGAAGTAAAAATAAAAGGGATATAGGAAAAAAAAAGTTAAGAGAAATAAGATGGGGAAGGGGATAAAAGAAAAGAAGGGGAAAAGGAGAGGGGGGAGATGAAGAGGAAAATGACTAAAAATGGACTATTTGAAATATAGGAATAAGAACGGGTCTAATCCTCCATCATGCTTATAGCTTTTCTCCATTCCGTCCTAAGATACACCGTCCGCCAATCTATATCTCAATCCATTAAGTCTTGTTTTACTTCCTTCCCCCAACTAAGTTTCGGTGTACCTCTACCTCTCTGTGTCGAGCTCTTGGTAAATTTTTTTGTTCTTGCGGGAGCATCCAGGGGCCTTCTCATGGCTAGTATTGGTGTTTAATAGAGATTCTCATGGCTAGTATTGGTGTTTAATAGAGAGAAATGCTGTATTACTTTTATGCAGTAAGATACTTGACATTAAGGCGATTCATTGGCTTCACATTAAAATTTTCATTTTAATGCTAAGGTTGTGTAGCTAAGTATCATGAACCAACTATTCCCAAATTTTTAGTTGTTGGTAGAAATTACCTGAATCATTTTATGTGTAACATATGCCTCACGCAAAGGGCATTTGGACTTGAAGCCTGGACATTGCACAACTTGTTATGAATTTAACATTTATTTAAAAAATTTAGGGCAACAAGGTTCAAACTTTTATTGATTTTTTTTTTTTTTGCTTTTATGTTCTGTAGGATATAATTTCTTTATTCCTTGTGATTCCTCCTCTATTGTTCAGAAATGTTATTTTGTGTTAAAGAAGAGTCCATTAGTGAGTGAACCAAGTGCCCTTAAGGCTTAGAATTTGGATCCATCGAAATTTCAAAGTAAATTGGAAGAAAAAGGAAACATGTAATAAAATGGAACATGTATTTAGGGCTCCAATGTTTCTTTCAAAAAAAGTCTTCATATAATATTTTCCTCTAGTAATTATTGAGTGGGAACCTGTTGTAGCTTTATACCCTATCTGGGCTATCTTTTTTTTTAACTGGTAATTACGTGGGCAGGTGAAGTTTGAGAAAGTGACTCGCAGAGCACAAGAGCAATTTCAAATGGTTTTAGAGGAACAAAGCAGGTTATAATCTGTCGTTATTCTTTTTTCTTTTACTTATTTTGGGATGCGTTTGGTTTCTTTGTTTTAATGCTTGCTGTTGATTCGTTTTTTTCTGGTTCCTTTGTCTATATACCTGTAAAGAACCTATTCAACCCAAAAGCTTAAGTTGGTTGGTGAGGTTATATTAATGGTTTTATATATCTCTAACACGCCCCCTCACAAGAGAGCCCATTGGGCTTGATGGGTGGACAATGCACAGGCTCACCTACTTATGCTAAGAAATTTCACAAGAGAAAGTAGGGGCGGGAGGATCGAACCCGAAACACCAAGACTCTGATACCATATAAAAAATCAATTCAACCCAAAAACTTTGTGGGTGAGGCTATATTAATGGTTTTATATATCTCTAACAATACCTATGGAAATTTTTGTAGTGTTCATCAAGCTAGTAATCCCGTATGCTTGAATAGGAAATAAAAACGGAAATATTTGAATCTTGATTTCCTAAATACCTTTGGGGGGAAGCTGTTCTCACTGCCTCATATTTGATCAATCAAATGCCATCTCGCATTCTCAAATTTCAGTCTCCTTTTTCTAGTCTTTTCCGCACCTTCCCTTCCTTCCAAGGCGTCTCCTCCCTACCTCTCAAGTTATTTGGTTGTGTTGTATTTGTCCATATTCCCTCTCATCAACGATCTAAGCTTGATCCCAAGTCTCTCCGGTGTGTCTTTCTTGGTTATTCTCCTACTCAACGTGGCTATAAGTGTTATTCTCCCTCTCTTCGTAAGGTCTTTGTCTCTATGGATGTCACCTTTTCTGAGACTCAACCTTACTTTCCCTTGACTTCTCTTCAGGGGGAGTCTATAGGAGCAGATGAAGATCAGTCATGAGAAACTACTGATGCCACAATATTACCTCTACTATTGGAAACAGGGGGAGCTACAGAATCCTCACCATCCGGAGCCTCCTCAAAGTGGGGACAAGTTTATAGCAGGCGAAAGCCTCTTCAAAGTGTAAATAATCCAGAGCCTCTACATTGCCAGGATTCTGAACCATGTTCTAGTTCCAGCACCCCAACACTTGAGTGCCATGATCAAAATGCTCTACACTTTCCTATTGCTCTCAGAAAAGGTACTCGATCTTATACTACTCATCCTATTCCTAATCATATTTCATATGAAAAGTTGTCCCCAGGGTTCCGTGCTTTCAATACTTTGTTGGATAGTACAAAGATACAGAGAAATATACATGAGGCTCTCGATGATCAAGAGGGATGCTGTCTTTGAAGAAATGAATGCTTTAGAAAGAATTGGAACTTGGGAGATAGTGACCTTACCAAAGGGAAAACAGGCAGTAGGATGCAAATGAGTTTTTACAATAAAATTCAATGCAGATGATAGCATCAACAGATACAAGGCAAGATTGGTTGCAAAAGGGTTCACGCAAACTCATGGGATAGATTATCATGAGACTTTTGCTCCAGTTGCTAAAGTCAATACCATCCGAGTTCTTTTATCACTTGTTGCCAACCTAGATTGGCCTCTGCAACAGTTGGATGTGAAGAATGCATTCCTAAATGGTGACTTACATGAAGAAGTCTATATGGATCCTCCACCTGGTTTTGAAAAGGGAAATGGATCAGTGTGTAAACTAAAAAAGTCTCTATATGGGTTGAAACACTCTCCTAGAGAATGGTTTGACAAATTCACACAAGCTGTCAAAAGAAGAGGCTTCATTCAAGCACAGACTGATCACACTCTCTTCCACAAATACTCTAAGGATGGTAAAATTGCTATTCTTATTGTGTACGTAGATGACATAGTTCTTACAGGTGACGATATTGAGGAATTGAACTCCTTGAAGAAGTATCTAGCAGCTCAGTTTGAATTAAAGGATCTTGGCATTCACAAATATTTCCTTGGTATGGAAGTTGCTAGGAGCAAAACAGGCATCACTCTCACACAAAAGAAATATGTTCTAGATCTTTTGTTGGAAACTGGAATGTTAGGGTGTAAGCCTGCTGATTCATCTTTGGAACCAAATACCAAGTTAGGTATTGAAGATGGGAATGAGGTGGATAAAGAACAATATCAGAGATTGGTTGGCAAACTAATTTACTTATCTCACACGCGTCCTGACATTGCCTTTGCGGTGAGTATGATTAGTCAATTCATGCACTCACCCAAGGAGAAGCATCTTAGTGCAGTCTATAGGGTGCTCAGATACCTCAAGAACACTCCAAGAGGATTTTTCTTTAAAAAGGGGTATAAAAGGACAATTGAAGTCTACATTGATGCAGATTGGGCAGGCTCATTAGTGGACAGGACATCTACCTCAGGCTATTGCACCTATGTGTGGGGAAATCTTGTTACTTGGAGAAGCAAAAAGCAAACGGTGGTTGCAAGAAGTAGTGCTGAAGCAGAATTTCGAGCTTTAGCTCATGGAGTTTGTGAAGGAATTGGTTGAGAAGACTTCTTCAAGAGTTGAAGATTTCATATTCCCTACCAATTGTGACAACAAGGTAGCTGTCAGAATTGCTCAAAATCTTGTGCATCATGATCGAACAAAGCACGTGGAAGTTGATCGCCAATTCATCAAAGAAAAATTAGATGATGGAAGTGTGCGTATGATGTATGTTTCTACCAAAGAGCAGACTACAGATATCCTTACAAAGGGCCTACACCGTCCAACATTCGAAGACTTGATTGGCAAGTTGGGAATGATCAACATTTCCCTCCCAACTTGAGGGGGAGTGTAGGAAATCAGGATTCAAATATTTCCGTTTTTATTTCCTATTAATTAGGATTGATTATGATTGATTGATTAGGATTGATTAGTCATCGCTGAGTCATTCTTAGCGATTCTTTCTTGTATAAATACTCCTTATGTAATTTATTCAAATCAATACAAAGAAATACAAAATTCTTTAGTTTGAAATATTGAGTATTTATGTGGTGGCTAGGTAAGCTTTTTCAGAGGAATTTGTGAAGATTAAATAATTGCCAGTGGCAGAGTTATTCATCCGTTGGCTATATGTAACAATGGAAATCTATTTTTTTTTTTTTTTTAAGCACTGGCAATTTTGGCATGCATATTGAAATATTTGAATGTTCAGTGCATGATTTCTTTTTCATTTTATTTTATTAATGGTTTTCTGTTAAGTTGAAAAGGCATATAATGCTCATTTACAGATTCTTGTTGACTGATTTCTCAGATTTGCCTTTGATATTGATCTTGATGCTCCAAAAGTTAGAGTTCCTCTCAGATCTAGTGGTTCAGACAGATGTGATAGTCATTTTCTTTTGGATTTTGGTCATTTTACAATGCACACTGCGGTATGTTTTTTTGAGATATGAGGTTTTGAGTTGTGCTTATGTTGCTTGGCGTTTTCTTAAATGATTAAGTTTTCTCACAGGAAAGCCAGTGTGATCAGCAGCGGCAGAATCTTTATTCTCGGTTTTACGTATCTGGACGAGATATCGCTGCTTTTTTTACGGACTGTGGCTCTGATTTCGGGAGCTGCAGCTTGGTGATGCCAGATTATGATAGTCAAATACTGAACTCCCCCATTACCGAAAAAGTTGAAAATGTCTATTCTCTAATTGATAGGTGTGGAATGGCAGTACTTGTTAATCAGGTTTGTTTGTTATATACTTATCCAAACTGCTCTGTAGTAATTTTTGGATGATGTTTTAATGAGCATAATTTGTTGTTATGATGTTTCTCTCTCTTTCTACTCAAGATTAAAGTGCCTCATCCTAGTTACCCATCCACTCTTATTTCCATTCAAGTGCCGAACCTTGGTGTTCACTTTTCATCAGAGAGATATTTCAGAATCATGGAACTGCTGAACATATTGTATAAGACTATGGAAACTTGTAGTGAGCCTCCAGCTGATAGTTTGCAATCCAAACTTGCTCCTTGGAGTCCTTCAGATCTTGCTTCTGATGGTAGAATCCTAGTTTGGAAGGTATTTCCAATTCTTTGTAAATTTACACATTAGACCATTACTTTAAGGTAATTTTTTATTTTAGTCAAGAATTCAAATAATGTTCATTTTACAGGGAATTGGCAACTCTGTTGCTACGTGGCATCCTTGTTTCCTAGTGCTTTCAGGATCGTATCTTTATGTATTTGAATCTGCAAAGTCCCAAAGTTACCAGCGATGCCTAAGGTTTTATATATCATTTTCACTTTTGTTTCTTGGACATTAACTCCAATGTTTCTTTATGGAAAAAAAAAAAAAACTTATTGAAGAGAAGAGTTTGCATGGAGTGTAAGCTATCATATGAAATAGAAAATGATACAATAATCTACCAAAAAAGAGAGAGAATTGAGCAAGGTTCCCCATTTGTATGCATGCAGAGAGAATTTAGCAGTGTAAACATCTAAGGAAAGGTTCCCTCCTTTTTGAAATAATAATCCTCTCCCATGAGTAGTCTTAGAGGTACTGAAGAATCCTCTCCACGAAAGGGTCATACATGAACTAACTAAATGTGCTAACAGCAAAGGCCAGATCAGGTTTAGTATGACTTGATTAGTCAATCATCCTACCAGTCGCTAATATCTTGCTTTGTCAACTGGAGGGGCTCTTCTCTTTTTTTCCCAATTTGTTATTTTGCTTGATAGGGGTGTTGGTGGTTTTCGACCCATGTTTTCCAGGCTCTTTCAAAAGATCAAGAACATACTTTTGTTGACAAATAAGAATACCCTGCTTGGAATCAGCTTCTTCAATTCCAAGAAATATACGAGCTTCCCAAGTTCTTTGATTTCAAATTCGGTAGTTAATCTTTTCTGCAAGAGGCATATCTCCACTGGATCATCATCGACTGTTATAATGATATAATTTATATAAACAAGAAGAACAATTAGTTTTTCCTTTTGGGAATGTTTGAGAAAAAAGGTATAATCTCCTTGACTATGCTTGTATGCCAACGACGTCATGACTTCGGTAAACCTTCCAAACCAAGTTTGGGTAGATTGTTTTAAGCCTTATAGGGCCTTCTTCAATCTACAGATTTTGTTTCCCCCAGTTATGGAGTCAAACCCTAGTGGAATCTCCATGTAGTCTTTCTCTTCCAATTCACCATTGGAGAATGCATTCTTCACATCTTATTATTCCTCACAGATTATGACAGTAATTCCTATTATTGCTCCACAGATATCACCTATGCTTCTTATGATTGAATCAATTTAGTCACTGATTAGGCTTTTTCAAATTCAGGAATGTTATTTATTTTTATTTTTTTCAGAAATGTATTACTATAAAGAAAATAAAACAAATAAATAAAATCAAAAAGAAAAAGGAAAAGGTTAAAGTATCTCCCTTTTTTAACAGAAATTTTTTCTGTTAAACGTCTCTGTAGTGTGATTCCTTAGTTAGCGCGTATGCGCCCCAATTCCCAGATTTAGAGTTTTGTTGTCCCCAGTAATAAACTATACTAGTCGAGTGAAGCTACTTCTGCGCAGGTGGAACACACACACTTGTTAAGCGTCAATCAGAATAGTAATAAAAGTAGAATGTAAAAGGAGAGATAATCAAACCATAATCTCAAAAACAGCAAAATACTGAAAATACTGAAGTCAAAATAAATGGTGAAGTGTGTGACAATTCACTTCGGTATATTTATTATTTGTGAAGGTAGGGATGCTGGAAAATTGGGACCATCTTGGGCGGGGAAACCATAGGGGGAGAGACCTTCTTAGCCTCTCAAATTGCTCTAGAACTATTTTACCGTTCAGTTTCTTGTATTTTCATTAAGTTTCCATCACTGTTTTTGTTATCTAATGCCATTTTGTAATGTTGTACTGTTTACACGTTTCTATATCAATATCAAACTTCCTTTACTTCTATGCAATCTTTCCCTGTGTTGGTTGATACCTATGATTATCCTATGCAAAGTGAATCATATTTTGGTTGATACCATTATAACATCTTGTATAGACTGAAGTCCACATCCCTTTTACAATGACGCCATCTTTTCCAACTTCTTGACTTGCCTTATAACTTTTATATGATTTTGCTGTGATTATAGCTTTTGGATGGAATTTTTTATTTGAAAATTAAAATTTTTGGTATTTTTGTAATTTGGTCTTTGGACTCTGCAGCATGGCTGGTAGGCAAGTCATTGATGTTCCCCCAACAAGTGTTGGTGGTTCCCCATTTTGTATTGCTGTAAGCACCAGGGGGGTGGACATTCAGAAGGTAGGCTAAACAAGTTCTACATTAATCTTGAAAGAAGCATGATGTTCTATTTTCTGAAATGATCAATTTATACCATTACTGTTCATAATGGAGTTTGGTTTTTATCGTTTGCATATCTTTGTCATGACTCGGTGTTATGTTTTTCATGTTTAGGATTTGGATGGCAATTGTTGTTGGTGATTGTTCATAAACTGTAGTTTTTGTAAGAAAAATGAAAATTGAGGAATCGAGAGTGAGTACAAGTAAAAAGTGGGCTAGCAGATTGTTTTTATAGAAACAACCATGCCATATCCTAGTTGGTCGGGCCAGCTACATTGATTACAAAAAAATTGACCGATAACATCTATGTTACCTACACTGCTTACAAAACATGGAACACCGGAAACCATGAACAAGTTAATGGTAGTTGGCTTGTGGTGAATAACATTTGCCCCATTGTTTCTGAACCTGAGCTGCACATTACACACATTTTTGGAGAAAGAGTTGTGTGAAGCCAACTAGCAACAAATTAACTCTGTTAAGTGCCACTGTCTAGACAAAAGGAACACATTTTTAGGGTATTTTAAATTTCTAAATTTTTTTATCAAGAAAGAATCGACGAGTGTTTGGAGAGTGGCTCAAAAAAAGGAAGAGTTAAGAAAAGATGAAACGAGAGACATTTAATGAAATCCTTGTCTTGAAACAACTTAGATTGTAGTCTATAGATGAAAAACAATGGTTGCAAAGATACTAGCGACCCTAATTACTTTAATGACATGATTTGGTTAGTCTATACAATGAATTTAGATGTTAACAAATATAGTCACTGTTTATATTATAACACTCCACCTCAAGCTGGAGCATATAAGTCATATGCAATTCTGCACCAGGCTTGTTACATACATAACTCAGTTGGAGACCTCCCAATGTCTTAGTGAAGAGATACACCGGTTGATTATTTGAGTGGACAAAGCTTACGATGATGTCTCTGGATGAGATTTTCTTTCTATTACAAAGTTATCAAGTGCGGATTACGGCTAACCCTGAAAAATACTATAGCGCTATAGTGAGATGTTTTGCGGAAATAGCGGAATAGATCAATAGAACCTAGAATTAGCTACTCTTATTAAAATATCATGAAGCTGGTCTTGTTTAAATGTCACAAAGCAATGTTCAATAAAGTCTATTTTTGCTAAGCCTAAAATTAAAAATATAATATACGTTTGCTTTAGCTTTCTAAAATTTGTCATGAGGCTGTTGTTGTTAAAATGTCACAAACAAAGACAGCTAAAAAAAAAAAAAAAAAACAGAGACTAAGCTTTGGGAAAAAACAGAGACTGGGCATAACATATCAGAGTTCAAACTCCAAAACTATGTTAAGAAAAAAACAGACGGGTAGAAAAAAAGAGAGAACAATTTACCAAAAAAGAAGAAGAAAAGAAAACAGAGAGAACCTAGAACAGAGAGTTATCGTCGGTAGTCAGTCATTGCTTGCCGTTCGCTATTTGCTGGAAGTGGAAGGGCTGGTCGCTGATGGTTTAACATAAGAGAGAGAGGGGGTTTTGCGTACGAGAGAGAGAATAGAGTCAGATTACAAATAAGGGTTAAAAGATAATTTAACCCTTAAAAAAAGACTATTGGGTCACTAAATGAAGGGCAAAAATGGAATTTTGAAGCCCTTTTCTGTAGTGGCGAAATCTCTTGTAGAAGTGTACACAACAACCACAAAAGAAACCAATGCGTTGCATAACGGTTTGTAGCTTTTGGTCTTTGCAACGTGCAACAAGAATGCGACACAACTTGGTTATCATAGACGACTGTCTTCTCCATAACCTCTCCAAATTGGAGCTTTGAGCAGTTATTTTAACCAAATGAGCTTGCATGTTGTTGAGGTCATGCATTGATACTTTGCATCAACGTTTCTTATCTTGCAATCCCATTTTGCTTCTTTCTTTTCTATAACATCAGGTTACCTTGATGAATTGATAGAACCTATATATGAACCATGTATTAGAGATATGAACCATGTATTAGTAGGGGTGCTTGCTTAATCAACATCTGAGTATCCAATAATTAGAGGGTAACCTTTATCTCCGTATACTAGGCCTTTTTTTCTAGGTCTTTATCACTTCATCCCAATGTTCTTCACAAGGTGAATATAGGAAATGACTTGCCACATTGATTGCTTAAGATATATATGGACAATTAACTTTGAGGTTTGCAGTTTCCTTATTAACCTTTTGCATCTTCCTAGATCCGAAAGTTTCTCCCTTTGATTTAGATTTTAGGAGTTTAGTATTTGGACTCATAGGAGTTTCAACTAGTTTTGCATTTAACATGCTAGTTTCCTCAACAATTTCCATGACATACTTCTTTCATTAAAATACGACATCTTTCGTTTGATTGTGTCATCTTTGTACCAATGAAGTATCGAAGTTTGCCAAGTTCTTTGGTTTGAAAGTGAAGACCAAGATATTGTCTTATCTGAATGATGCCTTGCTGATTGTTGTCGGTAATAACAATGTCACCAACGTATACAATCAACTAAATACATCCTTGAGCTGAATGGTAGTAGAAAACCGAGTGGACATCTTAACTCCTTTTCATATCAAATTGTTGAACTACAATACTAAATCGGCCAAATTAGCCCCGAGGAGATTGCTTAAAAGACCATATGATTTTGCGAACATGATAGACCATGCTAGCAGACTCCTCTTGAGCTGAAAATCTAATTGGTTGCTGCATATAAACTTCTTTTGCGTGATCATTTCGGAGGAAAGTTTTTTTAATATGCAGTTGAAGAAGGGGCTAGTGACGAATATCAGCCATTAATAGAGATAGGTTAACAAAAGCCATGTTTGCCATATAGGCAAACCTTAATTGCAAAAACCTTTTGATGGACATCGAAACTTGTGAAGTTATGACAAACCCCACGAAATTAATATGTATCATTGGAATAAAGAACTTTGGCCTATGGCCAAACAGATTCGTATGTGATGTGAGCATTGCAAAAATGTTTCAAAGAGGGATAAATAATGAACTTGATGTGTTAGATGTATTGAAAAGAGGTTGATAAGACGTCTTACATCGTTATATTTGTCGTATGTAGTGGTTATAGTCGTTCTATATAATAGAGCCTCCACTTTACTTATGATACATGTAAATAACCTATTCAACCCAAAAGCTTAAGCTGTTGGATGAGACTAACTTAATGGCTTTATACTTCTTTAACATGTCCCCTCACACAAGAGCTCACTGGGCTTGAAGAGTGGATAATGCATAGGCCCACCTACCTGTGCTAAGAAATTCCACAAGAGAAAGTGGGGGGCGGTGAGGATCGAACTCGTGACACCGAGGCTCTGATACCATGTAATTTAACTCAAAAACTTAAGCTGTTGGGTGAGACTATCTTAATGGTTTTATACTTTTCTAACAATACACTCAGATTTAAACATTATATCTGTTTTTCATTCATCGCCTCTCTTTTCAATGTTATTCATCATGATGATGTTGCATAATTAGGTGTCTGTTTCGATCCACCTTGTGGAATATTTTAAAATATAAGTGTATTTTAGGAAACAGTGATTTTATTCTTAAGAATTAATTAGGATCCTCTTGTTTGATTATGGTTAATCCATGTAATAATTTGCTTTCTTTTCTGTTATTATAGCTTTGTGTATATGTTGTAATCTCCCTTGGGAATAATAAATATGTTAAAGAAATATAAAACCATTAATGTGACTTTTACCTAACATCTTAAGCTTTTAGGTTAAATTGATTCTTTATATGATATTGGAGCCTTTGTGACCAAGCGGTTCACCACCGTCAATTATATTAAGAAATATTAATTAAAAAAATTGTGTAGTTTCTTAGCATAGGTAGGTGGGCTTGTGCGTTCATCCTTCAAGTTCAGAGGGCTCTTGTGTGAGGGGGCATGTTAGAGAAATATGAAACCATTAATGTAGTCTAAACATAATTAAGTTTTTAGGTTGAATTGATTCTTTACACAATTGAGTACACTTTATTTCACTTTTCACACACTTAGAGTGCTTAACGATAGCCAAAAAGTTAGCTTGGGTGAGGTGGTCCACGTCCACGTAGTTTTGCCTGGTAAGCCACATTTTGATATCCTAGGTGCTGTTATCTAACTTATCAATGGAGAGTGGGACACCAACATAGTTGGTGAAGATAGAGGCTTAAGCCTTTATGGTGTCCTTGGAACTGTCGTAGCTAGATCTAGTCATGGGTCACATTAGTGGTAATTGAGAAAGAGAACTGGACAGAAGGTGCCAGAGAAGTTACAATAAAGGCGATGCAGGGTGAACAAGGAAGATTTGAGGAGAGGGGAGCTCAGCGAGCAATGTGGAACAGGTTGTGATCTAAAACAATGGGCCATGGGCTGCCACATGCGACGGAGGTGGCATGCGTGTGGGGGCTTGCTGCTACCATTGGGCGTGAAATCACCATGGCGGATTGAGGCTGGAGCCATGTTGGGATGTCAGTGGAGAAAAATTTCTGGGTGTTGGAAGGATGATGTGGCAATGAAGACCAGAAATCAGAGTGGAAACACAGTTTGGGGGCAAAAATATTCACCAATGAGTAGTAGGTGAGGCTACATTAATGATTTTATATTTCTTTAACACGAGAGCCCATTGGGTTTGAAGGATGAATGATGCATTAAGCCCAACCTCTTTGTACTTGAAACTCCATAATATTTAATTATTTTTATTAACAGATGTAGGGCAATGGGGATCGAACTCATCACCACTTAGTCATATTGGCTTTGAAACCATGTAAAAAACCAACTCAACCCAAAAGTTTAAGCTATTAAGTGAAGGCTTTTTTAATGGTTTTATTTTCTCTCACTCCCTCCCTCATACGAGAGCCAATTGGGCTTAAAGAGCGGATGATGTATCAGGCCTAGCCTATCTGTGCTAAGAAACTCCACAATATTTAATTATTTTTATTAATAGAATGGGGGCGGTAAGGATCAAACTCATGATCACTTAGTCACATCGGCTCTGATTCCAACTTGAAAGGAGAGAAACTGACAAATATTATTGATTCTAAAAAAAACATGTACAAAAGGAATACAATATATATAAAGATACTAACGAGCCTAGAGGAATAAACTCAAATACCAAAAAATAAGGAAACATAATCTGGCTAGTAGAAGAAATAAATAATTACATAATCTGACTAATAAATGAAACAAATAATAATAGATATCTTCCATATTTACAACAGGTCCATCGGGTAAGCAGGAACTAGGACTGGACTGCCTCTCATTTGTCTCCAAGCAGCTGAGAGAGCAATTGACATACTTTGTTCACTCTATAACTGATTTCAGGTCTTGTGATGGCAGCAAATTGAAGTGCTCCAGCAATAGACCTGTATTGAGTAGGATCCAAGACATAATCAGGTCCAAATTTTGTTAGTTTACAAAGATACTAGATACCCTAATTACTGTTTTCTTAGACTATACAATAAATATAGACGTTAATGAACCTAGGCACTGTTTAGATTACCAAAATGAAGAAAGACTGACAAGAGAACACTTCAGGAGAGTCTATAGACCGCAATCTGCATGTATGAAAATCCAAGACAGGAAATGATGGGAAGAGATAAAGCTTTTGACATGCCTCTGTCACGTCTCCAACTTAACTGGCAAATTCACCTAGGTTTATTTTTACATTTTTTGCCGAGGATAGTTAACTTTGTGCTGTAGCTGTGGGATCATGCTTCTTTTTTATATTGATGATTTATGAACATATATCTATATTTTGGAAGATATCTTATCTGTACTTGTAGTTTGCTTCTCTTCTCTTTTATAAATTTTTTTTTTCTAGGCTAAAATGTTTACTTTATGATAAGGAGGATTTTTTATGCTTTGATTGCTTGTTTCAGTTTTTGAATGCCAATTTATAAGTAGGGGCACAAAAAAAAAAAAAATTCTGTAAAGCTGCTAGAAAATTACTATGGGTAATGCATTAGCAATGTTATTTTTGGTTAGCTTGCTCGTGTTTTCTCACTGAAAATATGTATACCTTGCAGGCTCTGGAATCTTCTAGTACCTGGATCTTAGATTTTCGAGAGGAAGAGAAGGCTAGCTGGTCTAAAGGACTTATTCAAGCTACATATCAAGCTTCTGTATGGCATCCTGAATCTGCTTTTTTCTCATGCTTTTTGTTATGTAAAAGTTTTATTTCCTTGATCTTTAAAGTTTATTTAATAAAGGTATTTACATGCTGTATGTAGGCCCCCCCATCAGTTGATGTGCTAGGTGACTCAAAGGGTGCTACTGCTTCCTACAATGTTCTTAATACAACAAATCCAAAAACAGCTGACATTGTTATAAATGGGTCATTGGTGGAATTCAAGCTGTTTATATATGGAAAGGTCAGATGCATTTCTTTTAAGGCTTTGTCTTGCACAAGCATGAGAAATGAGGTGTGTAATGCATAGAGATATATATATTTTCTTCAGACATACTCTCATTCAGGCACATCATTAACGTTATGTTTCTTTTTGTCACGTTTCCCTAACAATTCGTGTCCAATTTGTCCAAATATCAGATTGCTAAGAGTCTCTTGTTGAACTTATTTGTGTTTTCTAGTACTTGGATTATTTGCTTAGGTTCAAAGTTGAGGATATGTTTTTGTTCAAATCCATTGAGACTTATATTTATTTTAATGTTTGTGTAGGATGGAGACAACATTGATGGAAAACTTGATGAGTCTCTAATTCTTGAAGTTGTTGCGGATGGGGGAAAGGTTTGTTCATACAAGCTTCTACGTTTTGTATTATTCTTGAATTGGAATGGCCCTAGATTGATCAATTCTTTCAATAGTCATGTTATGCACTGTTGTCATTTTCTATAGGTATGCGGATAGGTATCCCTAGGTTGTAGTGACGTTGCATGTTTAATTGCTCCAAAAGTAGTTTTTAGGAACTTGTATTATTTTTGTTGAAATTATAGGGATTCAGATAAAGAAGGAAAAGAGAGGAAAGAAATACTCAGAATAATAATATTATATTGATGTTGGCATGTAATCATATTTTATGATGTGATACAAAATTTAAATCAGTAACCCTATTTATATTAAATCTGGATTGCTAATCCTAATTAAATATAGAAACTAATCATCAAATATAATAAAATGTTAAAACCACTCCTAAGAGATAATCTAAGATATTCTAAGATACTGAAATTATATTATTAAATATTTGTTAGATATTCTAACACTCTCCCTCATGTTAAAGCTTATCAAACCGTAAGATTGTTACAGAAGAACTCTCTACAAAAGAAAAGAATAATAAAAATTTGGGTTCCACAAAAATATGGATGGAAAGGTAACTCAGGGTCGTTGAAGATGTCAGAGAGTTGAGCAATGCTAGAATGATCATCAACCTCAAAAGCTAGTTGGGATGTTGCCCAACCAATAAAGAAGAGACATAACTGGAATGATTGTAGGTAGAAATTTTGTATCACGCAATTATTGGCAACAAGTGCTAAAGTTTTGCCTCGAAGATCATTAAGAACAACATTTTGAAGCTTCAAATAATAGGAAAAAAAAATTTGAAACTAAAATTGAAATTGGAGACAGACAGCGAGATAAAAACAAGGGTGAAATTGCATGTGTCTGGAATAGGGGCAAAAACACTTCGTTTTTCTCCACCCCAATGCTATGCTAGCCTTGGAAAAGAGCCAATTGAGCAAACAAGAGCCGGGGATGGTCGGAGAAGACTTGGGTAAAGTGAACACTACTATATGACTTTCTCTGCAACAAATGTAGGGGACATAGTTCACGACAATGTTGAATCAAAGGGAATTAGTTTTGCTTGAAGACATTTTTTGGGCTAAAATAGATGCTGGGTAAATCACAAGACTAAAGAATTCAAAGGTTTGTGACATTGAGCAACAAGATAACATCCTGCAATGGGAATGGGATTGCAAATTGCTAGAGCAGAATGAGGAGCCGATAAAGAAACTAGCACTGTAGGCATGACAACTGTAGCTGGGATGGTGTCACAGGAACAATGCTCACTAAAAAAAAATTTAAGGTGGGTATCAATGACAGACTACCTAAGCAGTGCTGGTTGGACTTTTTGACGCCTTAAATAGGACAAGGGAATGTTGACTGACATAATGGCATTGGCATCGAGTGAGCGAGTGTCGGGAGGGCGGCATGTAAAATACTTTCCTTGACTGGACAAGCTGTGTGTGACGGTGATTTTGCTGACGACACTTAGTGCGATGGCTAGATTGCTCAATCACTTTAACTAGTGAAGGTTTTTGGATAGGAGATCCAACCTTGAGATGATATTAGCCAATGAATCTTATTGATAAAGGTGAATCAAATGGGGATCCATAACCTCTGTACACACTATGTTTGTAATGGAAACAGGAAATTACAATTGCAATTGTTTTTGCAGGCCAAAAATGGGGACATAATCTTATGGGTAGACATTTTAAGGTGAAAACTGATAAAAAAGCCTGAGGGTTCTAATAGTGCAGTTTGTTTTAGAGGAGGAACAACATAAATGGACATCTAAATTATTAGGCTTTGATTTTGAGATGATATACTATCCTGGCAGGGAAAACAAGGTGGTCAATATGGTCGATGAAGTTCTCACAGGTAAACTTAATTAATTTGTCAGAATTAGAAGATGAGATTCAATCTGATCAAAGCAAGGTAGTCAAAATCGAGACCTTACTTAAGATCAAAAGGGGTTGGCAAAATTGTAAATCGTGGGATCGACACAGATCGCAAAAATCTTACATTTGTAATTTTAACTATAAAAAGTAATATTTATATGGATAAATATACATGATATAAGATCAACGTGCAAAAAGAAAAATGATATTTGATTGTTCTCTAGAAATGTAAAGGAAGGATAATTGCTTAAGAGGAAAAAACAATAACTTCAAAAAAAAAAAGGGTAGAACGATGGAGAGTGCAATGGGAAAGAGGGGCCCATTAGATAAAAGGTTATAAAATTACCATAAAAACAAAATATTTTGTATTCTTATTAGGTTTTTTGTTGTTGTTGATAATATTCTTATTAGGTTCTTTACATAGGCTATTACTATGCAAACATGTCCCGTAACTGGAACTCAAAAATTCTTTTATCTTAATTTTTTACTTTTCAGCTACCCACTCTCCCTGTGTACGTCAACAAAAAATTGTTCTTTTTCTCTAGGAAAATTTCATTTGTCTCTTGAATTCCCTCTTTACTTTTACACTCTATGACGTTCCAAATTTTATCTCTTGAATTTGAAAGTTCTTCACCATTTTCTCTCTATCTTTTACTCTCTATTGGCACAAGAAACCCTCAGAGCAAAAGGGGAAGGTTCAGCCAGTTTGGAAACGAAATTTGCTGTCAAAAATGAGTGAGTTTTTCTTAAAAGAATTGATCTTTTTTGAATCATCCGGCACGGTTAGATCTTGCAATCCTGTCGTTTTTGCAATTTTACACGGAGATCCACAACCATCTTGTTTGAAAGCGATTATGTGGACGATTTAGATAGGTTATGGAGGCAAAAATAGTGAAATCGTTTAATTCTGCGATTTGGATCGCGATCTTGACTACCATGTTCGGGCATGGCCAGCTCCTATAGTGTGACGGGCGGTGTGTACAAGGCCCGGGAACGAATTCACCGCCGTATGGCTGACCGGCGATTACTAGCGATTCCGGCTTCATGCAGGCGAGTTGCAGCCTACAATCCGAACTGAGGACGGGTTTTTGGAGTTAGCTCCCCCTCGCGGGATCGCGATCCTTTGTCCCAGCCATTGTAGCACATGTGTCGCCCAGGGCATAAGGGGCATGATGACTTGACGCTTAAAGGGGGTAATGCAACATTTGTTGTGTGACTTAAAATCCCATGAAGGGTTTCAATTTGGTGGAGGAAGATTATTATATCAGGGAAGAGTGGTTTTACCAAAAAATTTCGAGTTTATTATATTAGTCATGAAGGAGTTTCATGATTCTCTTATGGGAGGTCATTTAAGAGTTCTTAGGACTTACAAGAGGACCATGGGTTTACTTTATTGGGAGGGGATTAAAAGATATATTAAGGAATATGTGATCGCTTGCCATGACTGTCAACTGCATAAAATCCAAAATTTGTCGCCAGCTAGGTTGTTGAAACCCTCTGCCCATACCTTCTAAAATACGGACAGATATTTCTATGAATTTTGTGGGTGGGGATTGCCTAAAGCTTGTGGGGTGGATATTATTTTTGTAGTATTGGATAGAATGAATAAATATGCCCATTTTATTGTTTTATGTCATCCTAGTTCAGCCAAACACATTGCGGATATATTCATTGTTGTAAATAGAGTAGTATAGAGTTGTTTAGTGTGAGGGACGAAGTCCCACATAATTATATCTCTTTGTAATTCCTTTTCATTTAGTCATATAATAGACCCTCCGCTGTATAGTTGAAACACGTGGATTTCAGTATATGCCTCTTGGGTCCTGATATTCAACATAAAGAGAAAAACTCTAATCCGTGTCTTTTCAGTGGACCCACTATACACTGTGTACAATTTTTTTTTCCAGAAACTGTCACGTCCGTTAGTTTTCGGCCTCAGTCCTTCTCGGGCAATCATCCAAGATCCTTTGAGAGGCGTTGATCACCATTGATTGACGACTTTTCCAATGTTCACTAGCGACCATTCTGTCGTTCACCGGCGAATTTTCTTGCACATATCTATCTCTCCAACATGCCCAATGAGCTTTATCATCTTTCTAGCTCTTCTCATGCTTGCTTAGTCCAAGATTTTTCGCTTATTATGCTCTCTCAACTTGTTCATCCTAGTCTTGGCGAGCTCCAAAAGATGGTTCCTCGCCTATCCAATTTGTCTACTTTTCCATGTGAGTCATGTCATTTAGGGAATCATATCTGTAGTTCTTTCCTCGGAAAAGTCAATTTTCATCCTTTATCTCCCTTTTGTTTGGTCTATTCTGATATTTGGGGCCCAAAGTTGTAATGAGTTCACCATGGGGTTTAGATAATTTGTCACATTTATTTATGTTTATTCTCGGTGCGCTTGGTTATTTTTAATGAAAATCAGTTTGAGTTGTTTTCCATATTTCAATTGTTTATCATGAGTTGTTTTCATACTAGATTCGGTGTTCCTATCCACACTTTTGGGAATTGGTACTGGGAGAATCCCGGAGGCTCTGTTGTTTGCTCTGGATTAGAATCTGTATTTCCTTCGTCTGTATTTTTCCATTGCTGCTGTAATTTCCTGTGTGTCCATTACAAATGTATTGTGTACTAATGTTGTGGATCCCCGTATGAGTCGCCTTTATCAATAGGATTCCAGAAACTTCTTTTATCTTTTTTTCAATCTTATCAGATTCCAAAGAAGATGGTGGTAGCAGTTGGCAGAAAAGCCCACTACCATAGATGAATCAGAGAGAATGGGTTACCAAAATTTGTCACTGCCATTGGGAAGGCAAAATATGTTTATTGGAAATTAAGATTTGCTGATGTAAATATATCAAACAGAACAGTTCCAAAGTAAAGGAAACTCGGGACAAGTCAAAGAGGATGGTACCACTTTAATACCATATTGAAATTATAGGGATTTAGGTAAAGGATATTATGAGATATTTTTTCAGGAGTTAGAGATTGGGTGATTTGTTTTACACCTTGGAAGGAAGATGGTCTGGATATTTGCAGTCTGATGTGTGAAAAGTTTTATTTCGATAGTTGATGCCTGAGTATTTTCCTTTTCGATACAAGATAAGAATATATAGTGCTTATTTGCTGCTGACTCCTGGACATAAAGTTCTGTTTCTTTATATGTGTAACGTGTGGTTTATAAATTTGAAACAGCTGTATATGTATTTATACTTTGCCCTTATGAATTTTGTTGTGTTTTACAAATATTGACCTTGTAAATTGGAGTTAGAAACTTTAATGACGTTATGGTATTTATGCTGTTCTTTGGCAACATTGGTGGGAGTGAAATGCATTTAATTTATTGGAATTTTGCAAGTAAAATATTCTTCTGAGCATAAACAAGGAGAGGCTGAGGCTCCAAATCTTCTGTGTTTAAGATTCTTGACAAAATTATTATTGAGATGCACGACTATTGTAAAGTCGATAAGATAGGAATTGGCTGCTGCTGTAAAAATGAGAGATAGTAAAGATGGATAATATCAGCCTCAGAAAAGCAGTCTTCCCGACGCAGAATTAATTTCCAGGCTATATTGGTTCTGTTTTTGAAACAAAGTAACAAACATGTGATGAAAGAAAAATATTTTGTGAACCAAATTTACAAGTTCATTGTGTTATTTAGCTATTGCTTTTTGCCAACAACATGATTTCAATTTAGTAGTAAATTCATATTTAACATCTGTGTAACTTTGGCTAAGTTACCAATGCAACTGTGGTTGCTGTTTTGTTTCACAGGTGCATGTCATTCTTGCAGATGGTGACCTGACAGTGAAGATGAAATTGCATTCTTTAAAAATTAAGGATGAACTTCAGGGTCGTTTATCTGCAGCTCCACGTTATCTAGCTGTTTCAATCTTGAAAAATGAAACTGCATCTTCTTCCTCTGGCTCATTTGCTTCCCATGGGAAGGATGTATCTCTTGGATTTCCTGATGATGATGATAGCTTTATGGATGCATTATCTGAATTCATTTCTCAAGCAGATGGAGGACATTATTTACATAATATGGATTTGGATCAGCAAGGTTTGATGGGGATTGCTTCTGATCTTGTGTCTTTTGAAAGCTTAATGCATGAAAAGGAAATTGAAAAGGGAAAGGGCAATCCTCATGAAGTATATTATGAGGCAGAGGGAAGTGATACTTCAAATTTTGTATCTGTCTCCTTCTCAACAAGGAGTTCTGGCTCACCTGATTATGATGGTATAGACACACAGGTAATTAATCTGAGGATTGTCAACAATGAATTGGCGTATGTGACCTGCTCTCATGTGTTATGATTTAATGATGTATTTACATTTCTTATTGTTAATGCCCAGATGTGTGTTCGTATGTCCAAACTGGAATTCTTTTGCAACCGACCCACTATTGTTGCTTTGATAAGTTTTGGCTTGGATATAAGCTCTGGAAATAAAGTGACAAATCATACAGACATTTCGGCAAATTCTGCAGATAGACCTTTGGTGAAGGAGAGGACTGATGAAAAGGGGCGCGTTAGAGGATTGTTAGGATTTGGTAAAGAACGTGTAGTATTTTATTTAAACATGAATGTCGACAATGTAACTATTTTTCTTAACAAGGAGGATGGTTCTCAACTTGCTACGTTAGTACAAGAAAGTTTCCTAATGGATCTCAAGGTAACGGCATACTTTCTTTTAGCTGGTCTAGAGCCTTCTTTTAACTTTCGTTTCTGACTCTCTGTATGGTATTGGTTCCTATCTATTTCTAAATTATTCTTTTTCGTTTTCTTCTGTTATAAAAAGCACTGTTGCTTTGTATTATTTGCTTCATTTGTGTACAAACTCTGAAATTCAATATTTTTCTTATCAAGGTTCACCCAAGTTCTATTTCCATTGATGGAACATTAGGCAACTTTAGACTCTGTGATACATCCCTTGGAACAAATGAATGTTGGGATTGGCTTTGTGACTTACGTAATCCTGGTGTTGACTCCCTTATAAAGGTGTGTTTTTCTTTTTCTGTTGACCAACCTTTTAGAGACTCCTTCCGTGTTTATTTTATTAATTTCAGTTTTTTTTTATTACAGAATCTTCGCTGTTGTAAGTTGTAACAGATTGTTTTACCTGTGTACTGCTTGAATTATTTTTTGTTTCAAATATCACTTAATTTTTCGATTTGATTGACAAATATAGAGTTCAGCACATGCATAACTTCTTTTCAATTTAGAAAAGTTTATAGTATATATAAGTTATCTGCAGTAAGCCTAATACGACGTTGTTTTGAGCGGAAATCATGGTGTTTTTGTAATTTTAATTTATTTCAGAGTTATAATAGTCTCTATATTTATTGTGAGATGTAAGACAAGGTTTTCTGATATGATACTATTTGATTTACACTGAAAAGGTATATTTATACAAGAGTAACTGAGAAAAACGGAAACAAATTGAAATCCCAATTAAAAGAAAAAAATAAATCTCTAATTAATAGGCAATAAATCAGGGATATGATTGCATCCCAAATAAAAACGGAAAGATTCTAATCTTGATTTTCTACACTCCCCCTCAAGTTGAGAGGTATATGTTGACCATTCTCAACTTGCCAATCAGGTCTTCAAAGGCTGGCCGGTGTAGGCCCTTAGTGAGGATATCTGCAATATGGTCTTTGGTAGGAATATACATCATACATACACTTCCATCATCTAGTTTTTCTTTGATAAAGTGACGATCAACCTCCACATATTTTGTTCTGTCATGGTGAACTGGATTTTGAGCAATACTGACAGCAACCTTATTATCATAATACACTCTGACAGGTAGGGAAAAAGATATCTTCAATTCCTCAAGGAGTCTTCTTAACCAAATTCCTTCACAAATACCATGGGCTAGAGCCCGAAATTCTGCTTCTGCATTGCTCCGGGCAACAACTGTTTGTTTCTTACTTCTCCTGGTCACAAGATTTCCCCAGATATAGGTGCAATATCCTGAAGTGGATCTTCGGTCCAATGCAGAGCCAACCCAATCTGCATTTGTATATATTTCAATCATCCTCTTGTGTCCCCTTTTAAAGAACAATCCTCGACCAGGGGTGTTTTTGAGGTACTTCAGAATTCTATAAACTGACTCAGGTGTTTTTCCTTAGGAGAATGCATGAATTGACTAACCATGCTAACGACAAATGCAATATTAGGCCGAGTGTGAGATAAGTAGATCAACTTCCCCACCAATCGCTGATACTGCTCTTTGTCAACTTCTTTCCCATCTTCAATTCCTAATTTAATATTGGGTTCAACTGGAGTCTCTACTGCCTTGCACCCAAGCATTCCTGTTTCTTGTAACAGGTCTAGAATATATTTCTTCTGAGTTAAAGAAATTCCTGCCTTACTTCGAGCAACTTCCATGCCCAGGAAATATTTGAGAGATCCATGATCTATCAGTTCAAATTGATTAGCTAAACATTTCTTCAAAGAGCTTATCTCCTCACAATCATTACCGGTGACAATTATGTCATCAACATAAACAATGAGAATAGCAATTTTACCACCATTAGAGTGTTTTAAAAATAAAGTGTGATCAGTCTGAGCTTGGAGGAATCCTCTTCCCTTAACAGCTTGAGTAAACTTCTCAAACCACTCTCTAGGGGATTGTTTAAGACCATAGAGAGACTTCTTCAACTTGCATACTGAACCGTCTCCTTTTTCAAAACCAGGTGGTGGATCCATATAAACTTCATGTAGATCACCGTTCAAGAAGGCATTCTTTACATCTAATTGTTGCAAGGGCCAACCAAGATTTGCAGCAAGTGATAAAAGAACTCGAATAGTGTTAAGCTTAGCAACAGGGGCAAATGTCTCCTGATAGTCTATCCGATGAGTCTGAGTAAATCCCTTAGCAACCAGTCTGGCCTTATACTTGTTGATGTTGTTATCTGCATTAAACTTTATTGTGAACACCCACATGCAACCCACTGTTTTCTTTCCTCTGGGTAATGCTACAGACTCCCAAGTTCCATTTTTGTTGAGCGCATCCATTTCTTCAAAGACTGCATTCCTCCATTTTGGATCATCAAGTGTTTCTTGGATATTTTTTGATATTTTTGTACTGTCTAACATAGTGTTGAAAGCACGAAAACCTGGGGACAACTTTTCATCTGTGATATGATGAAAAATAAGATGAGCAGTACAAGATCTAGTACCTTTTCGGAGAGCAATAGGCACATCTAGGTTGGCTGTATCAGTGTTGCTGGAACTAAGACTCGAGTCAGAATCCTGATAGTCTAGAGGCTCTTGAGGTGGTTCTCGCCTGCTGTAAAATTTTACCCATTTACCAGGAGGATCTCCATTATCTGAATGTAACACTCCCAAATTTCTAACAATTTTAACAACAATAAAATATTCCTATAATAGAGAAAATTTTAAAATAAATAAAAAATAAATAACATTTAACTATTTATTAAGATCTTATATCTATTGCGGAAGCTAATCTAAAACTAATTTGGGGAAATGTTACCGTCGCTCCTGTACAGGGACAAGTGCAAGACTCTTTATTACATTCACAAATATTACAATAAAATCAGAAATATGTCTTATACATAAAATTTAGGATTAGCAAAAATCTCTGAGTAGTTATCCTCATTGCCCACTGCTAGCCCGATCCTTTGTAACTTGATTCACTGAAACTCTGCTCCCCCGCAGCCACGCAGGATCATTGCAGTCAAATAAACACAAAAGTCAGCAAAGCTGGTAATCCAAATCCGATATACAAAAATAAATAAATAAATATAACTCATAATAACTCAAAAATTCAAATCAAATATCAACTTGTTATTAATTATATTAATCTTTATTTAATCCATTTAGTGTATTTAGAAAGGGCAGTTATCAACTAACATATTCAGCACAACATTAATTATAATATTACATAAATGGTAATATTCACAATTCAATGACATTCATCATAATCAAATCAAATAACATTTCATTGTTAATCATGTTTAAGTTCATTGTACTTAGTGGGAAGAGAACCATGGTAGACCCGGGAAACCCTGCCAGTCTACCCTATGACCCGGGAAAACCTGCCAGTGACAAACAAATCACATTAGCCATAATCAATTCACATCTTCCTAGCGTGCACACCTCTTCCCAAAGTTGCTACTAGTATCCTGGGAAACCCTGCCAGATACCACTTTGGGAAGAACGGATACAATCTTTTTCACATCAGTTTAACATCGGAGGCATAAAGCCCAAAAGTTGTGTTCATCACTTTGGGAGGTACCACCCCAAAGCTATCCTCCCACTATTAATTTATTACAATCACACACAATTAATTCAATCTTGTCACGATTCTCATAATTGTCAAATAGTTTTCATGATTTCCACATCAATTTAATCAAGAGTATAATTTCCAAATTCAATTTTTCAAGAAAATCATAATTTTCAAATCCATTATCCAAGAATATCATAATTTTCATATTCAACATATAAGAGAGTAAAACTCAAATCCAATCATTATATCATAATTTTTGAAATCAGAATTCAAAGAGTAAAATCCAAATCCAATCATCATATCATAATTCAAATATTCACATCTATTAGAGTAAAGCCAAAATCCAATTAATTTCTAGAGATTAAAATAATTTAATTTAAATACCCTAAGGGTTACATATAATATATGAAAACATCCTAAAAATTTCTAAGGATTAAGATTACATTCAACAAATTTAATATAAAACTATCTTACATTCACCTAGAGCATTACGTATACCAAATTTCACATAAAATATAATCTAAAAATATCTAGGGATTAGGATTACATCCAAGTTTTATATAAAAGAAATATCCTACAAATAGGATTACATAGACCAAAATTCATATCAATATAATCTATGACTCTCTAGGGATTAGGATTACCTGGTCTCCGTGTTTGGTGACTTCTACAATTTGGGGAAGAGTAGCGGTTCGTAACCAAAGAAAAATAATAATAAAAATAAAAATTTGAAGTGAGGAGAGAGAGTGTGTAGAGGAAAAGAAGAGTGGTGGAGAATTATTGAGGATTCAGAGTGAATTGGTTTGGTTAGGTTAGGCCTCTATTTATAGTTGAAGTTTTGGGCTCGGATATAGGTCTCGTGCAATTATTTCCTTATTCCTCACTGATGTATCTGGCTCAGATATTGGCTTCATACACTATTTTCTTTTTATTCTTAATTTCTTAGAATATAACTAACTTATTTGCTAACTCAAGGCTGACTCATGATTGACTCATCATATCTAATCAAATTACTAATTACCAATCAAACATTACCAATCAATCATTACCAATCGAACATTATTAATCAATCATTACCAATCAAACATTAATGCTTAAATCATCAATCAATTAATAATCCAATTAATTACAATTTATACATATTAATATTATTTTATTATAAATAATATTATTTTATTATAAATAATCTAGAGTATTACAAAGTATCAAAATTATTTTCCAATAGCACTCATATGGCACAAAATAATTTTATCTAAAAATAAAATTAATATTATACTTTGTTATCTGTCACCATAAAATTTATATATATATATTATTACTACTAATTTATAGTTTATTATTATTATTATATTATTATTATTATTTTATTAATAAAAATATAGGGTATTACATTCTACCCTCCTTAAAAGAAGTTTCTAGAAGGTATACCCAACATACTCTAGACTGATCATCTATGAAAGTTATAAACCAACGAGCACCAGAGATATTTTTTTCACGGGCCGGACCCTATATATCACTATGAATCAAGGTAAATGGAGAAGAATCATGATGGACTCTAGGAAGATAAGAAACACGAGAATGTTTTGCAAGCTGACAAATATCACAAGAAAAAGAACTGGGATTTTTATTGATAAATAAGTTTGGGAACAACTTCTGAAGATAAATGAAATTTGGGTGTCCTAACCGACGATGCCACAACAAAACATCATTACAATCATCAGACAAACATACCGAGTGGTTC